CTAATGCTCAATCAAATCCTCACAGCAACGTTCCAACATCTAGTGTAAAGCCTTTACAGAAGAGTAGAGGCTGTTACTGCAGCACATACTCACTATTAATACCCTTCATTTTGGAAGAAACGCTGGCCAGCAAACTTTCACACACATAGTATGTGAAGCTGAATCAGTCTAGAGCAGATCTTTCACCCGGTTCAGTGAGGGTTAAGTGTCTCCCATTCAGAATACCAGCGTCCACATCTCACAAACAAACAGCTCTGTCCAAGCAGCCTAATTGTGTTTTTGTTTCTTGGCTGAACTCGCGGCCACAACTCAATTTGTCAAGGTTAAATCAGATCCCGATGCGGACAGAAGGCCCTCTTAAACTCGAGCCAGGTTCTCAGCAGCGACAGCATTGGTTGTTTCTAATTCCGCATTCTGGATTAATCATGGAATTCGGGTTGAGTTTTGACGTAAACAGAGATGCCATTTAAACCAAGTCCAACTGCTGTACAAACACCCACTCACAGCACTCAGGCTGGGTTTTAACTCATTTTACTGAAGAACCCAAACAAGGCATTTACAGGAAGGGAGTTACAGTTGTGGGGAAAAGAAAAATGAATGAAGACGGATTCTGCTAAACTGTGAAACATTCACTGACAAGCTACAAACCTGCAGTAGAGCAAGTTGAAGTGTCTTACAGTTGGCCTATCCAGGCTCCGCCCACACATGCATTCTTACTGTTGCTAAGTTGGACAAGCTTTACAGAAAGCTGGTATAAATCCCTTTCAACTTGATGAAAAACTGTGGCACACAGTTTACACCGATCAGGCATGACATTCTGACCACCTCCTTGTTTCTACGCTCATTGTCCATTTTATCAGCTCCACTTACTATATAGGTGCACTTTGTAGTTCTACAGTTACAGACTGTAGTCCATCTGTTTCTCTGCATACTTTGTTAGCCCCCTTTTACCCTGTTCTTCAGTGGTCAGGACCCCCATGGACCCTCACAGAGCAGGTACTATTTGGGTGGTGGATCATTCTCAGCACTGCAGTAACACTGACGTGGTGGTGGTGGTGTGTTAGTGTGTGTTGTGCTGGTCTGAGTGGATCAGACACAGCAGTGCTGCTGGAGTTTTAAACACCTCAGTGTCACTGCTGGACTGAGAATAGTCCACCAACCAAAAATATCCAGCCAACAGCGTCCTGTGGGCAGCGTCCTGTGACCACTGATGAAGGACTAGAGGATGACCAACACAAACTGTGCAGCAGCAGATGAGCTATCGTCTCTGACTTTACATCTACAAGGTGGACTGACAAGGTAGGAGTGTCTAATAGAGTGGACAGTGAGTGGATACAGTGTTTAAAACTCCACTCAGACCAGCACAACACACACTAACACACCATCACCACCACGTCAGTGTTACTGCAGTGCTGAGAATGATCCACCACCCAAATAGTACCTGCTCTGTGAGGGTCCATGGGGGTCCTGACCACTGAAGAACAGGGTAAAAGGGGGCTAACAAAGTATCAGAGAAACAGATGGACTACAGTCTGTAACTGTAGAACTACAAAGTGCACCTATATAGTAAGTGGAGCTGATAAAATGGACAATGAGCGTAGAAAACAAGAAGGTGGTCAGAATGTTATGCCTGATTGGTGTACATGACTATAAGAATTTTAGGGGTGTAACGATTCACAAAATGTAGAACTCAATTCAATATGATACAGTGGTGTTTTGATTCTATACATTTTTTGATACAGCAAAAATATGCAAGGGCTGAAGGTGCCTTATGTTAATATGCTGATGTTTCCAATAAGCTGTGCTTTATAGAGTCTCAATCTAATGCTCCAGCCACAAGCTAACATGCTAATACAGTATGTGATACAAGTTAATGCAATACGATGCACTGTACTGTTACATGCCTACTATGTTTAGAGTGTTATTAACTTCAAATGATATTTATTTGTATGTGCTCTGTTAGATCAAGTGTAGTTTTGTTACAGAATTGTGCTCATGGTAGCATCGTGGCTAATTCTGTCATTTCAAACCTGCCTAGTTTCATTTGGCTACACCAGCACAGTCAACTCAGCAGCGTAGCATTTTAAACTCAACATTATGTAGTGCCTCTAAAAAAATGGCTTAAGTTTGAATAACCGACTCTAAATGTAGGTATTGTGATATAAACTGAGTCCGTTCTACAGTTTCTCATTAGGCTGAATGAATAACCGACTCTAAATGTAAGTATTGCGATATAAACTGAGTCTGTTCTACAGTTTCTCATTAGGTTGAATGAATAACCGACTCTAAATGTAGGTATTGTGATATAAACTGAGTCTGTTCTACAGTTTCTCATTAGGCTAAATGAATAACCGACTCTAAATGTAGGTATTGTGATATAAACTCAGTCTGTTCTACAGTTTCTCATTAGGCTGAATGAATAACCGACTCTAAATGTAGGTATTGTGATATAAACTCAGTCTGTTCTACAGTTTCTCATTAGGCTGAATGAATAACTGACTCTAAATGTAGGTATTGTGATATAAACTCAGTCTGTTCTACAGTTTCTCATTAGGCTGAATGAATAACCGACTCTAAATGTAGGTATTGTGATATAAACTCAGTCTGTTCTACAGTTTCTCATTAGGCTGAATGAATAACTGACTCTAAATGTAGGTATTGTGATATAAACTCAGTCCGTTCTACAGTTTCTCATTAGGCTGAATGAATAACCGACTCTAAATGTAGGTATTGTGATATAAACTGAGTCTGTTCTACAGTTTCTCATTAGGCTGAATGAATAACCGACTCTAAATGTAGGTATTGTGATATAAACTCAGTCCGTTCTACAGTTTCTCATTAGGCTGAATGAATAACCGACTCTAAATGTAGGTATTGTGATATAAACTGAGTCTGTTCTACAGTTTCTCATTAGGCTGAATGAATAACCGACTCTAAATGTAGGTATTGTGATATAAACTCAGTCCGTTCTACAGTTTCTCATTAGGTCGAATGAATAACCGACTCTAAATGTAGGTATTGTGATATAAACTGAGTCTGTTCTACAGTTTCTCATTAGGTCGAATGAATAACCGACTCTAAATGTAGGTATTGTGATATAAACTGAGTCTGTTCTACAGTTTCTCATTAGGCTGAATGAATAACCGACTCTAAATGTAGGTATTGTGATATAAACTCAGTCTGTTCTACAGTTTCTCATTGGGTTGAATGGCTTTTTATTTTTATTTAGCAACAGAATTTTCATAACTAGCAACAGTAGCTATGAAACAAGACAGAAGTGGGCGGAGCATGAGTAAGCCGACTGGCTATACTGATTTCATAGGTTATATTGATACCCTGAGAAATTTTCATCCAATTCCTTCTTGCTGTTTTTCCATTGTGCAATTCAGGTATGAGTTATTTCTTTATCCCTTCTTCCTTTTCTTTTCTTTGTGGAAATACGTTTGTTATGGAATGTAAACGTTTCTGAAGTGTCAAAATGTACTTTTTCACTCCACAGTCCACTCAGTCCACACATGGGAACTAAGCTGCAACACTAGCCAGTTTAGAATTCATTGTTTTTGTGATGCCATGTGCATTTCATGATTAACACATTTACATATATCATATTCAGCCTACAGTAGTTTAGCCCCGCCCACTCACACCAATGTTATAAGGAGTGTTTCAGCTCAGACTGTACGGAAGTCCAGAGAGGCCATGAGGTGGTTAATTTTGTGGATTGTTATCTTGAGATAACGAGTTAGTGATCTTGTTATCTCAAAATAACAAAGTTGTTATCTTGAGATAACAAGTTAAATAAAATTGTTGTCTTGAGATGAGTTAAATATCTTGTGATCTCAATATAACAAAGTTGTTTTAAGATAACGAGTTAATTATCTTGTGATCAAGATAAAGTTATCTTGAGATAAAATATACTGTGATCAAGATAAAGTTGTTGTCTTGGGATAGCAAGTTAATTATCTTGTGATCAAGATAAAGTTATCTCAAAATGAGTTAAATTACTTGTGGTCTCAATATAACAAAGTTGTTTTAAGATAATGAGTTAATTATCTTGTGATCAAGACAAAGTTGTTATCTTGAGATAACGAGTTCAATATCTTGTGATCTCAAAATAACCAAATTGTTGTCTTTAGATAATTATCTTGTGATCTCAATATAACAAAGTTGTTTTAAGATGAGTTAATTATCTTGTTATCTCAAGATAAAGTTGTTATCTTGAGATCACAAGATAATTAACTTGTCACAAGTTATCTCAAGATAACCCAGAAAATTATAGCATCAGCTTTGGCCTCTCTGGCCTTCTAAACAGACTGCTTTTTGAATGAAGCATAACACAGAACAGCCAATCAGAACAGAGATAATTTACATATATCTGTCTTAAAGCCAGGGATAAGGAGAGGTTGGAAATAGGTCACATAAAATTAATGATGACTGTTTTTGGTACAAAACAACACACAAATGTCATAAATTGACCTCAAGGGGAAAAACAAAACACTCGAAATTATAAGACGTGGACCCTTTAGACCTCCTAATGAAGTACACTGAGACATTCCATAGTGCAAACTGTGCCAAACTCGCTCCCAATGACGGATAAGGTGCTTCTTTTTTAAGGGTGCTTTACTAACAGGCCTCCTCTGTGCTGCTCACTGTACAGGATGATGGATGAAATAAACAATGAAAGCTGCAGCTCGACAGCAGTGATATGGCTACACAGGTTTAATGAGAGGTGGGGTGCGTCTGAAACCCTGGACGCATGTGTAAGATTAATAGGAAATCAAACGAAGGCTGACAGACGTCCTCCCTCACGTCTCCTGAGGTTAAAGGAAACGTTCAGTAAACATGACTCTATACAGCCCCCCCCACTTATTCCAACTGTAGTCGATCAGTCAAGACGTGTGGTGTCTGGAGTTTGTTGTGGCTCCAGTGCAAAACTAAATAAGCAAACTTCAGACAACAAATACGTCTCAGCTGATCGACCACATCTAAAGTAAGGGGGGAAAATTGTGTACATTTTATTTTGTTTGCTGAACTGTCACTTCAAGCTGCCCTTGGTTGCCCCCTTGATCTTCACTCCTCCGTCTGGGTCCAGGTTAGTAGTCCACAGTGAGGAACAGTGCAATAACAGATTAGGCTGTGCTGCTGGTTACAGCTCAGTTTTGAGTTCTGATAACAGCGTCCTGAAGTTCTCCAGTTCTCTGATGCTCGTGGAGAGTCTGGAAAAATGTGGACATTATATCACTGTTAGTTTTGGAAATGGTACTATTAAGACTTACACCGATCAGGCATAACATTCTGACCACCTCCTTGTTTCTACACTCATTGTCCATTTTATCAGCTCCACTTACTATATAGGTGCACTTTGTAGTTCTACAGTTACAGACTGTAGTCCATCTGTTTCTCTGATACTTTGTTAGCCCCCTTTTACCCTGTTCTTCAGTGGTCAGGACCCCCATGGACCCTCACAGAGCAGGTACTATTTGGGTGGTGGGTCATTCTCAGCACTGCAGTAACACTGATTTGGTGGTGTGTTAGTGTGTGTTGCGCTGGTCTGAGTGGATCAGACACAGCAGTGCTGCTGGAGTTTTTAAACACCTTGTCAGTCCACCTTGTAGATGTAAAGTCAGAGACGATAGCTCATCTGCTGCTGCACAGTTTGTGTTGGTCATCCTCTAGTCCTTCATCAGTGGTCATAGGACGCTGCCCACAGGACGCTGTTGGCTGGATATTTTTGGTTGGTGGACTATTCTCAGTCCAGCAGTGACACTGAGGTGTTTAAAAACTCCAGCAGCGCTGCTGTGTCTGATCCACTCGTACCAGCACAACACACACTAACACACCACCACCACGTCAGTGTTACTGCAGTGCTGAGAATGATCCACCACCCAAATAGTACCTGCTCTGTGAGGGTCCATGGGGGTCCTGACCACTGAAGAACAGGGTAAAAGGGGGCTAACAAAGTATCAGAGAAACAGATGGACTACAGTCTGTAACTGTAGAACTACAAAGTGCACCTATATAGTAAGTGGAGCTGATAAAATGGACAATGAGCGTAGAAACAAGGAGGTGGTCATAATGTTGTGCCTGATTGGTGTATAGTGAAGTTCACAGTGTTGGAATCATCATATAAAACCGATTTTGTAGCAGATGCATGTATAAAATTGTTAATATTGTTAATAAATGAGAAAAGCTTTATAAGACTGAGTTCTAATAAAATGGCTACCTAAAATGTAGTTCCAGTAACGCATCCAGAATGAGGTTCTAATAAAATAAATATACTTAATAACTTTTGTAATAAAATGAATATCAGACTGAAGTGTTATACAATTAATGTCTAATTAATATACAGCATTAAAACATTATTCCGGAAATAAACTGTACAAAGTTCTAATAAAATGAATATCCAGAATGAAGTTCTAACAAAATTAACATCCAGAATGAGGTTCTATTCAACTTATTATCCTTAATGAACTAATAATAAAACCAATATCCAAATAATATATACAATTAACACATAGTACAATTTATTTCTGGAATAAAGTTCTAATAAAATGAATATTCAGAATGAAATCCTAATAAAATGAATATCCAGTATGACGTTCTAGTACAATTAACACCCAAACTGAAGTTCTAATATTATTAGTGAAAACAATTAATATCCTTTCAATATATGCAATTAATATACAGTACAGTTTATTTTCGGAATACAGTTTTAATAAAATTAATATTAAGAATAAAGTTCTAATAAAATTAATATCCAGAAGCTTAATACTTCAAAAGCAGTGATGAAATCTTGAGGCAGATAAAGTTGATCTGATATTACAGTAAGATACATAATTACAGTATATTATTTATCATTTAACCCTATTCAACACATTTATGGCACAGACTAAAAGTTTTGAACCACACAGCGATGAGCTGTGAGTCAGAAAGATTCATGTAAGATCACTGCATGCTCGTGTTACTGCTGGTGACTTTTACCTTCTAAAGACCATTAGATGTTAGTAATATATAATATTATGATTTCATTACATACTGGACACATTATTATTAAATAAAACAGTGTCTGAATTTATTATAGGTAAAATATTACTGTGACGAGGGATCCCAAACATTGGAACATTAGAGTGAGTATTAATGATGAGACTGTACCTCCCAAAGGCGTTAAAGAGTGAGACGATCTCTTGGCGGCTGAGCTGGAATGAGGGTTTGGAGCTGCTGGATGAGGCAGAGTCTCGATCTGCTTCTCCGAGAACAGAATCTTCAGAGCTGTACCCAAACCCTGCGTCTGATACACAAACAAAACCATTAAACATTTTCAAAATTGCATAATTAAACGGTTAAGATGTAAACAAAGTCATTTAGAGTGGTTTGGTTTGAAATGCTCTGTTCTAAAGAAACATAACGTTCAGTACACAAGTAAACAGTCAACATGTAGCCAAATAGACAGGCAAGGCCTTTGGCTATTAAAGAGGAATTCCACCTATTTAGAATTTCTGCATAATTAAATGGTTCAGATATAAACAGAGTCATTCAGAGTGGTTTGGTGTGAAACGCTCTGTTCTAGAGAAACTTACAGAGTCAGAATTGTTCAAAGTGGTGGTGATAGGAACCAGACGTCCACCTCTAAAAGCTCCCTCACAGAAAGTTACCACATGAAATGGTTATGAATTCACTGCCTGATGACTGAGACACTGTTTTATGATAGTTTTGAGAAGGTTCTGACCTGATATATATCTAGTAAATATATATTTAGCATATATTTTAAAAATCCATTCATAGTGGAGGGGTATCACAAGGCAAAAGAGTCCCCTAAGAAAACGTATTATTTTAGATTTACCACATCACATATAAACACTCAGAAGGCTCGTGTGGGTTCACTGGTGGTTTTGGAGATAAATAAAATGTCTATATTTGTGTTGTAGTCATGGCGACCCCTGGTTCCTATCACCACCACTGTAAAGACATCTGAACCATTTCACACCAAACCACTCTGAATGACTCTGTTTACATCTCAGCCACTGAATTATGCAGAAATGTTGAAAAATTGGTGGATAAATTCCCCTTTAAATACTGCATACATATATACAAGTTATTCACTGTAGGGCTAAATGATTTGGGGAAAATATCTAATTGTGATTTTTCAAAGCAGTACTGTGATTGTGATTTTTATAAACTGAGGTTCAGGCTTATTCTTTTGGCCAGGCAGTCTGATCTGATCGAACTTACCTACAGATCACAAGCTCTATTATATCAAATTTTCCAGCTTAAAACTTGTAGGCTTTCAAATTGCGATTTCAGTGTAAAAACGATTCATCTTTCAGCCCTAATTCACTCAGGAAAGTCCGAGACTGGTGCGTTTTCAGTCCTCTCACCTGCAGCTTGCCCCAGAGTCTACACTTAAAGCATCCCACACAGTCCATGATCCTGGAGATGTTTTTAAACGTCAGCTTGAAGTCATCCTGATGGACAGAACAGAAAGGTGAGTACACAACGTCAGACTGTGCTCCTTATATTTATCATAGTAATAACGTTTTTTAAAGAAAGTACAAAAATGCGCTGACTTTTAGTTTAGCTGCTTCTTTCCTGTCACCAGCAAACAGTGTGGTTTCATCAAAATGCAGCGGGAAAGATCTGGAAATGCAGATAATCATCGCTTTACTTTAGATAAAACAGCATAAATAAAGAGTAAGCAATGCGGTGTATGCAGGCATGAGTCACTTTTGCTAGTCTGCGGATCTCACATGTCTAAAAACTCTAATATTCACAGTAAATATCACATTAATCAGAATCAGAATTGTTTTTACTAGCCAAGCAAGACATCAGAGATATTAATCTTAGCAGTAGCTCACATCAAGACACACATAATAACAAGTAAAGACATTATAATTAAAAAAGAGGAGAAGAGAAATGAATGCAATACTAAAAGGAATGGAACCAAAAAAATGAGAAAATAACATTACTAGTAGTGAAATATCTACTAATATATGCTGAATGTATGAAATACACTGAGTGAACAACACTGTGAGTCACAAATCACACAAGTAAAGATGAGTGCATGCAGTACTCCTACTTGGCCATGTGGAGGAGCTCCAGCAGCAGCTCTTTATACTCCCTGTCCTGCTCTGGCTGGCCGGTGTACAGGTTGAAGGAGGGGCGCTCGAAGTAAGGAAGGACTTTAGCCAGCGCTCGGAGCTCAATCAGATAGAGGAAGTAGAGATTGCGGAGCCGTTTAGGCCCCTCCCCTTTCGTCAGCTCTTCATCAAATCTCAGCTGGAACTCGGTGACGTTATGCCCCCACTTCCTCTCGAACCAGTTATCTGAGGAGTCAGAAAATGCAGGGTGACCAAAATGGAACAATTACAAACCTCAAACAACAAGAAATGATGTGGAATATGATTAAATCCATCTATTATTTCTCTGCATACTTTGTTAGCCCCCTTTTACCCTGTTCTTCAGTGGTCAGGACCCCCATGGACCCTCACAGAGCAGGTGGATCATTCTCAGCACTGCAGTAACACTGACGTGGTGGTGGTGTGTTAGTGTGTGTTGTGCTGGTCTGAGTGGATCAGACACAGCAGTGCTGCTGGAGTTTTTAAACACCTCAGTGTCACTGCTGGACTGAGAATAGTCCACCAACCAAAAATATCCAGCCAACAGCGTCCTGTGGGCAGCGTCCTGTGACCACTGATGAAGGACTAAAGGATGATTAGCTCATACTGTACAGCAAGAGATAAGCTATCTTTCTGGCTTTACATCTACAGGGTGGACCAACAATGCAGGTGCGTCTAATAGAGTGGACAGTGAGTGGGCACAGTATATTTTATATGCAATTCTTACTTTACATTTGCATTTTGTATTTTTATGTATTTTTGTTACAGTAGCGTAGTCTAGTACTATTACAAACTTATTTAAAGCTGCACTATGTGAGATTTGGGGATTTGGAGACCTCTCTGGTAGAAATGTGTAATTGCATGCAATGTATGGAAGAACACTTTTTTCAGAACTCTGACTTTTAAATGATTATTTCAGGCTTTTTATTGACACTTCTTTCAATTTTCATAAGAAATCTTTTATACAAAGTGCTGCTTTAAAAACTTGATTTGGAACCTTCTTTTTTATTTGAACAGTGTTTTGTTTTTTTTGGCCTAAAACAAAAAGGTTTTGGGCAACTATGAGCTACTATATGTTTGGAATCTTAAGTTTTGCACTTGAGCTACAAGGCCAATGTAGCTAACAAGTAATGGAAACTTATACTCCACCAATTATCTGCAGGCCTGAATCATCATTCGCATCAAACCATGTGCAGTTTTTCAGAAATGTCTAATAGATTTATGTGGTTTCTGACACTGTCTGACACACTGTTATCTATAAACAAGCACTAAAGGTCGCTGCTACTGTTTTGAGCTATGTGTTGACCTGACAGTGTAATCAAGTCTATTAAAGATTACAGAACAACTCCACACGCTTTGAGGTGAGTGCGTGATGATTTAGACATGCTAACTAGCAAATTAGTAACTTTCCATTACTTATAACTTTAACTTCGGAGCCCAAAACTAAAGTGCCAAACTAAAGAACTTCAGACACCGGACTTGTCTTGTATGACTCAGTACATTTGAGGCAGGAAGGAAAATTAGATTAATGGCCAAACTATCACTTTAAAGGAGCTCCAGATTAAACCAGTGACACATCCTGCACAAATCTCAGGTCAGCTGCTTATCTGACCTTTCCTCTCTTTCAGCAGCAAGTTTGAATGACTCACCGGCCAGCAGGTATCTTGCGCTCAGGTGGACGTTTATACTGGCATGTAGTCCTGAAACAAGTCTATAGAAAGCTCTCTTCTCCACACACAGACCTAAATAGAGCACAGAGCCATGTTAAAAAGCAATAGAGACGCTTAAGCACTACTGGAGCTGGATTCGTTTCACTGCAGGAGGTTGTATAATGTTTGGGATTTCATTGGTTGAGTAGTTTGGCATAAAATATCTGAGTAATTTCCTCAAATTCCCACAGCCTGAATAGTCATAGACAAGATAATAATGTTACCGTTACCCCATAGGACCCACTCAATAACAATAACGACACGGCCACGTCTACTAGTGGGTTTTATTATCCCATTAGCATGAGGTCAATTAAAACAGGACAACTATTACTGAGAGAGCTCCAGGTTCGGCCAATTACAGAAGAACTTTCAGTTTTTACAGACTGTAAAACTACACACACTGCAGATTCATACTGGATTAAAATCACTCCACAATTATTACTGTCAGACTGTAAAACTACACACACTGCAGATTCATACTGGATTAAAATCACTCCACAATTATTACTGTCAGACTGTAAAACTACACACTGCAGATTCATACTGGATTAAAATCGCTCCACAATTATTACTGTAAAACTACACACACTGCAGATTCATACTGGATTAAAATCACTCCACAATTATTACCGTCAGACTGTAAAACTACACACACTGCAGATTCATACTGGATTAAAATCGCTCCACAATTATTACTGTCAGACTGTAAAACTACACACACTGCAGATTCATACTGGATACTCACCTTCTAACCACCTATAGAATCCCTTTCCTGAAAAGCAGAAGAAGTTTTTTTTAGTATGTTATTATGTTCATCAATTAACTAATTAATTAAGGCAAACTTTCACAAAAAATAAACATCTTACTTACCTTCACTCTCACCTAAAACAGAAGCAAGAAATTGGAATAAATAAAAGATTTACACTGAATAAATATTCAGGGATATGGTGTATTTTCATACTCATTTTTCTCCAAACAACATTATTTTTATTTTATAAGAAACACTCACCGCTGCTTGATACCAGGGGATTCAGGGGTCTTTGAACTGTATACGGTCTAAGAGTTTAAAACAAATGGAGTTGTTTTATACAGATTAGCATTAAAAAGCACTGATCAACTAAAGGCTGCTATTAATATCAACTTCTATAATCTTACTTGAAGCAGTTCTCTTCATATATACTGTTCCATATCTGCCACGCCTCAGGACCCTTATATCCAGTGTATCTCTCAGGGTTCAGGAGAAGGTCCACATACTGTGCATGCGGAGAGTCTTCATCTGGAAAAAATGAAATATTAAAATATTTAGAGAATATTTTAATTTTTTTTCAGTTCAAAATCAATCAATCAATCAATCAAGCAATCAACCTTTATTTCAACTCGGAAGTACATTGAGGGTGACCCTCATTTACAATGTAGCTGAGCAAATTACAAGAGATTGAAAAAGTTTAAATGAAATTTACCAACTAAAACAAAGGAAAATCATCAAGACAAAAAGATTTATTAAAAAAATAATAATTAAAATAAAAAAACAGCTCTAATAGAAAACAGGCATAAAATATCAATAAAATAAAAACACATTAAAATGAAGTAAAGGACCAACTTAGATACTAAGCAAGAAAAAAACTATTTTAGAAAAATCAAATTATTTACTAAAATAGAACAGTAAAAGAAATTAACATCAAATAAATTGCAAGTCGTAATAAAATATTAAAATATAATAATAATAATAATAATGCTAATAATACTCATAATAATAATAAAATTCTTTATGAGCATATATGTACATTTCTCTTTCTAAAGCAAATGTCAGAAACTCCTCAATCCAGTCATCCTTAGTTGAGATCAGTAAATCTTTGACGACGATTTGATTCAGTTGGATTGTTTTGATAAGATTCAGAATTACATATAAAAAACCCTGAATGTATAAACATGACTGGAGGATCTGTTTACACAGTAGTGGAACACAGACACTACATCAAGATCTTTTTTCTTTTTTTAATTCAGCCAAAAAATGAGCCTTATCGAATTTCATTTCTTATAACTGATTCTAATCAATTAGTCATATGCAAATGTTTAGGCACCCCGGTGTTGATTTTTCTATGGTTTCTAACCACAGTAACCATAGTAACTTCTACTAACCACAGAAGAAATATTCTGGAGCTGTGTAGAACCCTTTTCAAAAAGGTTCTATATAAAACCATCGATAGCACATTGTCCATCAGTCTGAAGAACCATTTCATGATGCAAAGAACCCTTTAAGCATGCAAAGTGTTCTTTGAGTGTTCATGGTTCTATGTAGAACCATTTTCTTTACTAACGAACCCTTAAAGGACCATCATTAAGTGTGTAAGTGTAAATAAGTGAACACATCCTCTACAGGGAAAACACATTTTAATACACAATTACTGTGTATTTGAATTTAACATGTTGGGAAAAAACAAACATAAAATGTTATTGTTGTTTTTTCCATTATGTTAAATTCAGCTAATAAACAGTCATGGTGTATTAAAAAGTGCAGAAGATGTGCTCAATCATCAAAGCGTGTCATTTGACCGGGGTTGTTAAAACTGTATAAGGTCCCAGTTTAACTGCCAGTCTCAGAATGCATCAGTGTGTTTTTACACCTCTACTCGGGATCGTAACTTTCTATCTCGTCGCGCTTGCATTACGGTAAAGAAGGCAGAGTGTCATAAAGACGGAAACGTCCTTTTCAGCAAAATTACCATCGTGCATGCAGAACCGGTCGGCCTCATCGTCGTGCCTGTTCCACTCCAGGAGAGCTTGTCGGGTTTCATCACTGAACAACACAAACAGATGCAGAGTCAGAACTGATACGAGTGTTTATACACACACACACACACAGACACACACACAGACACACACACAGACACACACACAGACACACACACAGACACACACACACAGACACACACACACAGACACACAGCATCGTTACAGTTTAACAGACTTAATTAAAAGCATGGCAGACCGTCACAAACATTAGAGGGTAATAATATTTTGGATGCACAATAGATGAATGAATGGTGGTGATGAGATATGACTCTGTTGCTGGAGCTCAGAGATACTAGACATGTACTAGTTCATTTAAAGGGGAATTCCACCAGTTTTTCAAAATTTCTGCAGAATTAAAAGATTAAGATGTAAACAGAGTCATTCAGAGTGGTTTGGTGTGAAATGCTCTGTTCTAGAGAAACTTACTGGTTATGAATTCGCTGCCTGATGCCTGAAACATTGGTTTACGATAGTTTTGAGAAGATTTTTGGCCTTAAACTCCCTTCATGGTGGAGCGACACATGCAGGGTGCTGTGAGGCAAAATAGTCCCCAAGGAAAAATTATTATTTCAGATTTACCACAATTTCACCATCATCAAGATTCCATATATAAACTCAGAAGACTCGTGTAGGTTCACTGGTGGTTTTGGATAGTAAATGAAATGTCTATATTTGTGTTGTAGTCATGGCGACCCCTGGTTCCTATCACCACCACTGTAAAGACATCTGAGTCAATCAACCATTTCACACCAAACCACTCTGAATGACTCTGTTTACACCTTAATGACCGTATTATACAGAAATGTTGAAAAATTGGTGGAATTCCCCTTTAAATACTAGAGTAATTCACAGTATGGATAAATGATTTGGGGAAAATCTCTAATTATGATTTTTTTAAACTAATACTGTGATTGTGGTTTAAACTGAGATCATTTTTATAAACTAAGGTTTATAAAAATTTGTTCTTTATAAAAATTGTTCTTTTTTGGCCAGGCAGTCTGATCTGATCAAACTTACCAACAGTTAACAAGCTCTATTTTATCAGGCAAAATCTTCCCACTTAAAACTTGTAGGCTATAATTAAAAATGCACACTTTGTGATTTGAAAAACTGGTGGAATTCCCCTTTATTTCCCAATACTTACACACACATTTATTTAATATGCATCTACATTCAATTCTTATTTCAAGAAAAGTGAGGAAAATTCAGCTTTTAAAGATAGAGGCCCTTTAAACATCTGAACACACTGCCTGTGTTAAATAAGACACACTTTGCTTACAGTAATACAGAATGTGTTGTTCTTAACTGGACACCCAGATGTGTGTAAAGAAACACACTATGTGCTGTTTTTAGCACTCAGTTTTAATGGCGTATTAGGTGCAGTGTTGGGTTTTTGGTAGCGGTGTTTTACCTCAGAGAGCCGTTGACGGCTCCAAGCTTCTCTGCCATTTCACACTCCTCCGTGTGTTTGCTGGTCTCTAATGAAGGCTGTTCACACCAACACATTCAATCATTAACCAGCTTCTGCAGCGCTGCTTAGAACAATCACTTCAATAGAGAACATGAAAACCACACAGCTCCTACACACACACACACACACACACACACTTATCCCGCTCAGCTCACCTACAGCCTGTCCAGTCACCACAGACTTCCATTAAAAAAAAAAAAAACTTTTTTTAGTTATGAATTTTTAAAGTTTGTCTTTACAAGTTATATATTAAGTTTTACTTCTTACTATATTATACTATACTATGACTGAGCTGAGCTGAGACTGGATATATATAGGCTACAACACTTTAAATCAAGTCAGAGCACATCTGTAATTTTTTTCTATTTTAATCAAACATAACTGTTCTCATTCAGAAAAACAATAAAAGTTGGAAGGAAGTAAAATTGGTCCCTTTTGAGAAAATACAGGGTCTAAAAGGCAAATGTTTAGCTGTGAAGCCGTTAATAACTCATGGTGTAGTTTCAAATATTACCTGCTGAAATTATTCAATCATGGTTTGGATAGAAATTTAGGAATACAACATAAAACATACATTTTCTTAATAAAACTAACTGAATAATTAATTTTCAAACTTGACATTTTTCATAATCTGATGAAACAACAGATACAGATGGTTAAACAAGTTAAGCCTCTTCTGGGGTTCATCCTAAAGTTAGGACAGTATTTAGGAGGTTTAGTCTAGTCAGGATGTTTGTGTGATACTGTTTTCTTATCTGGAGTTAACAGATAAGTTTATGAACTTAAGAACTGTTGCTCTGTAATAGCGTCTGTCCTAAATTCAGTCCTGACTCAAGTTGTCATGGTGACTAAGCAAATAAGATAATACATCAGAAAATACATCTAATAAATTAACATGAAACCAGTTGATGTAAAGTGGAATATTATCCTTATTGTATTGTGTTGCATTTATACTCATTTAATATTTCAGCTCATTTCAGTCATTCTGTAAGCAGTTAAACTCAGTATTTAATATTTCAATATCCAATTTAGAAAGCGATGGGGCAAAATTCATAACTAAAAAACAGCTCAGTTCTGAAATTTTTCAAGGTTGCAGGAACTAAACAGATGTTTTTGCTTACATTTTTGACATGACTGGACAGGCCATAAGTGAGTTGCCATGGAATGACCCTATATTTACTAATTCACATAAATGAATTGAAACACTTTTATCTAAAGTGATTTAATGTGGTTAAATAAATACAAATGTAAACCTTCAGGACAATAAATTTTTTTTACCTTGTGATTGTTGGATTTCAGCCCCTCAGGCACTTCATTCTGTAAATATTAAATATATATGACGGTACCTTATACAGGCTCACTAGCACAGAAAACCTTCATAAAGACCCTGTAGTGAAGAAATATGACTCACAGCAGTGCATGGTTTAACAGCGCAGTCCCTGAGCCCACAGTGTCCACTGTCTGTCCAGAACGGACATGGGTTATTCAGATTGACCTGAAGAGGAGACGGTTAGCAGCCAAAAGTGAAGAGCAAAAGGGATGAAATGTTCTTGAGGATCATATGTATCATATATATCTGCATATTAACTAACCATCATTAGCCATTTTGCATATGTTATCAGCTTTGTGTATCTACTATATTTATGTTGATGAAATTCAACCGATTTTTCACATTTTCTAAATAATTAAACAGTTAAGATGTAAACAAAGTCATTCAGAGTTTTAGAGAAAGAGTCAGAATTGTTCACAGTGGTGGTGATAGGAACCAGACGTCCCCCTCTAAAAGCTCCCTCACAGAAAGTTACTACATGAAATGGTTATGAATTCACTGCCTGATGTCTGAGATGTTTTTTACATTTTTATGGTGGAGCGGTGCACGCAGGGTGTTTTAGGGAAAAACGGTACCCAAATTTTTTTTTTTTTTTCAGATTTATCACTATTTTACCATAATTAAAATTCCATATAAACTCAGAAGACACGTGTAGGTTCATTGGTGGTTTTGAATAGTAAATAAAATGGCTATATTTGTGTATATTTACAACCATTCGTCATATATGCTTATGTAAACATGCTAACAGAAATACCTCTGTTCCTATCCTCTCATATTTTACTCTAATTTATGTCCATTTTTATTTTTGCCTAATATATTTAAGTTTATGTGCAATTATATGTCTTGCTACTGTAACACTGAAATTTCCCTTTGTGATCAATAAGGTTATCTATCTATCTATCTATCTATATATCTATCTATATATCTATCTATATATATTTGCATACATCGTGACTCAGGGGGCTGTATTACAGAAACTTCCTATCTTTTTGTCTTAAGTTAAGATCTGACAGGTCAAGATAAGATTTCTCACAAATTCGTATTGCAGAAGCAAATCTGATCTTACTTTAGGAATCTTATCTTACAGCATCTTATCTCGAATTAGGAAATCTTAACTCACTCAATCGAAGTCGACAATGAACTGTCATGTCTAGTTTTGTTTAGGTCAAACAAAACTAAAGCGTGATAAACTGAAAGTTAAGAATATTGTTTCAGTGCTTCCTGCTGTTTATCAGAGTCGCCGCTCCCCAGTTTCAGTCTCCATTTCCCCAAACGCTTTAGCCGAGCGCGCTAACGTTACTCCTCCTAATAAACAGACACACGTTCAGCTCCGTCTCCTCATTATTCACCACCATCACTGTAATATTTCATCATCAACATTAACACACGAAGGTGATCAGAGGGGCGGTGGAGATCGAGTCTGCAGCGTCTGGGGGTTTTTAAACGCTGTTAAAAAAAACCCCTCACAAGTCAAAGCACCATTTTCAGTGTTAATAAATGTATCATCATTCTAGTTATAGTGAACTGTGCTGCCGGTCACTGCATAAAACAACAGATACAGATGGTTAAACAAGTTAAGCCTCTTCTGGGGTTCATCCTAAAGTTAGGACAGTATTTAGGAGGTTTAGTCTAGTCAGGATGTTTGTGTGATACTGTTTTCTTATCTGGAGTTAATGATAAGATCATGAACTTAAGAACTGTTGCTCTGTAATAGCGTCTGTCCTAAATTCAGTCCTGACTCAAGTTGTCATGGTGACTAAGCAAATAAGATAAGATTTCAGACTTAAGAAGTTTCTGTAATACGGCCCCTGATTCCTATCACCACCGCTGTAAGGAAATCGGTACTCAGTGTAATGTAATGTGTCAGACAGTTTCTCTACAATGAACCTTTTCAGGTCTATCCACTCCGAATGACTTTTATTTATTTTTTTTTTTTTTACATCGCAGCGACTGAATTATGCAGAAATTATGGAAAATTGGTGGAGTTCCCCTTAAACATCATCTTATCTTAAAAGAAGAAAGTCTTCAGCAGAGTGTTCAGAAAAAGGTCTCACCTTATAGAACCTGAAATAATCTGAGGAGAGGAGCTTCTGGAGTTTAGTGAAGAGGTTCCTGTTGTTGAAGTTGTCGAGAGTTTCTACATCACAGGCACAGTCATCCAGGCTGCCTGTGACCTGATGGAAGAGGAACAGAGAGTAAAGTAAGGTTTAATTTAGCCTGAACTGGGAAACCCACTGGCTGCTTCTCTGCAGAAAAACGAGAATTAAAACAATTAGGATTAAAACCTGATAGATTTTTTGACTTCTAACCAGAGTTGGCTTAATGGTTACCATAGAGACTACTAGTTTCCTATAGGACACCTTTAGGAAACCACCAAATGCATATGGAATCAGTCACAGGTCACCTGATAAACCAGTAGAATCCTTTACACTGTGATATCAACCCCACAGGAAAACACAGAACACCATTAGTAACTACTGGACGCCACCAGGAACCAGCAGACACTTTAATGGCTTCTACGTTTTTTCAGCAGGGATTTCAGGCCATTATGTCCCGGTTTGATGTATATTATGGTTAAATGTTTCTTAACAGTTACCATTAGCGACCACTAGTTTACTGTTTCTCAACCCTGGTCCTGGAGGCCCACAGTCCAGCACATTTTCTGTGCTCTTCCCGATGTAACACGTCCACTTTAACTCAAGGTGTGCGTTTACGTGCACTCAATAATCCGATCATAATCGGATTTCGGCAGTTATCTGATTATTTAAATGGTCATGTAAACAGCACACACCGATCTATAAATCTGATTAAGAAATCTGATAAAGAGAGCTGAATTTTAGCTCAGTAATCAGATTTTTTAGTGCATGTGAACTCTTACTCTGATTTCTTTCGGATTTCTCAGTCTGCGCATGTGTGAAAACAGGCCGCGGTACCGGAAATAAGCGAGCAGCGTCGCCGTGAGACGACACATGCTTGACAAAATGAATGATTTAAATATTCTTCATCTTCTAGATGATGTGTGTTCATAATTTCAGGTAAAGTGGAACGATGTTTTTAAAAGCCGCAGCATAAAGTTTGAGTTTACGCTACGTCACGTCTTCTTCTGTGAGTTTACTGGCTGGTTGTGAAAGTAGAAATCTGATTACTGTCTGGCTCATGCAGACCCAGAGTTTCCCCATTATCTGATCACTCAAGTGCATGTAAACATGTCGATCAGATTACTGACAAAATCTGATTTTCTGCAGTTATCAGATTATTAAGTGCATGTAGACGCACTCACTGCTGTAGGACACCTTTAGATCCTATTAGGAAGCCATCAAATGCACCTGGACTCAGTCACAGCTCACCTGATAAACCACTAGAGTCCTTTACACTGCGATATCAACCCAACAGGAAAACACAGAACACCATTAGACGCCACCAGGAACCAGCAGACACTTTAATGGCTTCTATGTTTCTTCATCAAGGATTTCAGGCCATTATGTCCCGGTTTTATGTATATTTTAATGTATTTTTACGTGGTTTAAGAAGATAATAGGGAACCATTAGGGTTAAAACCTGATGGTTTTGCTTTCTAACCAGAATTGGCTAAATGGTTACCATTAGAGACCACCGGTTTTCTGTAGGACACCTTTAGGAAAGCATCAAATGCACCTGGAATCAGTTTGAGAACACCTGTTAAACCATTAGTCCTTTACACGGTGAAATCAACCCAACAGGAAGACATACAATACTATTAGAGACTGCTGGTCACCACCAGACACTTTTAATGGGTCCTCTGATGTCCAGCAGGTAGAAGCAGGTACATGTGAGGTTTTATGATGCTGCACGATGAGAAGATGAATAATGTAAGAACTGAACTTACTTTGCAGAAACATCTCGCCCAGCTGCCCGGAAGGACAGTAAACAGAGCGAACAGAGGCAGAAACAGGTTCATTGCTCTCCGGTGGAGCCTCAGCTGAATAAAGCAGCCAGCTGGTCTGAAAAATAGGAAAATATCTGCCCGTTTAGCTCAGAAACACCGACACATCTGCTGGAACTGCAGGCTGGTTTAAAGCTGATGTGTTAACTCATATTCACTTCCTGTTGCCTCACGCAGGAGCGTGAACGAGGCTGAAGTCGGCTTCCTATTCGCCAGCTTTCTCGTTCCACATTTTCCCGTTCCACCTTAAATGCTGCATGTATCATTATAACGGTTCAACTGCCAGAATGTAACTGTTGCGCATTTAAGGTGGACCGGGAAAATTCGAATGAGAAGCTGGCGAATAGGAAGCCAACTTCAGCCTCGGGGAACGTGAACTACGTGACAGACGAGTCTGAACGACACAATGCAGTATATTAATTTTTAAACCGTAAAATGAAACTGTAAAATGTAGTTTAACAACGAGAGAGGCGAGAGTCGAAGTGTTCTCCTACTGAAAATATGAATTTGGTTCAGTAAAAAATCTTCGTGTTTTGGTCCAGAAAGCGGTTTTAAACATTACCCACAGCTTCGAGGAGGGCATGTGTACAGAAACCTGTCTATCTACGTCTTTTCACCTCGATAACTGAGTAGCTGTGGTCAATCTTTTAAAACAAAAATCGATTTTTCCTCAGTGAATCGAGACAAACTCTAGATAGCAATGCGCTGAGCTCGCCACGAGATGGCGCCTAAGACCAACTCTCGCTGGACGGCTGACGTCTTAACTTAAAGGGGACCACGTCCTATATTTTTCTTGTCTTGCATTTTGTTTTTACCCGCCACTTAAGACATTTCTACGGAGCCCCGCCGGTGACATCCTGTATACATAAAAAATAATGCGTGGCCACGACTTAGTAAGGCGTGGGAACGAGATCCTAATGCGTGGCCACGACTTAGTAAGGCGTGGGAATGAGATGGTTGAGCCGTGGCCACAACTTAGTAAAGCGTGGGAACGAGATCACGGCTTACTAAGTCGTGGCCACGCATCAGGGTCTCATTTCCACGCTTTACTAAGGCGTGGCCACGACTTAATCATCTCATTCCCACGCCTTACTAAGTCATGGCCACGCATTATTTTTATTTATACAGGATGTCACCAGCAGGGCTCCGTACATTTGCATGGTTTTATATACAAAAAAGAGAAGTGGAAATTCATTTTATATGCATTTCTCCTCACTTCTTGCTATTCCAGGCTATGTCTGAGATACTGTAATTAAATATAATGATTGCATTTCACACAGAAATACTTTACTTACTATAATTTATATATTTGGTCAACAAAATACTGTATTCCATTGCTGTTCTGGTTGCTACCTCAGTGACTGCAATGCTCATATATCCTAGGCTATCTGCTCATCTGATAAGTCATAGTATCGTACATCCTCCTTTGCACAGCCCCACATACTCTCAGTACCGTGAACTGTCTCTGTGTTCTGTTCTGTATTTATTGTAAGTCTTTCGTGTTTATTTATTGTACTGTATTGTCTGCACTGTGTATATTGCATTGTTTTGCACTTGTGTTCCTGTGTTGGTCCTGGAGGAATGTTGTTTCGCTTCACTGTGTAGAGCTGAAATGACAATAAAGCCTCTTCAAGCGGTCTGTTTTGGTCACAGTGCCATTAAAATTGGTATATTCAAGGATGATATACACTGAAACAAGACAGGCTATTATCAGGTACAGGCCAATAAATGCTATATAAAAGTAAAATAAGGGTATAAAAGTGTGCAAAAGGTATTCAAGCAGTATAAAATGTTTGCCAAGTTTATCATTACAGTACTTTGTAGTAGCAATACAGCAAAGTACACAGTGTGTAAGTCACCTCAGACACAGGGGACTTTTGGAGGACCTGCATAAATGTGTAATAAATTGGAAAAAGACCTAAAAAGTGAGATTAAATAATGTTTCACACTCATGTTTATTTCCACTTGGAGCTGCACTGGACATTTGTTCATAGTTTGTTATGAAAATAAACAAAAGTAGCCTTAGTAATGTGAAATATCCTAACCATGTTTTGTTAAAAATTTGCCTTGTGGTCAGCAGCAGAGGGCTGTGATACCAGACTGTGATGCAGATGGTCAGTAAGCTCTCCATTGTGGACCTGTAGATGTGGTGAGGGAGGAGACAGAGGAGTTCTCAGTTGCTGGGCTACAATTCTACAATTACAGACTGTTGTCCATCTGTTCCTCTGCATACTTTGTTATCCTGTTCTTCAATGGTCAGGACCCTCACAGAGCAGGTACTATTTGGGTGGTGGATCATTCTCAGCACTGCAGTAACACTGACGTGGTGGTGGTGTGTCAGTGTGTGTTGTGCTGGTACAAGTGGATCAGACACAGCAGTGCTGCTGGCATTTTTAAACACTGTGTCCACTCACTGTCCACTCTATAAGACCCTCCCACCTTGGCAGTCCACCTTGTAGATGTAAAGTCAGAGACGATAGCTCATCTGCTGCTGCACAGTTTGTGTTGGTCATCCTCTAGTCCTTCATCAGTGGTCACAGGGCGCTGCCCACAGGACGCTGTTGGCTGGATATTTTTGGTTGGTGGACTATTCTCAGTCCAGCAGTGACACTGAGGCGTTTAAAAACTCCAGCAGCACTGCTGTGTCTGATCCACTCAGACCAGCACAACACACACTAACACACCACCACCACGTCAGTGTTACTGCAGTACTGAGAATGATCCACCACCCAAATAGTACCTGCTCTGTGAGGGTCCATGGGGGTCCTGACCACTGAAGAACAGGGTAAAAGGGGGCTAACAAAGTATGCAGAGAAACAGATGGGACTACAGTCTGTAACTGTAGAACTACAAAGTGCACCTATATAGTAAGTGGAGCTGCTAAAATGGACAATGAGCGTAGAAACAAGGAGGTGGTCATAATGTTCTGGCTGACCGGTGTAGTATTCTCTATTGTTTCAGACGCAGCCGAGTTCAGCCGGAGCAGGAAGCCCGCCAAATTGACGTCAATTCCTGAGGCGGGTCCAGATGTCAAACGTCGACCAATAGAAACGCGGCTGAACGAAAGTGCACGCCCCTTCTGACGTCGTCGTCCTCAGCGCGGGAGAACCGGCTGCTGTTTTGAAGAATCGCCAACGGACAAAGTGAGTAGAGCTAAAAAAACGGCTTTAAATGAAATTATTTTACTTAAAAGTCGATTTTTTAGTGATTAAATGTCGTCCAGTACTGTTTAATGTGTTTTTAGAGCTTATGTTTAGCTGTTAAGTCGCCCAAATATGGACTACCAGTAGTAAGTGACGAATGTTGTAGGAATTTTCCCGTTCCACCTTAAATGGTAGGTTAACTGCTGCAGCATTTAAGGTGGAACGGGGAAATTCGAATAAGAAGCTAACTTCGCGTGTTAAAGTTGATCATTTTTACAACATAGCTGCAGAAATGAGCGCATTTTAGCGTTTTGCTTCGTTAGGTTGGAGAAGTATCTGCTTTTTATTTTCTTTTAAGTGACTTTTATTGTGTCTCTGATCCACTTTATGTTCTCAAACTTGACATTTTCTCTGAAGCGAGTTAGTTTAGCTGTTAAAGCTCTTTAATCCTGTGTGTGAAGCGGTTAATCTGTGTGAGCTAGTGCACGTGAGGCCCACTGCTGGGTGACACTGAAACAAGAAGTATTACTGACTTATATTTCCTGATATTGAAGTTTAGCATTAATAATAATAATAATAATAATAATAACTCTTTAAAAAGATGGTGAACACTCAAAGAAATTCAGTGTTTCTTTGCATGGTGACATGGTTCTTCAGATCAATGGAGAGTGTGTTGTAGGTGGTTCTAGATAGCACCAAAAAGGTGCATCCCTTTTTTGCTGCTATATAGAACAGTTTTCAAAAAGGTTCTGTATAGAACCATGTACAACATCAATAATCTCTCCGTTAATTTGACGAACAAGCCATTCAAGCGTGCAGATGGTTCTTTGAGTGTTCATGGTTCTAGACAGAACCATCGTCTTTACTAAAGAACCGCTGAAGAACCATCCTTTTTAAGAGTGACTGTCAGATTTTGATTTTGAGCCCAAGTATTTAACGTATCTGATATTTTTAATTCAGCATCTCTAGCAGTGCAACATCTCTTTAAATGTTAAATAAAGATCAAAGATAAATAAGAAAATTTTAAAAAGTAGCTGAATATTTGAGCTTCAAAAAGGGTTTTCACTCTCACTTCATTTACAAAAAGGGTTCTTTATAAGAACCATCCATTGAAAGGTTGTTCTTCTAAGGGAACGCTCTTAAGAACCCTTTTTTGGCGTCTTTGTTCAAGAATGTAGGTGAATGCGATGCCAGTCTGATTCAAACTTACATAAATAAGGAATGTAAAGTATTGAATTTTAAAGTATTGAACTATTATTGAAAGTTTGGTTCCTTGTCTAACTTTGAATGAGCTCTTGAACTGATGGCTGCTATTTTACACTCAACGAATGTCCTCAAAATATAACTTGCTTTGACTGTTTTCTTCCCTTATAATACTTCATGATATTAAAGTTTGCATTAATAATAATGCTAATAATAACTCTTAAAAAGGGTTCTTTAGTGAAGACAGTGGTTCCATATACGACCATGAACACTCAAAGTACCATTTGCATGCGTAGATAAAAAGTAGCTCAATATTTGAGCATTAAAAAGGGTTTTTTACTCTCACCTCATTTACAAAAAGGGTTCTTTATAAGAACCATCCATTGAAAGGTTGTTTTTCTCTCTTAAAATACTTACGTTCCCAATCAGAATGATGTTACAGTTAGCATTAATAATAATGATAATAACTTTCAATAAAAAAAAACATTTTTAAAGGGTTCTTTAATAAAGACGGTGGCTCTGTGTAGAACCATGAACACTCAAAGAAGCATTTGCATGCTTAAATATATTTTTACATGGTGAAATTGTTCTTCAGATAGATGGAGAATGTGTTGTATGTGGTTCTAGATTGCACCAAAAAGGTGTAACCCTTTTCCCTGCTATACAGAACTGTTTTCAAAAATGGTGGTTCTGTATAGAACCATATACAACATAAATAATTTCTCAGTTAATCTGATGTACAAACCATTTAAGCGTGCAGAGGGTTCTTTGAGTGTTCATGGTTCTAGACAGAACCATCGTCTATACTGAAGAACCATCCTTTTTAAGAGTGATTGTCGAATTTTGATTTTGAGCCCGATACCAAGTATTTAACAGTTCTTTAATTCAGTATCTTCATGAATGCAAATCTCTGTAGATGTTAAATAAATAAAAATAAATTAAATAAATAAAAAAAGGAAAAAAGGTTCTTCACGCTGTCACCCCATTTACAAAAAAGATTCTTGAAATGAACCAACCATTGTAAGGTTGTTCTTCTGTTCGCTCTTAAGAACCTTTTTTGTCATCTTTTTTTTAAGAACGTAGGTGAACGCAGTCCCAGTCTGGTGCTGGCTTTCATCAATAAATGATATAAAATACTAAACTGTTGTTGAAAGTTCTGTTCCTTGTCTAGCTCTGAACGAGCCCAGACATCCTGACTGCTGTTCTACACTAAAAGAATGTCTTTAAAACCCGATATAACTTGTTTTGACTGGTTTCTTCTGTTTTTGTCCCTTGGATTGACACCAAACGGACCCTAATAATTTGGCACAGTTACCCAGAAGAACCAGACAGGATTTTCAGAAAGGAAGCTTGCTGCTCATTTAGTGTTGAGGTATTTTTTTTTACTGTTCTTTTTAACCCTTTATTGCATGAATTATTACTTAAACATGATACAAATGTTTAAATATGTTTTTAAAAATGTAAAATTGCTTAAATAATGGAAATATTTGATTTTAATTTTTAATTATTATTATTTTTTTTTAAAGTGGTGTATTTGGTAAATCGTGCAATCATGCCGCAATCATACCGCAATCATACCACAGCACCATAAAATAATTTTTTTCTCTGAAACATGTTTATTGAAAACAAGACCAAACAAATCCAGCGTATACTAGTGAAATTTACAACCCAACGTTTACAAATATTTAAGCAGTAGAACCCGAGAGGGAGTGTGTTATCGCGAAATAACATCACGGCTGTGATTTGGTCGCCGTAGATCATCACAGCCGTGATGTTATTGGCGATAACACACTCCTCGAGTGTTCTATCGCTTTTATACAACAGTTAAATAAATAAAGTAATAAATTAATAAACTGGGCCGTGAACGCAGCGTTTAATATGTTTTAATGTTCACAGCTCCTTCACTAAATTACAGTTCCTTAACGAGCAGCTTGTTGCTACGTCAGAGTAACGAGCTCCGCCCACTCGCTGCACAGCCGGCAGTTCGTTCTCCAGCTCCACACAGACCAACTGACAGTTTGGGAATTTAGTGTCGTCTCATCTTCAGAGTCTGACCAAATCGGCTGTCGGTCAAATGTGACCTTAAAAGTGTCCGTTTTCTGTTTGCGGCAAAGTAAGAAGTAAAAACGTTCAAATGTCTCCTACAGCTGTCAAAGCCGTTGCTTAGCAACAGCGTCTCAGTGGAGTGATACAGTATTTGTGAAAAAAAACGTGATGTTATGGTGAAATAACAGCACAGTTAGAACGCTTCTCAACCAATCAGCTTGTGTGCCTGAAACTAACTGTTGTATAATGGAAATTAATACAATTTCAAATGGTATTTGGAATATATGGTAATAACAAAATCGTAATAGGAATTCCTGATCATGTGATGCCATAAAGTATTTACCCTTTTAAAATAAAAGACTCATTTTCCACAATGAAATAGGAAAACACATCTTATGGTACTGCTTTTTAGTAAAATTGTTGCCGTATGGCAACACTGTGCAATAGAGGGATTAAAACACTATAAATAACGTGCTTTTCAGAAAACTGTCAGGTCCTGGCTTCGCCTGTGATAATGTTCCCAAAAAAAACTTGGGGAAAAAAATGGGAAGGACTCAGTTTAGTTCTGTCTGTTTAGGTTTAGTGCAGCGCAGTGTGTGAAACATTAAATAAAAATCATTGTATTCATAGTTTTTCTGCTCGTAGCACTGCTGTTTCTTTTTTCTGTCCCAAATTTTCAAATCTCATATAGTGTGACACGAGCGTCTCTAGTATTGCGATATTTTTTTTCGCCGTATCGCCCACCCTTACAGTCCACCAGTATTGCTACAGTGATGCTAAAACTGAAACCAGTGCATGAATGTTGTGATATATTGGTATACATGCTGAATTGTCCAGCTCTAATGAGGCCTGCTGCCTTCTACTGTAGGTGACCACATCCTTTTCCCTGTGGACTGAGATAAGATGCCCTGTGAGGTGAAACCCATCCGCTATGGCCACTCAGAGGGCCACACAGACGTCTGTTTCCATGAGGATGGCAGGTAAGAATGAACATCAGGCACTGTTGGCCATGATCTACTACTGCCAGTCTGCCGGCATCTCCTTTCTGCTGTTTTCAGAGACTTTATTAGAAACGTCTCTACTTTATTGCACAGATAGAGGCGGCAGATGTACAGTTCGTCTTAGTCATCCTCTAGTCCTACATCAGCGGTCAGTTTCTGACCACAGAGCTGCTCTTGGCTGGAATGTTTGGGTGGTGGTCCACTCTCAGCCTAGCAGTGACACTCAGACCTGATATATACATGCGTGACTGCTACTGCTCACACGTATAGGCCATTCACACAGCGTTCTCCACCCCAAGACCCTCTACCCTCCTACTTTAAATACAACTTTATTTTTCCTTTTCATAAATGCTGCTATTTTACACTAAACGAATGTCCTCAAAACCTAAAATAACTTGTTTTCACTTGTTTTCTTGTCTTTTCTTCCCTTAAAATACTTACATTCCCAATGGGAATGACATTAAAGTTAGCGTTTATAGTAGTGATAATAATAAATCTTAATTAAAAAAAAAAGCAAACATTTTTAAGGGTTCTGTAGTAAAGACAGTGGCTCTATATAGAACTATGAACACTCAAAGAAATTAAATGTTTCTTTGCATGGTGAAACGGTTTTTCTGATTGATGGAAAATGTGTTATATGTGGTTCCTTATAGCACCGAAAGGTGTAACCCTTTTTGCGGCTTCATGGAACCATATACAACATCAGTAATTTCTCAGTCGAGCTGAAGAACGAACCATTTAAACATGCACATGGTTCTTTGAGTGTTCACGGTTCTAGACAGAACCATCGTCTTTACTAAAGAACCCCTGAGGAACCTTCCTTTTATAGAGTGATTGTCGAATTTTGATTTTGAGCCTGAGTGTTTAACATATCTGGTATTTCTTAATTCAGCAACATTATCAATGCAAATCGCTTTAAATGTTAAATATAAGGAGTGCTGACACTGAAAACCTGAAAATTAGGTCCTGAAAAAGATCAGATCGGCTCTCTGGTCATCCGTAGGTTTGCAAAATGTGCAGGTATGTTACAGAAAAATTAAACATGTTTAAAAACCACATGTAGTGATGTCTAAAAGGGGGAAAAAGAATATAAAATATAAATGTACGAGGTAGATGTGATTTGGAGCTGCAGTCCATCGTGTTTTCACTGAAATGCTCCACTGGCTTTTCCAAAAGAGCAGCTGTTTGGTCTTGAGAGTCTCTTTTGCTTTGAGGGGTTTTGTGATTCATATGAAATACACCACACACTCCATTCACCAAGCTTTTGTACTAGCGTCGTCACAATCAACAATAATGATAAATCTTACCTGATATCTGCGTCTTTGTCTTTGGTTTATCAGGAGTTTAACCACTCACGTCGCTGAGGCTCGACCAAATATACGCTCTGCGATACACGAGTTGAAATCAAACGCATCTCTTCTTTATTATTTTCTGACTTGTCTGTTGTTTTTAACAGCAGCTTGTGCTCGGTGTCTAAAGAGTCAGACGTTAAAACAGTCGTTATGCTGACTGTACAGCACCGACGTGCCTCTAGAGGAGAAGGAAAGCCATCTCTGTTGATAAAAAGAGCATGTTTCCATCAGCAGTGTGCTGAACAGGGTTCGGCCCGTGGACCACTAGAGGGCGCTTCACGGCCCACTGGTTGAGAAACCCTGCTGTAGAGCAGTGCAGCAAGAAATTTGCACAACCGTCCTTGTACCAAACAGATAAATAGTCAAATCAATCACTTTGCTGATTTGGTGTAAATATAATGTGTAAAAGAGCACGGTATGTTTGTTTATCCTCAGCTGCATTCTTACTTGTGATTGGGCAACTGTTTTGTCTCTGATAGACCACACAGGAAATCTGTTGCAGCAGGTTTAACTAGTATTTAATTGGATGACCGTCATGAATGAAAGGATTTGCCTTTTAAAATGTTTTCTTCTGTTTCCTGGTTCTTTTTTCATTGAGTGCGTTTACATGCACTCAATACTCTTATAACTGCAGAAAATCAGATTTTATAAGTAATCCAATAACCGCATTTGCATGCACTTGAATAATCAGATAATGGGGAAACTCAGACAGTAATCGGATTCAGATTATACAAGTTAAATTCACTCATTAGAAGTGCTGTTTGGGTACGTTTAACATTTGCTGTGAACGTTTAACATCGTTCTTCATCTCTTGCAGCTGCATCGTTACCTGTGGAAGTGACGGCGATGTCCGCATATGGGAGAGTTTAGATGACGATGATCCTAAATCCATAAATGTTGGAGAGAAGGCCTACTCCGTGGCTCTGAGAGTAAGTTTACACATCAAAGTTGTTTGTTTGTTTGACTTCTTTTTGTGAAATACCTTTATTTTGTTTTAACATTAGTCAAACTTCGGTAATTCTATCCTGTCTGTTCTAATCTGTTGTGCTACTTTAATTGATTTTATCATTTTTATTTATTTATTTATTTAAGGGGGGGTGGTGTCCAGTTTTCTCCCTAATTTAGTTGCATTCAGTTCCATCCACTAGTTAGGACTCCCCCAGTCACGCGATTCCACCAGCGCTGAAAGGGTGAAGGCAACACAAGGAAGTCGTCGTGTTCTGAGACACATAAGCTGGACGTCCGTCCCACCGCCGTCTTTTAAAGATCAGAGCATAAACTTCGTCTCCTCTGCAGACCAGTTTCTGCCCCGCCATGTTGAACGGTATAAACTTTCACTATGACGCGACGAACATGATCAGAACAGACTTAAACTTTCCGATAGGGAATGTAATCAGATACAGGCGTTTACACGGATATTATTCTTCTATTTAATGGATTATTTACAGGATTACCCACCTCGATCAGTCGGATAGACACTGTATTCCGAATGGCCTCAATCAGACTAGACTATTCAGATTGAGATGTATACATGGATGCATTCTATTCCAGTTGAGTTATTAGTAAGATTATTCTATCCTGTCTGTTCTAATCTGTCGTGATAGTTTAATTGATTTTATTGTTTTTATTTATTTATTGTCCAGTTTTCTCCCTAATTTAGTTGCATTCAGTTCCATCCACTAGTTAGGACTCCCCCAATCATGTGATTCCACCAGCGTTAAAAGAGTGAAGGCACGAGCTTCCTCAGAGTCATGTGAAGCGCCACCGCATCTTTTCGAACTGGTGCTGCTGCTCTGACTCAAACTATTTAATCAGAGCCATTGCTTAACCTGCTTTTCCCCTTGTCTGTACTTTAATATTTTGTACTAAAGATAAAACCTTATTCTCTGTTCATATTCCTCTTTTTTATTGTTTGCTATCTGGCGTCGACCAGAGGAGGATGGGTTCTCCTTTTGAATCTTGGTTCCTGTCAAGATTTCTTCCTCTTGAACTTAAGGAGTTTTACCCTGCCACTGATGCTCATGGGGGCTCGGACCCAGATTTTTCTGTGAAGCTGCTTTGCGACAGTGCCTGTTGTAAAAAGCGCTATATATAAACTTTGACTTGCTGCTAAGGCAACATCATTGGAGAGCTGAACATGCTTGGAGGAGAATGCTAACCACCAATGCTGATATGTCAGCTAACAGACGCCTGATGTCTGCGTTAAATGCTTGGGAGGAGAGGGAGGCCATCCTACCCACCCAGAGGGAGCGTGGCCAGGGATGCTGCGGAATGTTGATTTTACTTTTCCGGATTTCCTTACATCTCCTAGATTTCCTTACAGCGATCCTTCACAAACTGATCATCATGAAATACTTTCTGTCCTGAGAAAGGAACGTACAGTACTGTGTAAAAGCAAACTGTTTAAATTTAACTCAGTAGGCCTTTTTGTTCCCTTTGGTTCTCTGATGCTCCGTATTTTACTACGTTGTGTAAGCTGGAGGTGTAACTCATCATAACATTGACATTTATAATCTTCTCTTTCAGAATGGGAAACTGGTTACAGCTGTTTCCAATAACACAGTTCAGATTCACACGTTTCCTGATGGAGATCCTGATGGAATTCTTACTCGCTTCACTACCAATGCTAACCACGTCACCTTCAACGCCAGTGGCACAAGAGTGGCTGCTGGATCTAGGTAATATATTATACCTGCTCATTGTAGATATACAACCTCATTTCCAAAAAAGTTGGAACGCTGTGCAAAATATAAATAAAAACTAAATGCAATGTTGTGCAAATATTTTAAACCCTATATTTCATTGAAAATAGTACAAAGACAACATATCAAATTTTAGTGTTTTTTGAAAAATATATGCCCGTTTTGAATTTGATGCCAACAACACATTCCAAAAAAAAATGTACCAGCTTTTTTGGAAATGGGTTGTAAATAGGGATTGAAAAGTCATTTTCGCTTTTAATCCAAAGCTTCTTGATCAGAAATGCGTTTTGATCAAAAATAAATAAATAAAAAAAATAATCCAAGTAAAAAAAAATTACATTTAAATACAAAAAATTTAACTGGAATCCTATTTTATTATCATACATAAACATAAAAATACTTTTTTTTCCCTCTTTGTTGCTGGCATTTAAGTTTACTATACCCAATAAACCACTACAAAAGTGTAAATGAAGTATGATTGTCCACTATGAAATTGTCCACTGGCATAAAGAAACACTTTGCATCCCTTTTAAGTAGGAATTATGTTTTAGAATGTTTCAAAATAAATTTTATTTAATAAATGTTACTGTTCACTGTCAATGAAATTAATTTTGTAAATTTTGTTAATAGTTTTTATGTCATATCATGCTTCTGTAGGCACAAAACGTTATTTTTCTATCAGATTTTGTATCTGATACCAGTAATTGAGGATTTCATTGCTGTTGGAAGAAAACCTCATCTCCATTTTTGTCATTTTTCAGTTTTTTGACATAACCTGAAACTACTTGTTGCCCTTTACATTGTGTGTGAATGTAATGATGAATGGACTAAAAGAAATGACCCAAAATGACTCAGAAAAAAAGTCTGGTTTCACTGACTTACATTAAAAGTAAAGTATGTTGTTTTTTTTTTTCCCTTCTCCTGTAAAATTATTATTTTGGAGATACGAGGTTTTCTTCCAACAGCAGGGTGTATATTGTTTTTTTTCCATCTGAATTTACATGACCAAATCGTAAGGCAAATTATTCAGTAACTACATGAAATAAATGTAAATTTATGTGTTATTTATTTATTTATTTTTTGTAAAAGTTCCCCTCAAATTAACAGAACGTGTTTTATGATCACACATTGCTATATGCTTACAATTTACTGCTGAAAGCCAAAAATCTTAGACGCTCTTTGTATTATTTTATAAAAATAATTTTCACAGAGCAGATCACTGAAGAGACGCCATCTGTTTATAGTTTACAGCCCAGATTTGTGGAAAAATGGGTCGACTTTCAGTAGAAAAAAAATAGTTCAGCTTCTTTTATTATAAGGGTTTAAAATTACATCACCCATCTATTTGACTGGAAAGAAGACAGTTACAGCTCTCATACGACCCCCACCTTTAGAATGTAGCTTATGAAATATGAAAGTTATGAAGAATATGACGAAGTGCATTTTGGAACCACTGGTGGTCTCAAGGAGTTGAAAAGGTTAAGCCTAAACAGCTTTCCAAAGATCACTGTCATTGTATTTTGAGTTCTTTGTCTTGAGCTCCCTCTAGTGGCTGTACCCTTCATGGGTCTGTTCACTGTCTGAACACTGCATACGATTAAGATCCACATTAGCACAGAGAGGAAAACGTGTTGATTGTTTACCAATACTCATGCTCACACTGAGTGACTGCTTGTTGGATGTATGGATTTTTAAATGGGGAAACATTATAGAAATGAAAGCACTGACCATGTCGCTGCATCGATTGAGCTATTTTTCCTGCACTTGCTTCGTTTTGAATATTGATTCAGCGTGCTCCGGCAGCTGAGGCCCAAACAGGTTATTTGATTTTTTTTTTTTCTTCCTGTAGTGTTAGGAAATGAGTTTTCCTTCATTTCCCGCACTTGTGGATGGAAGATCTGTGCCTCTAATATGAGTGAGGCTCTGGGTGAGGTGAGCCGTGCGGATGTGTGAGCTGATGTGACTGTATTTTTCAGCGACTTCATGGTGAAGGTGATCGAGGTGACGGACAGCAGTAAGCAGAAGACTCTCCGTGGACACGACGCTCCTGTCCTGAGCGTGGCCTTTGACCCCACTGATGAGTTTCTTGTAAGTGGAAAAGAGGATTACGGCGTACATATTATTTCTTAGATGCATCACCTCTGTTTTTCTTTCATGTATCTCAGGGGTCGCAACCCAAACGTTAAGAAGAGCCATTTTGTCAACAAAAATCGAACCACCTTGGCAGCCTCAACATTTTATGTCCATTTTACCGTCTTGGCTGTAAAAATGTCTCAGTATGTGCTGATGTACTAGAATAGGATAAGAATATAATATAAACAAAGTTTATATTATACACTTACAGACTTACAGCTTTTGCTCAGCTAAAGCTGCTTTTCTCGCATCTCCAGCAGGAAACTTTTCCTCAAAAGTAGAACAGTTTCTTGTAAAATGTCTCTCAACGTTCGACTTTGTGCGAGGCTGAAGTCGCTTCTCATTCGCCAGCTTCTTGTTCGAGTTGTTCCGTTCCACCTTAAATGGTGCCTGAGGTGCCAGAATGTAACTGCTGCACATTTTTAAGGTGGAACGGGAACATTCGAATGAAAAGCTGGCGAATGAGAAACTGACTTCAGCCTTGCGACTTTATAATTTTGGACAGTTTTTCGTTGCAGATTAAACGTATCAGGAAACCAGCTGGAGTGATTATAAACGCAAAGAAGTCCATTCGTCTCCAAATTATCAATGTTCATTTTAAATCTCTCTCTTTGCCTTTTCGTTAGATACTAGCTATGCAGGAATGTTATCTGCGTTGTCTGTGTTGCTGCGCTATAATGTGACCAGCAGTCTGCACTGATCTTCAGGGTTAGAGGGTGAATCAGCAGTTCTACATTAACTCCAGAGTTTAAGACCATTTATTGTTAAAACTGTGTTGAACGATCAGCAGAGCTTTATTTTACTACAAAGGAGGGTTATTTTATTTTTTCTAAATCTAATTCTGCTGTGGAGCCACAACAGGGCAGGAAAAAAGCTGCATGTTGCCGACCCCAGATTCATCTCTTCAGATGTCTGGTTCCTATCACCACCACTGTGAACAGTTCTGACTTGGACAGTTTCTCTAAAACGGAGTGTTTCACACCAAACCACTCTGAATGACTCTGTTTACATCTTATTAATTTAATTATCTAAAGATTTAGACAAATTTCTCTTTAAATTTCAGATCCTACTCCAGTAAAACTAATCCAGCACTACAAAGGTTAAAGACAACAGCTCAGACTTTGCTGTGGCTGATAAGAAGTTCATGTATATAAGCCAAAGGTGGCCCGAAGACCCTGACCCGTTTAATTTATACCAAAACAGCATCAGCACATAGGACAAAGTTTGGCAGGCTTCTCCTTGAATCTGTTAATCTTTTAATGGCTCTGAATGCGACAGTGAAATGTAGAGTGTAAATAACACATTTGAACTCACATTGATTTTTGAATGCATGTTAGTCTAATGCACACAGACTGACCTCTGAATTGGACCCAAATACAGTCTAGATTGACTTGAACAACAACTTCTTAGCCAAATTGTTCATGTGCATTTTAGTGTTATAGGCCAGTTATCTTTTAATTTTCTCAAAACCTTTTAATTATGTCATCAAAGAATTGGTGTGGTACTGATATATGCCAGTATATAAATGGTGTATACTGTTGCTGTCCAAGAAAACAACATTCTTTTCCCAATTTTTAGTTTGCTGCCTAATTTGCGCTCAGCAGCTGTACTTCACACTGCGTGAAAATTTCATTCTGATTGGACCAACAGAAATGGTCCAAAATTCATTTGAATAAAATCTCTTTACAAAATTTAGAGTGTTTTTCTTCTCTCCTGTGAAGTTACCATTTTGGAGAGACTTGTTTTTCTTTGGACAGTGACTATATATTTATATGCATATTTTTTTTATTTGTATTTTTTATTTGTTTATTTTTTGGTAACTGTGCTTTGTAAGAATTCTGCCCAATCTTAGTTTCTGTATCGCTCTTCTGCGAAAGATCTAGCAAATTAAGACACTTGATCTACGTAATTTGGGTCAAAATAATGCTGTCATTAATAACAGTCTTTATCTTTCTTTTAGCCTGGCTTTACACGGTGAAACTTCTGTTCAGTTAGTGGCATGCCTGGGCAGCTTGTCGATTACACAGTTTAGACAGCAATTTAAAAACAGTCATAAAACACTGTACCCTTCTATAAAGCCGTCCATCCATGTGTTATTTATGTATTTGCATCTCCCTTTTATTTTCCATTGATTCGATGAAATTAAGGTTTTAAAATTGAAATTTTGATTGACTGATTCAGGAAACTTGTTCCATTAAGCTCAGTTTCAGGGCACTTTAGTTATGCAACTCAATTGCAGCTTAGTTTCATGTAAGTTTCAAGCAACTAAAATCTCACACGTTTCCCTGAGCAAAGCCAGCCGAACAGTCATCAGAGTTTACTGTGTTTTTCTTCTGCATTTTTGTTGGGATGGTTTTATTATCATCGGACAGATGTTTAGATTTGACTGATATTTTTGATTTACTCATTTCTTTGTTGCAATACAGTGACAATACTGTCAGACCCACCGGCTTTCCCTTTTAAAGACATCCCATCCCATGTGCTTACATAACTCTTACCCAGCACGACCCATTTCACAGGGTTCAGAAGTTCAGTTCAGAAGCATACGGCTTAATCCTATATGACCCCCTCCTTTAAAAGAGACAATCCATTATTTCTCTCTTCAATCAATACCTGATCAGCTGATTAATAAGATATTTATTCAAATCAGCCATCATAATGCTGTTAGTTTTATCCCAGTGAACATTGATCCCTCTGCAGGCGTCCTCCAGCTGCGATGGCTCTGTAGCAGTGTGGTCTGTAGAAGATCAGGTAAGGATGTTTGTTTTTCTGTTATGTCATCATAAATGCTGTGTTTCGTGGATATTGATGCTATACAGCCAACTCATAGCGCCTCTGCAACACACGCAAAAGCTTGGGTGCCCTGGGCAAATTACTTGTTTTTTATATAGAGGGAATAAGTGAAAACATCCTCTACAGAGAACACACTTCTACACATTTTACTGCACAGTAACTGTTTATTTGCTGAATTTTACATATAGGGATGGAAAAATAAAACATAAAATGTTACTGTGCAAAAGCTATGGCACAATTTATATTTGATGGTATATTTTATTCCTCAAATGTTAAATGCAAATAAATAGAAATTGTGCACTAAAATGGCCATATTTAAATGTGTTTTTGTGTAGAGGATTTGTTTGCTTTGTTTGCTTTCTTTTCACTTTGAAAGTCAAAACAAAATATTTCATTTGTAGGAAATTAAATGTGTATATTGTAACTTTTGCATATGACTGTGTGTTCACATGATTTATATGTTTACTTTTTATTCATTAAAGTCATTTTGACACTGTATACATCCATGCTGTGCTTGTACACACGCTGCTGCTTTGGAACAGTTGAATATCCGTTTGCGAGATCAGTAAAGATGATTTCATCTTGTTTTTCAGACTCAGGTGGTGAACTGGAATGTGCTGGCAAAGTGCAATGATGTCAGCAATACCAAGTCTCTGTGCAGACTTGCCTGGCAGCCGCTGTCTGGGAAGGTACAGCCCTGCAGCTTTTCTTTGCTAAAGTTCTACCTTAAATTAAAGACTGCTTGGATTCCACTTTGGCTTTGTTGTGAGTTTGAGGGCCACACACAACTGTTCAAAAGGAATCTGTGCTTTTGATAATATAAAACCAGTCTTGCACATAAATGTGTAATTCTAATATGCTAATCCAGAATAATGTAACATAGAGAAGTTCTAATAAAATTAGTATTCTGGAACGTAACATCCCGAATGCCTCATATTTCAAAAGTGCTGATCAGATCTCGAGGCTGATAACGAAGTTAGTTAAACAATAAGGTGATTAACCTCTTATGATCTCGTGGGTATGTTTTGGTTTTTCCATCTGAATTTACATGCCCAAATCGTAAGGCAAATTATTCAGCTACTGCATGAAATATTGTGCATTTTTGGGTTTAAAAGTTCCCCTCAAATTAACAGAAAATGTGTTTTATGATCACACATATTGCTACATGCTTACAATTCACTGCTGAAAGCCAAAAATCTTAGACGCTCTTTGTATTATTTTTATAAAAATAATTTTTACAGAGCAGATCACTGAAGAGACGCCATCTGAGATCCAGTTTATAGCCCAGATTTGTGGAAAAATAGGTCGACTTGCAGTAGAAACAAAAAATTGAGCTCAGCTTCTTTTATTTTAAGGGTTTAAAATTACATCACCCATCTGTTTGACTGGAAAGAAGACAGTTACAGCTCTCATACGACCCCCACCTTTAGAATGTAGCTTATGAAATATGAAAGTTATGAAGTAAAGAATATGACGAAGTGTGTTTTGGAACCACAGGTTGGTTCCAAAGAGTTAAAAAGATATTTATATAATATTTAAATAATATTTTCTGAAGTCATTATTTATGGAATAGCAAATAATTACTAAGAGAAGGTATTTCAAACTTTTGTACAGTAGCGTTACTTACACAGCCGTCCTTAAAGGCCAGTGAGTTTAATAACCTGAATCATTCCCTGCTTGCTGTATTTTGCATGCTCTGTACATTGACAGTAACCTTTGCATATAAACTCTAGTAATCTTGGATGATGAATCATCTGTCATTGTCCATAAAATCAGCTGAGAAGACTGTTGGATATACACTGTATCCTAATAAACGTCTCTGTCAGGCCCTCCACACCTATATGGATATTTCTGAATACACCTTTGTTTGTTTTTCTCCATTCTAAATTTAGAAAAAGACCAGCAGCATTTTCTGAAAATCTGCTTTTTGTTATTGTTTCTGGTTTATTACTGATTTATGTAAATGCTCTCTGTTCTTAATGGCTGCCCTGTTTTGTGCCTCATTCAAAGCGCAGTCCAGGCTGAAACATCATATTTTCACTGTGAGTGGGCGGAGCTAAACTGCTGTAGGCTGAATAGGCGGATAAAAGTAAATGTTTATAACGACAGCATAAAAACGGTGAATTTAAAATAGGCTGTTTTTTTGCAACATCATTTCCATATTTGGACTGCACAGCCAATGGCATTTTTTTAATTTTAGCGATGTTTACACCAGGTTTGCCACTAAAGGCTATTTTTCTATTGATTGATCTACCGATTAGTCGAATAATCTAAACGATTAAATTCCCTCTGAAGAAAAAAAAGGGAATTATGGCATTCCCTACACAAAGAAATGTGTTTAATATAATGTCAGAAATAAAATAAGTAGATATGGTACATGTCCCATCAAGCTCAACACACAAACACACACATGCTGGCAATCAGTGTAGAATAAATCTGGATTCTGGCCTAAACGTTATCTCAAAAATGTGTTCAATAAAAAATTCTAAGACAGCAGGCAGATAAGTTTATGGCTTTAATAATGAGTGGACTTAGCAGCTACAAGGACAGCAGAGTTCAGATTTAGCTCTCCTAGCTACTAATGATAATTTAATAAATATGAGTAAACAACACTTAAAGTGGTTCAGCCTTTTCTGGTGGTCCATCATCATCCAGAATGAGCTGAGTGTGTTTTCTCTTCAGGTGCTCGTGCATTGCACTAGCGTGGATGTGGTATTCCATAGAAACTGTGCACAGTTTTTTTTATGCTAATTTTAAGTACCCTACTTTCAATGCCTTGGGTCTTTGGAAGCCTTTAGAAACCTCTTTCACGACAGAGTCGGATGCTGCAGCCGACATGATTTTTTAAAACTGTAGTGTTGAATGGAGCTGACTGACTGACTGACGTCTTGCTCACAGCAGTTATTTTGTTATTTTGATTTGAAGCATTTTAGAAGTCAAAAAGGTAAATTCATCAAAATAATACTAAAAAAAATTATGTATCGGTTTAATTACATTGACTAATTATGGCAGCCCTAGTTTACATACTACAAACCTATTTCCAAAAAAGTTGGGAGGCTGTGCAGAATGTGAATATAAATAGAATGCAAATCATGTAAACCATATTTTTAAAGGAAAATACAACAAAGACAACATCTCAAATGTTGAAACTGAGAAATTTGATTGTTTTTGAAAAATATTTGCCCATTTTGAATTTGATGCCAACAACACATTCTAAAAAATTTTGGACGGGGGCAGGCTTACCACTTCTTCTTTTAACAACACTCTGTAAGCGCCCCATACCATCATGAATACTGGCTTTTGAACTGTGCACTGATAACAAGCTGAGTGGTCTTTAGCCTGGAGGACACAGTGTCCATGATTTCCAAAAAGGATATCAAATGTTGATTCGTTGGACCACAGGACACTTTTCCACTTCCCCTCAGTCCATTTTAAATGAGCTCGGGCCCAGAGAAGGTGGCAGCATTTCTGGATCCTGTTCATGTACAGTTTCATCTTTGCATTTAAGAGTTTTAATTAGCATTTGTGTATGCAGTGATGAACTGTTCACAGACATTGATTTTCAGAAGTGTTTATAAGCCCATGCAGTGATTTCCACTACAGAATCATGTCTGTTTTTAATGCAGTGCAGCCTGAGGGCCCAAAGATCACGGCTAGCAAATACTGGTTTTTGGCCTTGTCCCTTACATACAAAGATTTCTCCAGATTCTCGGAATCTTTTAATGATATTATGTACTGTAGATGATGAAAAGCAAAAGTTCTTTACTATTTTATGTTGAGAAACGTTATTCTTGAATTGTTGCACTATTTGATTGTGCAGTCTTTCAGAGTGGTGAACCCCTCCTCATCTTTACTTCTGAAAGACTTGATATTTTGATATGTTGTCTTTGTACTGTTTTCGATGAAATATTGGGTTTAAATGATTTGCACATCACTGCATTTTGTTTTTATTTACATTTTGCACATCGTTAAAGTTGCACTCTGCAGGTTTTTGGGGATTTGGAGCCCTCTCTAGTGGAAATCGTGAAAAGAACACTTTGTAGCGTGGGTTGTGTTTCGGACCCCTTCTTGGAGTGGATAAATCTGATGATTGATAGAGAATCAAAGAGAACTCAGTCTAAACCTGGTGAAGGAGCGTCTTCTGAGGATGTGAGCGAATTATCTACCATTGTCATCATATCTTCATCAGTATGATGTTGATTTCCTTAGCACATGCAAAATAGCAGTGACCAACCCTGAATTTTCATATATTTTACACGTCCTCACAAGAACCTGAAGGTGAAGCTTTTAAAAAAAGTCCACCTTAAAAAAGTTTTTCCAAAGCTTTTGTTGATTTTTACATCCATAATAACCAGCATTTCTTCTCAAATCAAGGTGTTAATAGTGAGAGCCTCTACTCTTCTGGGAAGGCTTTACACTAGATGTTGGAACATTGCTGTGAGGATTTGAGCATTAGTGAGGTCAGGTACTGATGTTGGATGGTCAGTTCTGAATCACCCCTGCTCATCTCAAAGGTATTGGATGGAGCCCCATCACTCAAGAGAAGACCACAGTTCCACTGATGCCCTATGCTGGGGGGGGTTTATAGCCTTCTAGCCCACAGCTGCTCCAGAGAGCCCCATCCTATTGGCCAATGCTTTCTATTGAGATTATACAAGCTGTGCCAAAATAGTGGACTTCATTTATTAGAAGGGTTGTCTCGATACTTTTGTACAGATTTGAATCTTTGTTTTTTTTGTTTTTTTTTAAGCTGCTTGCAGTTCCAGTGGACACGAGTGTACATCTGTATGAGAGGAGCTCTTGGACTCATGTTGGCACTCTTTCTGATGACCTTACTACCCAGGTCAGTGAAGGCTGTCTAATGTATTACTGTGGAACAGTTAATATTCATTTATGATATGATTAAGAAAATAATGATTTTGAAGGTGGAAGCAGATCATAAACTTCTCCTCCGTGCCTTGGCTGTTCTAGCGAGATTAACCTTGTCCATGCCTGCGTTTCTGAAGGACGTAGAAACTTTTACGATCAGGAAAAAGCGCTGTGTGTTTATTGCACTATTGTAATGTTGAAGCTGTTAATCAGGTTTTCCTCTCTGAATCAGCAGGTCATTAACGTGGTGGTTTGGTCACCGTGTGGGAAGTTTCTGGCAGCTGGGACGGTGGGAGGAACTCTCTCTGTATGGGACGTTGAAGCCAAGCTATGCATTGAGAGGTACTCTGGCTTAAACAGTGTCTTTATATAAACAAACTAAACTGTCAGACGGTCGTCCTTTACTGTGGTACTTGCTAGGCGGTTATGTGGACAGTTTAACAGTTCAAATTACCTAGAGGTTGCTTGCCAGGTGGTCTTCCTCAAGGGGGGGGCGGTTGAAGGTATGAAATGCAGGGAAGTATGAATTTTAACTAAAATTAGTTAAAATTAACTAATTAAATTAGTTAAGAAAACAGCCTGGTCTAATTCTAAAGTATTCAGAGAGACTGGAAAATGGTTGTGTAAATATGAATGATCACTGTTTTTGGGACATAAAACCACACATATAATGCTGTGAAAAAGTATTTGCCCCTCACCTGACTTCTGTTTTTGCTAATTTGTCATATTTAAATGTTTCGGATCATCCAATTACTTTTAATGTAATATAATGTCTCTGGTGTTACCTTTCTAATGTGTAACACCAATGACGATGGGTAACACCAGTGACTCCTATGGAGAGATAGAAAAGTGGATGTTTCTGTAGAACGACCCGTTTACATTTTTCGTTCTTTTTGCTCCCAGACAGAAGCATGAGAGAGGTTACACTGTGTGTGGGATGGCCTGGCACCCCTCTGGAGGACAGATCGCTTTCACAGACACTGAGGGCTGTCTGGGTCTGTTAGATGGACTGTGTGCATCTTCCTCATCTTCATCATCCTCCACCACCAACAAGAACACCAAGGTCAGTCTCTCCCTCCAGCTCAAACAGCTTCACCAAACCATCTGCTGTGAAGGAACTGAAGTCATGCTGTCAGGATTACTTAAACGTTTCTGCCAAACTGGTTCAAATGTCAGAGTTGTGATCGTATTTGGGACTTTTAACTGACCTGGACTTGAGACTGAAATCCTTTTGATTGAGTTATCCAATACCTTAATTATGTTCGTTTTATTAAAACAAATGATTGAACATTTAATTTTGTCACCACCGAAAAAAATCGTAACACTACCAGACTTCACCAAATCTTTCAGTAGTGACAATTTTAGCTCATTTTTGAGCTCAAAAACACAGCCAGTACATGGTCAGCAAACCCAACTGAAAACAATCAACATATATTTTATCAAAACGCATAATTTTCTTAATTGTAGAAAACTCTGTGCTTCGGTGGTGACAATTCTTAGTGTTCCACACTGATTTTCAGACTTCGAGAATCATTTACCTCAAAACAATGAGATCCAACTGCTCACCGTGTGGCCATAAGGGACAGGGACATTTTAGGGGTTATTTAACCCCTATAAATGTAGGGGTTAAATAAGGCTCCACCTACAGAATACAACTGTTTTAGTAGATTTTTTTTTTATTTAAAAATTAAGTATTTAAGAAATATGTTATTTAAAAACTATAAATCTATTTTTTTTCAACTTCAATTTAAAATAAATCATGTAAATAAATGTAGTTGTTTTTTCTTAGGAATGCTTTGTATAGTTTATTATTCAGTTAAGTCTACTTTTATTTTTTAGCCCTTTTTTGAAAATGAAATTGATCGATTAATCTATTTTACATCTAATTGATAGTGACTGCCCTAGAATGGAGAGTATCTCACTGGAAATATAGGCTGAATCTCAAATCACTCCCTATTCCCTGTATCTACTGCACAATGAAACAGAGATCTTCTGTAACCAGAAAGATTAATTGATTTTATATTGAAAATTGCTGTTTGAAAGAGCTGCACTTTTAAATATAGCCTATAGTATCAACAACAGTTTACTCAGTTTTAAGCACAGAAAATCAGCCTAATGATATGGAGGTTGTGAACTGCCTGTAAACGTGTTAGACCAATCAGGAGTAGCCAAACACCCACATACACTGTAGATGACAACATGACCACATCTGACTGGCAGTAAATGGCAGCATGCCGGACTCAAGCTAGAAAAAGTAACAGGCCTTAATTTATCAAAAGAATCTTAATTTAAGATCTTACTTTATAAAAAGAAATCATAGTTTAAATTGTGGTCTTAATATTGATCAAAAAAATTGCAGTTAAGATGTTTTTCCCAAAATCGTTTAGCTCTGTCACTGTGCACTGTGTGTCCAACAGAGAGCTGTTCAGGACGCAGCTATGATCTGTAGTCTTGAGTAAAACAGTCACTGTGAGAAATGAGTGTGTTTCTGTTTCTGTCTGATCTCCAGGCTGCTGTGAGCAAAGAGCCGAAGGACTACGATGATCTGTTCGATGAGGAAGATGCTGACGGACTGTTGGATCAGTGTGTGAGTGACTCTGGCTCTCCAGCGAAGAATGCGGTGGAGGACGACGACGACGACGACGATGATGACCTCATGCCGGCCACTGGAAAACCACGGAACAGAGGGAGCTTCCTGGACGATGACGACAATTCTCAAGGTGTGTCTCATTTATTTATGAGCCGTTTGTCTGATTCTGGTCCAGCTGAGTTTGGTGAATTCTCTAGTTGTAAATACTTTACCTGAGTTGTAACTGCTGACTTGAATCAGGTATCAGGAAAATCAGTGAACAGTGTGGGACTAAGGCACTCCAGAAATGAAGCTGGACAGTCTTGACATAGATATTGTCATCAAATGTTAGTATCAGCATCACATACAATATCTAGGGCTGCAACAGTTCATCGTCCAAAACACATTGCGGAAAATGACACAATCAAGCAGTAAGGCTGCAACATCTAGTCAACCCCCCTCAACTGATTTTACCTCTTGTTTGGAAGCTGCAAACACGTGCGTTTAGAAGCTCCTGCTGATGTGGGTTCATGACTTTCTTCTCTTTAAGTGATGCACACAAAATAGACACTTCAGACCACGAATAAATGAGTGAGTTCCAAAGTTACATTCGTGTGCCTTTGCATATTAAACAGTGAAGGGTTTTCCGAAGTTATAGCAGAAGCGTCTTATGTCTTCTGTAACCAGACATAATTAAACTCATTGCAGTGTTTAAGCTGAGCAGAAAATGCTGAGAATTTTCCTGAGTTGGTACACCGATCAGGCATATAATTTTTTTGTATAATTTATTTTTTTTATTTTTTTTAAACAGATACCGGGTCAGTGAAGGTGGATAAGTTGGCCGACAATGACGGCGACAGTGCCATTCTTCCTCCTGTTGTGCCAGCTGTGCCGCGGCCGGTCTATGAGGGGCCGATGCCCACCCCACCTCAGAAAGCCTTCCAGCCTGGCTCCACCCCAACACACCTCATGCATCGCTTTATGGTGAGTGTCGGTCACACACGCTGCGCAAAGATGTAGAGCCTGCAATTTCCCTTAGGGATCATTAAAGTTGTATCTATCTATCTGTCTGATGGTGTTTATTCAGAATTCATTATTCATTTATCTTTTTAAACAACCAGAGTTTATGATTCAGGGCTTCACAAATGAGGTCAGAGCACTTCAGGCATTGTCAAGCATTTAATAATGACTGCACTGGCAAACTGAGCAGTCAGGTTAGCATTCATTCATTCATTCATTTGGCTGTTTGATTATATTTAAACCAAAAGGTGTTCGACAATAAAAGGTGTTTGTAGAGCCTCAAGCAGAAGCAGAGTGACTTAATGAGCTTTCATGGCTCAGAGATTAAAGTGGAGCGAGACCAGCGCTGCTCTAATCTCTTGCAAAACTTGCACTCATGTAAGTAGTAAAATCTGCTTTCTCCTTGTCTCTGTTAGGCTGTAGTGATGTTTAATGCATAACTTATACAAACAGAAGACAACACATTAAGGTGTGGGGTTTTTTTGTATCACACATTTGTTATAGCTGCAACAGTATCTCAATTTCTACATAATTCAGTGGTTGAAATGTAGACAATCCTTCAGAGTGGTTTGGAGTGAAATTGTTCATTGTAGAGAAACTTGCTCACTTAAATGTCTTTACAGTGGTGCTGATAGGAACCAGGGATTACAACATCTACGGCACAAATATAAGCCATTTTATTTTCTGTCGATAATAACCAGTGAACCTACAGTTTTTATATGTAATGTTGATGAAGGTAAAATAATGATAAACTTATTTTTCAGATCATCTTTGGGGACTATTTTGCCCCACAGCGCCCTGTACCCCATGAGCCCATGTACCTCTCAACCATGAATGAATATTAAAGATGTTTTAGACCAAAATTTTCTCACATCTGTCGTAATATAGTGTCTCAGTCATCAGGCAGTGAATTCACAACCATTTCATGTAGTAACTTTCTGTGAAGGAGCTTTTAGAGGCATTAAACTCTTCAGATGCTGTGAACAGTTCTGAAGTATGAGGAAAAACCGATTTTGAGTGACAGACTTTTGCTAGCTACACTAGTCTCATAGTTTTGGTGCAAAACTAAAGAAGAAGACTTCAGACACCAAACATGTCTTGGCTGATTGACTACATTTGGGATAAGAGGGAAAACAGTACAATTTTTTCACAGATTTTTCCCAGACTGTTCCTTTAATTTGCGTATCGCAGCACCCCATATCTGTATGTAGTGTCTGATTTTGCACAGGTTATTAAACAGCTACTTTGAGCTTGTATTATATTTAAAAAAAAACTAATCTAAGTGATTTTGGCCACGTTCACATTACAAGCCTCATTTGTTCAAATCCAATGTTTTGCTCAAATCTGATCTCTCTGACAGGATGGTTCACGCTTGTTTAGGTAAGTGAAATGATCCTCATGAGCTCATCCTACTCAGTAACGTCACGTGAATGAATCACGTGAATCATCAGCACAAACTAACGAGCAAAATGAGCTTCGCTGAGAAGATAATTAACTCTGATCAGCTCTCAGCTTCATTATTAGAGCGAGACGAAGGAGAAAAAGGTGAGATGAGCTGCTTTTCCACCGTTTACAGGCTTTAACTGTTCGGTGCTGCTGCCATGGTAACGCTGAATGATGGCGCACGCACAGTGGAGAAAAGCAGGTGAATTCCAATCTGAGCGTCACATTAAGGTCACATGGCCACGAATCGGATACGTATCTGATCTAGGACCATAATGAAAGTGGCTCAGGTTGGATTTGAAAAGATCAGATTTGTGTCCACACAGCCCTGAAAACATCAGATCTGAGTCACATTAGTGCAAAAAATCAGATTTGTGCCACTTCAGCCTGGTAATGTGAACGTAGCCTAAGTGGATGTTTTGCTTTTCAGATGTGGAACTCTGTTGGAATAGTGCGCTGTTATAACGATGAACAGGACAACGCTATCGATGTGGAGTTTCATGACACAGCTGTCCATCACGCCATGCACCTCACAAACTCCCTGGACCACTGCATGGCTGACCTGTCCCAGGAGGCCGTTCTACTGGCCTGCGAAGGAACCGATGAGCTTGCGAGGTAAGATCTCAGATTCAGATACTTTCAAAGAAGCGTGGATCCAGATAAAATGTCCCAGATGTTTCTCAAGTTGAACATTTATAAAATCATCAGTAGTGATGATTTTGAAATGTAAGAATTAAGTATAATTGAATATATTAATTTTAAAGCTCAGGTTGCGTTTAAAGCTGGTTATGTCGTGTTATTGTTTGTAGTTATGTAGTGTATAAAGTATAAAGTTCCTCCATTTACATTTGTGTGTTCAGTGTTTCTCATCTGTATTCTGGCTTGGATTAAGTACATATATTTGGATGTCACTGAAAGGCTCACATTTGTTTCTGAGCGTTCAGATTTTATGTGGTATGCACTCATTTTTTGCTCAAAATAAAATTCTTCCAGTGTTTATTTGCACAGAAGCTTGAAATATTAAAGCAGAATTTAATTCTAACTTTGGACAGCTGATTATTTTATCATATATAATCTTATATTTTTTAATATTTTATTTATCCGTCACATCATGACAGCAATTACTGTCACTACAGGTTGATCCGTGCTGTCTTGTCGGGTTGTATTCTGCTTTTTTGGGTGGTGATTGGCTGATTTGGGTCAGTTTTGGACTCAGAATGCGATGCTGTGGTTTGAGTCGGGCTCGGACCAAAAATTCTTAAGCTGTATTCGGGTTCAGACCAAAAGTTCAGGCCTGGTTGTAGCTCTGCTCTGTTTATAGATCTAATTCACTGTACAATTTAATCACAGTTTTTCCACATAGACTTTACTGTCCAAACAGAAGTCAGTGTTGGTTTAAAATGCTATTAACAGTATTCATAAACATTTCTGTAGAATATAGAACCGTATGGGAATTATTCCTTGGCCCAGATTGTAAAGCATTCAGTCACACATGAATTCTAATATTAATTAACTACCTATAAATTCCAAAGACAATTGCACTGTTTAAAAATGAATTTGTACAGAATGTGAAACTTGGTGTGAAGTCATATACAAAGGTTTAAACACCCCAGTCAAATTTTATTAAATAAAATCTTTTATTGATTTTCTGAGAGTAAATAAATGTACAGAAGTGTGTCTCTGTAGAGGATGTGTTAAATTATTTTCACTTAGAAATTCAACAAAACGTGCTTTGATCAGGGGCACCCTAACGTTGAGCTGTGATGTTGCTCCAGTACCGCATGAGTTTGATTGAACTTCATACAGACAGCACCTGTATGTATTTAAGAGGAAAATACGGTTTACAAAAACATACCATCATTTTTTTCCTTAGCAAGCATCATGATGAGTTTTTGAACACGTCATTGTTTTCCAATATTTCTGAGAGTTGTCTTATCGATTAATGAGATCCCATCAGACTGGACTTGTTTTATCTCTGTCCCCAGTCTTTAGGCTGCCCCTTATTTGCAGAGTAAATTTGCCCAGTGCTGTTTTGTACCTCTGCTCTCCTCACAGTCCCTCAGTGACCTGCTTTAATCCATCTGTGTGCGCAGTAAGCTCCAGTGTCTGCACTTCTCCTCATGGGACACAAACAAAGAGTGGATGGTGGACCTGCCCAAAGGCGAGGACGTGCAGGCCTTGTGTTTGGGGCACGGCTGGGCAGCGGTGGGCACCAGCGCCATGCTGCTGCGCGTCTTCTCCATCGGCGGAGTTCAGAGAGAAATCTTCAGCCTACCGGGACCTGTGGTGTGCCTGGCAGGACACGGAGAGCAGCTCCTCATAGTTTACCACAGAGGTATCCGATGAACTCTGTAGACCAGCGAGCATCTTTATATGTCCCTTTATTTAAACTCATAGCTGTAAACATGCTTTCTTTTACAGTAGAAATCACGCCTAAAGCTACACTGATCAGGCATAACATTATGACCATTATGTCCTTGTTTCTACGCTCACTGTCCATTTTATCAGCTCCACTTACTATATAGGTGCACTTTGTAGTTCTACAGTTACAGACTGTAGTCCATCTCTTTCTCTGCATACTTTGTTAGCCCCCTTTTACCCTGTTCTTCAGTGGTCAGGACCCCCATGGACCCTCACAGAGCAGGTACTATTTGGGTGGTTGATCATTCTCAGCACTGCAGTAACACTGACGTGGTGGTGGTGTGTTAGTGTGTGTTGCGCTGGTACGAGTGGATCAGACACAGCAGTGCTGCTGGAGTTTTTACCACTCATTGTCCACTCTTTTAGGCTACGTTTACACAGCAGGTAAAAGTGGCCCAAATCTGATTTTCTCACCAAATCCGATTTTTTTGTTTGGCTGTTCACATTATCTTTTAAATGTGATCTGTATGCGACATCAGTCTAAACAGATCAGCTCCTAAACTGACCCGCATGCGCAAAAGAACAGTGCTTCACATGGCTCGTCCAGAGGTAAACAGTCATGACGGCCAGTGAACGCCAGTCGCTCCCGCAGCTTTCAGTTTCGGCTTCGCCAGCATCACAGGAGCGAGTATAAAGTTCCAGTGGTTGACAGCTGGACTCATCACCTACAGTGTGTTTGAGTTCACCGTAAAAGGGCGCGTTATTCGGCCACGGTCGCCTCTTTGGTTTGTGTCCTCGAATTCTTTAAACTGTTCTCTGACGCTGCAGCCTCGGTCTCCTCCGGCTGCGTTCGGCCGGTTCGTTCGAAACCTCTTCAAACACGGAGCGGTTTGATGAGTCTCTTCTCATTTTTCGGTACAGAAACATTAGACTAAACGTTTATAAGTCTCAGCAGTGCAAAATTATGACGAATGTCGAGTTGGACTGGCGTAAAAGTCGCATGAATTCCTATCTGGCTGTTCCGACTGAGTCGCACTGCCGCAGATCGGATATGTATCGGATTTCAGTACCACATATGAAAGCGTCTCAAATAGGAATTGAAATTGTCAGATTCAGTGCGTTTTTTGCTGTTCACCCTGCCACACAGACACACATCTGTGTCACATTTGAGGAAAAAGATCGGATTTGGGCCACTTTTACTTGCTGTGTAAACGTAGCCTTAGACACACCTGCGTTGCTGGTCCACCTTGTAGATCTAAAGTCAGAGACGATAGCTCATCTGCTGCTGCACAGTTTGTGTTGGTCATTCTCTAGTCCTTCATCATTGGTCACAGGGCGCTGCCCACAGGACGCTGTTGGCTGGATATTTTTGGTTGGTGGACTATTCTCCGTCCAGCAGTGACACTGAGGTGTTTAAAAACTCCAGCAGCACTGCTGTGTCTGATCCACTCAGACCAGCACAACACACACTAACACACCACCACCACATCAGTGTCACTGATAGTACATGCTCTGTGAGGGTCCATGGGGGTCCTGACCACTGAAGAACAGGGTAAAAGGGGGCTAACAAAGTATGCAGAGAAAGAGATGGACTACAGTCTGTAACTGTAGAACTACAAAGTGCACCTATATAGTAAGTGGAGCTGATAAAATGGACAATGAGCGCAGAAACAAGGAGGTGGTCAGAATGTTATGCCTGTTTAAAATAATAAATCCGCTGAAGTTTACTGTACGAAGCCAATATTCTATTGCTATCATAGCTTTCCTTTACTGTTATTCCAGCCTTCTTATTAATATTATTAGGCCATTAATTAACAGACATTGTCTTTTTTTTTTATTGACTTTGATGCAAACACAACATCAAAATGATTTAAGGCCTCACAAGAGAACACGTTCAGTGTGTGAAAGATTGCAGCTCAGCTTTATCTGTTTAAAAACAGCCAGAAGTTCTGAAGCCAGACAACATATTTAGGCCCAATCCCATTTGTTCTTTTTATCCCTACCCCTTGTTTTCAAATGTGTCACCCTAACCCCTTGGAACTGAGTTACTAGTTGTAGTGGTTGAAATCTTGCCTATGAAATGGGACCCTCAAATAAAAAGAGCATCACTTCATTAACAGCTACCAGCGCTGCTCTGTAGGCGACCCTGCCAGTCTGCAGTGACAGCAGAGGAGGGTAAAGTTCAGCCCCTCACTGCTGGGCTTTAGTTACATTTAGGGCATCATATGCCTTTAAAGAGGGGGTTTAAGACAGTTATTTATTGTCAGCCACCGCAAATTCTTTGGTGATACAAACCTGAAGTCAGATATTCACCAGCTTTTTAGTTTGAATTTCCCCGTTCCACCTTAAATGGAGCAACAGTTACATTCTGGCGCTTCAGGAGTCAGAACTGCTGGACTGTTTAAGTTGGAACGGGAAAGTTAGCTAGCTGGCTACCGAGACATTAGCATGCTATTAGCGATTTTCTTTTTTATGCTTGTTATGAAGAAAAATACCATAATAGACTAAAACGACGTAAAACTAAGATAAAACAATGGTTATCGTAATTTTTAACTGAGAAAATTCTCACATTTGTGACTTGCCAGTTTTTCTTTTTTTCTCATATCACTCAGTTTGGAGTCTGAAAAACCTCAGTTTGGGGGGCCATGTAGCCCTAACACTTCGCCTTACCCCTCTATCTCAACTAAAACTGGGACACCCTACCCCTAGACGTGAACACGCAAAACAGAGGGCTAAGTGGTAGGGGCGAGGGGTGAAATGGGATTGGGCCTTGGACTGATATGAACCTGCACTGCACAAAGAGTCAGATGTTGTTTTTGTCCGTCTTAAAGCTGTGCGTGACTCATTTTCTGACATTTAAGTTGACCTTCCAGCTTGATAGCATGAGATGGGGGAGACCTAGCAATCGAGTAGGAATTGGACATGACTCAGCTGAGGAGCAATTTTGAGTTAGGGTTGGGAAACAGAAAAGAAAACAGTGGGTGGAACAAATGTGCAAGAAATTCCAGGTTCGGGAATGTACGTGCGCATCAGCCTTTCCCTAGTGTTGAGCTCCAGCCTAAATGCAACCTACCCAACTAATCAAGATCTTCTGGAAAAAGTTCAATAAACCAAATCAGGTTTACTGTGTTTTTTTTCCCCATTACCCAAAGTGTAGCCCAACAAATAAGTCAGGTTTGTTCTTTAGTTTTGTACAGGAACTGTAGTAGTAGTGTAAGCTAATCCCCCACCATGCAGCATCATGAAAGCTGCATACCTAAATCTTCACACTTGTCTCAGTGGTATAGGAAACTGTTTCCAGTCCTGTTCCTGGAGTTCCCCTGCAGTGGATATTTTACTGTTCTCCCTGCTTTAACACAGCTGAGTCACCTCATCAGCTAATTAAAAAACCCTTCACCACTTTGAAAGTGGATCTGATGGAGCAATAGAATACTACAGTGTGACCACAGTCCATATTACATACAGTGTAATTTTTGTCTAGGATGGGGAAAAAAACAAAAATCCAAACATTACTATGGAAAAATGTGAGGAAATTTGTTACGAAAGAGAGAGGAATTTTTAACGGAATGAGCATTTCTCTGAAAACATGTTTCAGCAAGGTTCAGGGAAACTCCAGGACTGGGAAATTTTGGTATAGCCAGTGTCTGAGTGCAGAACTGCGTGGTATGTATGATTGACGCCTCAACAAACCATTTAGGTTTACGGTCTGGTGGACTTACGGGGGATAGAGTGCTTGATGACTTTATCCTCGCCTGGAAAGGTAGAGAGTTTGCTAAAATGTTGTTGGCTTCAGCTGTAAGTGTTAGCAAACACAGAGAACACGCTAGTGTAGCAGTAGGTCCTCTTGGTACCAATCACCAAAAACTACAAAACTGGACCAATTGGCCATTGGTTCTGGTACTTTATACAGTGGAAAACCTTATTGTGTGAACATTTCATATGAAGTGGAACCATAAACATTATCCAAAATCACTTTGTGTCGCCCACCCGCCCCCTGGGCCCTGATGGCGGCTGCGAGAGCTTGCCCGAAGGCAGGGCCCGAACACCGAGTGGTGACGAACCCTGGCGAGGACGGCGGGGAGAGAGGCGCGGGTGGGTGGGGGACGGAGTCCAATGCCCGAGCTCCGCTGAGGGACGAGTGTGACGGCGGGAGGAGGACGACAATGGTGCCTGGCACGAGGGCAAGGAGCGAGGGGCTTTGCACTCCGGGCCACCATCGGGGCCCGCCCCCTTTTTCCGCAGCGAGGCCGCTCCACCTCACGTTCGATCTGGGTGGACGAGCTGCGAGCAGGGGGCCGTGACGAGGAGGCGGAGCAGCGAGCTCTCGTTCCTTCTCAGCTGAGGCTGATCTGGCTGGCGCCTTTTAAGAAGAGCTGAGAGGGACGAGCAGCAGTAGCAACAGCAGAAGAGACTGAGTGAAGAGCTGAAAAGCTCCGGTGATGAAAAGGACTGAAAAGTCTATCTAGAAGGCTGAAAAGTGGGCAGCTTAGCGTTTCTTTTGGTTGGTTTTGTGTTTATTTGGTGTGTAAATAAAGGGAAAATGGCTACTGCAACCTTGAATCCTGCCTCCTACGTCCTCCTTGTGCCTGGGGTAGCGCATGACATGCTACACACTTGTAATAAAACCTTGTTTCATTATTTGTTGTCATGTTGTGAAGAGGTTTTTCTTCGCTATAGAAAGAATTGTGCATCCACTTCAGTTGTCTTCCGTGGTCTTCCAGCCTTTTTGGTGTTGCTGAGCTCACCATTGGCTTTCCTCTTGTTTAAGAATGTACCAAATTGTTGATTTGGCCACCCCTAAAGTTTCTGCTGTCTTTTTGATAGGTTTGTTTTCCTTTTTCAGCCTAATAATTTTCCCATTCAATTGCGTCGACACCTCTTTGGACCACAGAATTCCCATGAACAGCTACCAAATGCATATTCAGGACTTGGAATCAACTCCAGACCTTTTTGTTTCTTTAATTTGTCAAGAAATAACGTGTAAACATTGGAAACTGCTCATCAGTCAACTGTCCAATTACTTTTGAGCCTGTGAAAATGCTCCTAAATGGTTAATGCAGTATTTTTGTTAAACCCTTAATAAATCCGAAAGTCTGCACTTCCATCACATCTTGATTCTTCATTTCAAATCCATTGTGGTTGTGAATGGAGGCGAAATTACAAAAAATTGCCACTGTCCAAATACTTATGGGCCTGACTGTATGTCAGGTAGCTATTTAAACTAAGTGTCTATTAAAGCTGATCTTTTCTCACGCTGTGTAATCAGGTACTGGTTTTGATGGAGATCAGGCCCTGGGGGTTCAGCTGCTGCAGCTCGGCCGGAAAAAGCGGCAGATCATCCACGGTGAGCCGCTGCCGCTGTCCCGCAAATCCTACCTGGCTTGGATGGGCTTCAGTGCAGAGGGTGAGTCATCCACCTTCCTGTTTTCCCTCCCCCTTTAAATCCTTTCATTTTGGGTTCTTTGAAAGGTAGTTGTGGAAGAGAGAATGGGTCACGTCTGAAATTAGCATTATAATACCTTGTCGTGCTGCAGGGACTCCGTGTTCGGTGGACTCGGAGGGTGTGGTGCGGATGCTGAATCGCTCAATGGGAAACACGTGGACTCCTGTGTGCAACACCAGAGAGAGCTGTAAGAGCAAATCTGACCACTACTGGGTGGTCGGCATCCATGAGAACCCACAACAACTCAGGTGCGACACTGAGATTTTCTTCTCTGCTTTAAAGCGACAGTTTGGCAAAAAATCTCATTTAGTTTTCCCTGCTTACTCCAAATGTGGTCGATCATCCAAGACATGTTTGGTGACCTGAAGTTTGCTTCCATTGTTTTCTGTGCTGGTGCTACAAGGCTAATGCAGCTAATGCTGATGCATTAATATAAGCTTATGCCTCAGCAATTAGCTTTTTAAATGAAATAGAAGAAGCCATATCGCCCCCTACACTTCCTGTAGTGTATTACAGTCTGTCAGAATGACTGTGTGGATCATATGAACATTATAGAGGCTTTTTAAATGAAACAGTAGAAGCCGTATCGCCCCCTACACTTCCTGTAGTGTATTACAGTCTGTCAGAATGACTGTGTGGATCATATGAACATTATAGAGGCTTTTTAAATGAAACAGTAGAAGCCATATCGCCCCCTACACTTCCTGTAGTGTATTACAGTCTGTCAGAATGACTGTGTGGATCATATGAACATTATAGAGGCTTTTTAAATGAAACAGTAGAAGTCATATCGCCCCCTACACTTCCTGTAGTGTATTACAGTCTGTCAGAATGACTGTGTGGATCATATGAACATTATAGAGCTTTTTAAATGAAACAGTAGAAGCCATATCGCCCCCTACACTTCCTGTAGTGTATTACAGTCTGTCAGAATGACTGTGTGGATCATATGAACATTATAGAGGCTTTTTAAATGAAACAGTAGAAGCCATATCGCCCCCTACACTTCCTGTAGTGTATTACAGTCTGTCGGAGTGACTGTGTGGATCATATGAACATTATAGAGGCTTTTTAAATGAAACAATAGAAGCCATATCACCCCCTACGCTTCCTGTAGTGTATTACAGTCTGTCAGAATGACTCTGTGGATCATATGAACATTATAGAGGCTTTTTAAATGAAACAGTAGAAGCCATATCGCCCCCTACACTTCCTGTAGTGTATTACAGTCTGTCAGAATGACTCTGTGGATCATATGAACATTATAGAGGCTTTTTAAATGAAACAGTAGAAGCAATATCCTCTCTGTCTCCAGGTGTATCCCCTGTAAAGGTTCTCGATTCCCCCCAACTCTTCCCCGCCCTGCTGTGTCCATCCTGCCCTTCAAACTACCCCTCTGTCAGACCAGCACGGAGAAAGGCCAGATGGAGGTGAGACTTCACTACTGAAACTTTCCACTACTTTTTACTATATGCTGTAGTTTCATGTGAATTATTTCTGACTCGTGGCTCATTGAAACAGGTGGGTAATTGTGTGGAAATTGCAGATTCTGAACTTTCATTTCATGCTGCATTTGTGTTCGTAAGATGAAGAGGAGATATTTTATTATGATTTGCATTTGATAAAACGATTATCTTGTTTTGCTGAAAGAAAAAATGTAATTCAAGGGCTGTTGAAGTTAACACGTTAACCAATCCGCAGTAGTGCAGGCTGAAGCCCAGCTGAATGTTGCTCTGATAGAATCCACGATTGTAGTGCTCTCATTCAAATACAGCTTTTAAACATGATACCATCAGCAGACTACACTTGACAGTGCTTACCAGAGAACTGTGAATAAATCAACAAGCAGCTAACGAATAAAAGCAATAGCAAAGCGGAGCTTAAGTTCCTCTCGAGCCCCCACTGTAACAAGAATCCACAAGCTGTATGAACGAGAGCGAAAGCGAGAGGCTGCTAACACAGAGGATATGTTTGATATATACACTCATTTACAGTACATATGGTGTATATGATATATACCAGGAGTCGCAACCCAAATGTTAAGAAGAGACATTTTGTCCTTTCAAGAAAAATCAAACCAACTTGAGAGCCACAACATTTTCTTGAAGTAACGTTTTACCATCTTGGCTGTAAAAATGTCTCAGTGTGTGCTAATGTACTACTATAGGCTAAAAATAATAATAATAATAATATGAACCACAACGCAAACTTTTTTGCTCTGCTTTAAGCTTTAACTCAGCTATAGCTGCTTTTCTCACATCTCCGGCAGGAAACTTTTCTGTGAAAGTGGAACAATTTCTTGTAAAATGTCTCTCAGCATTTGATTTGATTGATTTTACGAGTCAGCTTCTCATTCTCCAGCTTAAATGACGTTTGAGGTGCCAGAATGTAACCGCAGCTTCAGTGTTTGACAGTTTCTCGTTGCAGATTAATCATATCAGGAAACCAGCTGGAGTGATTATAAATGCAAATAAGTCCATTCATCTCCAAATTATTGATGTTCATCTTGAATCTTTCTCTTTGCCGTTTCGTTAGTTACTAGGTAGGTGAGACTGTTGTCTGTGTTGCTATGGTGACCAGCAGTCTGTGCTGGTCTTCAGGGTTAAAGGGTGAATTAGCAGTTCTACATTAGCTCCAGAGTTTAAGACCATTTATTGTTAAACTGTGTTGAACGATCAGCAGAGCTTTATTTTACTGTAAAGGAGGATTATTTTATTATTACCTACTAATCTGATTCTGCTGTGGAGCCACAACAGGACAGTAAAAGAGCAGCATGTTGCCGACTCGTGATATACATGCTTAGTGACTGTATGTATGATACATATGATCTACACTCATTGATTGGAACATTCAGCCACTGTTGCTCTCACTGGATGTCAGTGATGAAAATTGGAAACTGGATTCACTGTGGAAATCAGGTAATTTTCAAATTCCGGTTCCGAAAATAGTGTTATGGAAAGTGATAAATACTTTCTGATTGTGCTTATTGTGTCCACTCAAATAGCTATAACAGTGCACTGCTTTTTAAAAGGGACAACTTTTGAGCAAATAAGACAAATGTGATTAATTACAGTGAATTATTTTTAGCTTTGACAGCCCTCATAGTTACATTTAAATATAGTGGCAAAACGAAAGCAATAACTTCTGAGAGTCAGTGTCTGCTTTTGTAAGGTCACAGTGAATGCTGTTGTTTGCTCTCAGTTTGGGGGGGATAGAGGGGGTGGGGGGGTTGTCCTGCCCAAAAAGGTTCCTAGTAATACTTGTTCACTCTTATCTGAGCGGTGTTGTCTGGTCACACTATCAGTCAGCCAGAATTTGCTCCAGGCTGTGAAATGGGGACACTAGTCTCCTTATGACCAGCAGCAGAACTGGTGTTTCCATCATGGATTACAGATAATATGAACTTTTTCCATATGGGTGCCTTTATTTTTGTTTTTTTGTTTCTTTTTTTATTAATTTCTAACATCATTTGAAAATGCCAGATGCTCTCATTGAAAATGTTTACACTGTGTGGACATTTCGTGGTGAAATTTTTTTTTCTTTTTGTTTTTTCTGTTTACCCAATTTTCTCCCTAGTTTAGTCGTTCCACCCGCTAGTTAGGACTCCCCCATTCACACAACACTATCAGCGCTAGGAGGGTGAAGGCTAACACAGGCTTCCTCCGAGACCTGTGAAGCGCCACCACATCTTTTCAAACTGTCGCTCACGCAACGTCATTGGACGCCTGCGCTGACTAGCATTGCGTTAAGTGATGGGGGGAGAAGGAGGGGCCATCCTACCCACCCAGAGAGAGCGAGGCCAATTGAGCTCGCTTGGACTCCCAGCTATGGATGGCTGTAGCATCACCAGGGATCGAACTCGCGATCTCCTGATGACAGGGCCAACGCAACCGTCTAAGCCAATTTTTATTTTTACCTGACAATTTTCCAACCTCTCTCTTTTTTTTTAAACTGTGCCTTTAAGACTTTTGTATGTAATATTCTGGCTGTCCTCTTTGTAACTTCAACATAAATGACGAGGCTAAACTGCTGTAGGCTCACAGAAACAGTGAGTTCAATTCATTGTTTTCACAGCTAAGTTTCCGTGTGTGGACTGTGTGGACTGGGGAGTGGATGGCATGTTTTGAAACATCATACTCTTTTATCTCAAAACACCAGTGAAAACTGGGTTTTTATGAGGCATGGGACCTTTTTACTCCACTTTTTAATTTAAAATATTATTTTATTACATCACTTTAAATCAGCTGCCATTTACATTGTGTGATCCGATTTCCTTATTGTTTTCTGACATTAACAACTTCTTCTCCCAAACAGTTTTAGTTTCTGAGATTCGAGGTTAGAATATGACAGTGACATTGTCCAGTGACTCTATCCGTGACGTTAGCCACAATTAGAACATCTGCCTCAGAGAAAATCACTCACCAAAGCATAATTAATCATCTGAAATCGTTCATTTGCATACAACAGTCATTCAGGTGGATCTCTTTCTGTGTTTAGTGCTTGTGTGGGTGTGGGTGTGGGTTTTACAGTTTAAGTAAAAACTTAGTTCTAAAACAAAAATAACAGTTGTGACCTACAAAACCTAAAAAATGCTCCTTGCTTGTTTATGAAAAATCTATAAATCTGTGTTTTATGAAAGATCCATGTTTAAAGTCAAAGTGTAAAACCGTTTCTTTTTGGTTTTTTGAGGTTAGGGTTAGGATTAGTAAGTATTAGGCTTTTTAATATATATATATATATATATATATATAGTATATATATATATTAAATTTGAGTAATTTTGTCCCATTCCTTTTTGCATAGAGGTACATGGTTTTTTTATATTTGTATAATATAATGTGTGTGTATATATATTTATTATGTATGGGTACTTGCATGTGTATTGGTTGTCACATTGTGAGATTGTATAAAACCCTGAATGTGTGTGTTTTTCAGGAGCAGTACTGGCGCTCTGTGCTCTTCCACAATCATTTCAGCTTCCTATCCTCCAGCGGTTATGAGGTCAATGAGGAGAACCAGAGGCAGCAGGAGAAAGAGCAGCAGGAAGCGCTGATGAAGATGTTCGCTGTAAGTCATCCTCAGATGATCAGAGCAGGAGGAAAACTAAATGCAATCAGATGGGCCTGCTTTGAATTTAACTGCAAATTGATGTCTGACATGCAGAGCTTGGCTATAATAACTGAAACGTCTGTCTCAGCTAAAGTTCTGCTTTAATTTTAGATCAGGGTACACAAGGGACCTGTCTGCTTTCTCATATAGTTACTGTTGCTAGGTTGGACAAGCTTTTACAGAATATTTAATGCAGTGTGGCAAAAAAGTTGAGAAGGGTCTGGCTGCAGACATGCACTCTCAGCCTGGCATTAACCGCCAGCCTGTTAATGACGTCAGTGCCGCTCTGCCACGACAGTGTGTTTTGTCGGTTTTATGAGGAAAAACAGTGAAACACGAACTGCTGGGCAACAAGAGCTACACTGAATGTATATTAACGTTGCCATACTGATAATAAGGTAATTAAATATGGAAACTTTCCAAGTAAAACCTACCACGATAAGACAGAATGTCGGGTTTATTCGCAGAAAAAACAAAAAGGCTACTGAAACTCGTGAAAGCCATGCTGAAGATGATCAGAACCGGTTATCAAAAGCTGTAATATTGATTAAAATAGAACTCATTAAGGATTCTAGGAGGTTGTGACAACGTACAGCCAACATAGTACCGATTATTTTTGCTGTCTCGTCAACGTCGTCACAACCTCCTAGAAGGCTGTCAGACAACGTTCATAACTTTCTGAGGAATTACATTTCACCATTGTGACAGTGTAGAGAAGCACCAAGCAGACGATGCTGTGGGCTCCAAAACAGTACGTTGACTCAACGTAACTGTGTTTGCAGAGCCGTTAGGAATAAAACCTGATGGTTTTGCTTCTTAACGGGAATTGACTTGATGGCTGCCATTAGAGGCCATTAGGAAACGATCAAATGTTTGTGGAATCAGCCCCAAAACACCTGATTAAATGATCAGAATCTTTTACACTGTTATATCAACCCATCAGGAAAACACGGAACCATTAGCGACTACTGAAAACCACCAGGAACCAGCAGACACTTTCAAAGGGTTCTATGATTTTTTTCAACAGGGAGGTACATTAACTGTAACTCTCTAGCTGTGTTATGGCTGAAAAATGGATTAAGTGATGTCGCTAAGCAGCAGCAGCCAAACGTTAACGTGCCGTTGGGCTGCGTCTGCCATTGTAGCAGAGAGTGCATGTACACATGACGTCACTGGGGCTGAGAGTGCATGTCTGCAGCCAGACTCTATTGAAAAAGTTTGCAAATGTGGTGCAACAGTCTGTTTTTAGAAATTAGTTTTATTCTTAAGTGTGTGTGGGTGTATGTATGCACACATATATATATATATATATATATTATATATATATATATATTTAAAATGTGTGTGTGTGTGTGTGTGAACATTTTGTTTTCCGTCCTTTTTGACATGTTTGCGTGTCTCAGCTGTCGTGTAAGCTGGAGCGCGAGTTCCGCTGTGTGGAGTTGGCGGAGATGATGACCCAGAGTGTGGTCACTTTGGCCATCCGCTACGCCTCACGCTCCAGGCGAATGCTTCTGGCTCAGAGGCTCAACGAACTCGCTTTGGAAAAGGCCAATCAGCTGGAAGAGGAGGAGGAGCTAGACGAGGAGCCGGCCTATCACAGCACAGCACAAAGCACAGGGTAGGTTGGAGCTTGGTGTTGGATACCGGGTGATATAATATGATCTGGATTCACAGAGCCACAACTAAGTAGGCTTGTGGGTGGGACTTCTTGTGATGTTCTTTGTACCCTGTTCTTTAGACTGGTCCGTTTTGACAGGTGTGAACACTCCACCTGTACTCGGGTGCACGCTGTGTAAAATGTAAATAAATGTAAATTAAAACAGAATGCAATGATTTGCAAATCTCATAGACCCATATTTTATTCACAATAGAACATAGAACACATATCAGACGTTGAAAGTGCGACATTTCAGCATTTCATGAAAAATATTAACTCATTTAGAACTTGATGGCAGCAGCTTGATGGCATTTCCAACAAAAATCTAACTACCTGGGGAACCACAGCATTTTATGTCCATTTTACCGTCTTGGCTGTGAATGTGTCTCAGTATGTGCTAATGTGCTAGTATATTCCAAAAAATATATAAAATAAACCAAAACACAGACTTACTTTGCTCTGCTTTTCTCGCATCTCCAGCAGGAAATTTTTTTTTGCAAAAGTAGAACAGTAGTGAGGCGCCAGGTTACTGGAGCACCATTTAAGGTGGAACGGGAGAATTTGAACAAGAAGCTGGCGAATGAGAAACTGACTTCAGCTTTGTGACTTTTCAGTGTTTGTCAGTTTCTCACTGCAGATTAATCATATCAGGAAACCAGCTGGAGTGATTATAAACACAAATAAGTCCATTCGTCTCCAAATTATCGATGTTCATCTTAAATCAAAAGTCAAAAATCTAATTCTGCTGCGGAGCCGTAACAGGACGATAAAAGAGCCGCATGTTGTCGACCCCTGTCTTAGATGTATCTTATGGTCCTCAACACTTAATATTGTGAATCTTTATTTTTCGGTTATTGTTCATCTTAAAAACAAGTGGAAAAATAGGGCTGAATGATTGCTGAAAATATCTAATAGCGATTTTTCAGACCGATATTACGACTGTGATTTAAGTCTCAATTATTGTCTATAAATTAAGGTCCAGTAGGCTGGAATATCCCCTTTTTCTGTCTTGAGTCTTCAGTGCTGGATGTTCAGTACTGCCAGTTATTTGTACTTGTGTTCTCATGTTCACAGCACATGGGAGTTGAGTTGATTTGAATTGCTCACCTACAAAAGGTTAATAAGCTCTGCATGATCAGGTTCAGTTTCCCCACTTAAAACATAAGGCTCTGGTTTTGATAAAATAGGCCATAATTGAAATCGCAGCTCATGTGGAAGATTGCGCTCTTTCATATTGTAATTTTGATAAAAGCGATTGCTCATTCAGCCCCAGGACACGGTAGTGGGGGGAGAAAAAATTGGCTTGTTGGTAAATGTGATTCATCTGAGCTTCTTCCAGCTCAACTTTCAATCCTTTTGTAACAGTATTACATCAAATTGCTTGTGCGTTGGTTCTGAATTGCTGATTAATGGTTTGGATGTAATGAATCATGTTTTCCCTGGTGTATGCCATGATGAATGTAACAGGGGAAAAGAAGCTGCCTTTCTATGAGAAACGTTAAAGCAGTATATACTGGACATAATACCATTTTAGCCAGCCTGTAGTAGTCCACAGATCCACTGCTGTTTGATCGTTGTGTGCTGAAGTGGGAGACCTTATGATTAATTCTGGATATGAATTTTGTTATAACTTCTTCCTTGATGTTCTACAGGTTTCTCAGTCATTTTTCAATCAGCTCTGTTTATCACTCTGCACACATTTAGCATTTCTTCATTTTATTTCCTGCTTCCTAATGTCCTACTGATTATTTGACACTAGTTAAATTGTACATGACTAGAATATTAGGCTGTGTTCACACAGAAGGTAAAAGTGGCCCAAATCTGATCTCACCAAATCCGATTTTTTTTTGTTGGCTGAAATATCACCTCAAATGTTTGAGTCTCAGCAGTGCGAAATTATGACGAATGTGGAGCTGGATTGACATGAAAGTCGCATGAATTCCGATCTGGCTGTTCAGACTGAGTCGCATTGCTTCAGATCGGATACGTATCAGATTTCAGTACCACATATGAAAGCGTCTCAAATCGGAATTGAAAATGTCCGATTCGGTGTGTTTATCTGTTCACACTGACACACAGACACACATAAAAATTTGGGCCACTTTTACCTGCTGTATAAACGTAGCCTTAGAGTAATTTAATACATTTGTCTGCAACCAAATTGGTTTTATATTATTGAAATGATTTGATTCCAAATTTTTAAGTAGTTGTGAATATTGAAGCAATTCATAATAATCCGCCAACTGAAAATCCAGCTGTCAATTGTTCTGTTATAAGAACTGGTAAGGCACTAGAGTAGAGGTCTTTAAATCTGGACCTTGAGATCTGCACTAGTGGCCAACCCGCTACAGCAACAGTTCCATTAACTGCCAGTGACTACAAAATCTAGGACCGGATTTAAGGTCAAGATTTTGAAGACCTCTAAAGAATGGCAGAACTGGTATTGTCACACTGGCTGAGAACGCTGTGCAAGATCCTGCAATCGTAAAGCATATACCTATATTTAATTTTTATATGTTTAAATAAAATGGACATTAATGTGTGTCATATTTGAGTTTGCATGCTTTTCTGTTGTGGAAATCGGGTTGAAGGGGAGTTTCACCAATTTTTCAAATATTCTCCATAGTTAAATGGTTAATATGTAAACAGAGTCGTTCAGAGTGGTTTGGTGTGAATTTTTCTGTTCTAGAGAAACTTACAGAGTCAGAACTGTTCACAGTGGTGGTGATAGGAACCAGACGTCCACCTCTAAAAGCTCCCTCACAGAAAGTTACTACATGAGATGGTTATGAATTCACTGCCTGATGACTGAGACACTGTTTTATGATTCCATTCCATTCATGGCAGAGAGATGCATGTTGGATACTGTGAGGGGACATCGTCCTCAAAGAAAACTTATTTTTTAAATATTTATCACTATTTAACATCAACATTCCATATAAAAACTCAGAAGACATGTGCAGGTTCACTGTTGGGTTTGGATAGTAAATAAAATGGCTGTATTTGTGTTGTATATTTGTGTTGACATCTTGACACCTGGTTCCTGTCACCACCACTCTGGAAGACTTTGATCTGAGCAGATGAATTAGGCTGAAATTTTGGAAAATAAATGAAAAATTTCCCCCCTTTTTTTTTAACATTTATTTATTTTTTAAATTGTGCAAGAACCCTGTATATAAGTTTGTCTGGTGTTCACAGGTTTAACCAGTCCAGCAGAGCATCCAGACACTCCAGCAGCAGAGCAGCACAGGAGAACGATGATGAATATGAAGAAGAAGAAGACGAACAGGAAGAATCAATGGAAGCGGAGGATGAAGCAGAAAGCAGGAAACCACGTAAGAGTACTGTTTGAACTGTTATTACTCAGTTGGATGTTATGTAAAAATTAGGACAGGACCAAGGCTGATGAGCTCATACAAACAACATATACCGCTGATAGGTTTTTAATACCTTTTTTACTGTTATTTTATGATTTATTTACATCTAATTAATTTACGCTGTGTTTGCTGGGGCTGTGCGTTCCAACTAATTTTAATATTTGCATCCTTAAAAATGTAGCCTTGACTGTGCGCACACATTAAGGCTTAGCAAATTGTGATAGCAAATTTGTAATACTCTGACTTACCGCAGATATGAGCCGATTTGCCACATTTCACAGTCCTGTTAATAATATAAACAGCAGTGTGTCACTGGATTATAAATCTGTGTGTTTTCTCTGTCTTACGGTAATGAAACGTGAGGAATATCAAAGCAGTGATTTAAGTATTTGAATACTGGCACCTTAAAGGCTTACCTGAGTACTGAAGAAGCCACGCACATCATTAGCATTTACACCAGAAAACATCTAGTGAAGATTAAGGCCTAATCCCATTTCTTATTTTTACCCCTACCCCTTGTTTTGAGTGTCTCCTTGCCCCTTGGATCTGAGTTACAAAAGGTAGTGGTTATAATCTTCCCTATAAAAGGGTAGGAGGGTAAATTTCAGCTCCTCACTGCTGGGCTTTAGTTACATTTAGGGCATCATATGCCTTCATAGGGGGTCAATTATTTATCACCCACCCCTAATTCTCCAGTGAAATGAAGCTGAAGTCAGATGTTCACCAGCTTCTCCCGTTCCACCTTAAATGGAGCAGCATTTCCGATGCCAGAGGTGCCAGAATGTAACTGCTGCACCATATGAGGTGGAAAGGGAAATTTATCTAGCTAGCTACTGGGACATCAGCACTACTAGCAATTCTTTTATGCTTGTTATAAAGAAAAGGACCATAATAAACTGAAATTACATTAAACTAAGATATGATGGTTATTATAATTTTTAAACAAAGAAAATTCTTACATTTGTGGGTTTCTCTGGTCTCTCATGCTCCATCTTGCTGGTATTTCTTTTTTTCTCATAACACTCTGTTTGGAGTCTCTGAAAAGCCTCTGTTTGGAGGGCCATGTACCCCTAAAGCTTCGTCGTACCCCTCTATCTCAACAAGAATCGGGACACCCTACCCCTAGACATAAACATGCAAAACAGAGGGGGTATGGGCTAAGTGGTAGGGGCGAGGGGTGGAATAGGGTTGGGCCTTAGTGATTAGATTAGCTTTTTCTTCATGTAGCCCAGCAGCGCTCGGTGACGTAGGCCACTGCATTAAAGGGCCACTCCATTTAATTCAAAGTAGGAGGAATTTTTTGAGAAGCTACACCTGCTTTGGGGTGGATTTTCATATGTCGTATAGGCAGTGCTGAAGAGCTCGCGCTGCCTTTTGGTGTTTGGAAAGTTGTTTATGGCATTTTGCTGCTAGACGTGTGCGGAAGTGAGCTTATGAATACTGCGCCTGTTTTTCCTGTGGGGTCACAGACAGAGTAGCAGCTTCTAAGGTTACACCACTGAGACGCTTTAAAGTGGAGTTCAGGAATGAAACAAGTGCTATTTCTCTGTTCTGTTGTCGTATTTATGGATTAGCTTTTTATCCGACTTCCATTTGTGAACGTTTCGACTGAGAATATTTCTGCTCATTTAATCTTAATATCTTTTAAATGGACATTTTGAGCTGACACACTTTTGGGTCTTGCATGTACACTTTGGTGTTGATGTTTTTCAAAATATTTCCAGTAAAACTGGAATAAATTCTGGTTTGTGTGATTGATGTTGCAGGTGTGAACCCTTTCAGTAAAGGCCCAAAAGGATCACCTGAAAAACCTTCCCCAAAACCAGGTGAGTGAACAACCAGAATGAGAAGTGATTGGACAGTTTTATTTATTGCTGTGTGAAAGTTTGGAATCAATGTTTTTAATAACATATAAATAAATAAAAATACAATATATAAATATATGATATATAAAACCCATTTAAAATGATTTAATGTATAAAATCATTCTAATAGGCTCGTCTTGTTCAACTTCACCGGGTTCATATAATCAGTAGGACACTAGGAAGCTGTAAATATAGATAAAAATAGATGTGTCTAGAATAAACATCAATAGAGGATTCTGAAATGACTGAGAAAGCTGTAGATCATCAGTAGATACAATATAATGTAATATAATACAGAATTCATCATATAGATTACAAAAATGTAGTCTAAATAATTACAGTATCTTATTTTATTAATTTTTCACAGAATTCTTAAAATATTAAAAAATAACTAGTTATAAATAATCTGCATTGTACAAGTTATTGTTGCATATAAAATAACAAACATTGTTAATATGACAAGTGATTCCAAACTTTTGAGTGGTAGTGCACGAAGGCCAGATGAGTCCAGTCTAACGCTCAGTGTAGCCCCGTTTACAAATAATGCAGCAAATACAAGTAACAGTAGTAATGCTAAAAGTACTATGCAGTCCTCATAAAGCACTTGCTCTGCCAGTCTACAGTCATACATATACATATTAAAATTGTATACACTTTTAAATGGATTGTTTTGTTAAATAATTTTGTGAATCCTTTTTTTTTCTCTTTCAGTCAGTAAAGAAGGCCGTGTGAACCCTTTTAAGGTGAGAATACACACTGGATATAGACAGTTACTGGTTTTAGTGGTGCACACATGCTATAAGAAACCAAGTAACAATCACAGTGTGTGTTATATACCTGAATATTATGTATAATGATTCCACTGCCTGTGTACGATGAGGTAAACAGTCTTCTGCGGTCTGCTTGCATGTGCAAGAGCAACACGTGTATGTAGTTATAATCTGAACAGTTACAGCCCGGTTCTGTGTTAGTATTTAAGTTGTCATGAAAAAGCCAATATACTGTACTTTGCTTCTTCTTTAAGTTCTATATGGTCAAAAACGTGACTCCTCCTATAGCTTCCGAGAAACTGTGCAGGATAGTAGAGCCTACACCCTAAATAGAAGTCAAAATAAAATTTGACTTACTGTGTTTGTACAGCGTTTGTTCAAACTCAAGTTCTTTCCACAGAAACTGAGTCATTCAACTTACAAAATTTATAAAACTTATACCTCTACCTCTTATTCCACCACAGTCTGTTTACACTCTGTAGCCAAGTGTTTTGGACATGTCTCTTATGTCACCATCATATAACACCTTAGCAACGACCTGGGTGGGATACCGTAGCAGTGGCCTAGCAACACCTTAGCAACCACCTGGGTGGGATACTGTAGCAGTGGCCTAGCAACGCCTTAGCAACCACTTGGTGGGATACTGTAGCAATGGCCTAGCAACACCTTAGCAACCACCTGGGTGGGATACTGTAGCAATTGCCTAGCAACACCTTAGCAACCTCCTCAGATACCCTAGCAATGGCCTAGCAACACCTTAGCACCACCTGCGTGGGATACTGTAGCAGTGGCCTAGCAACACCTTAGCAACCACATGGGTGGCATACTGTAGCAATGGCCTAGCAACATCTTAGCAACCACCTCAGATACCATAGCAATGGTCTAGCAACACCTTAGCAACCACCTCAGATACCATAGCAATGGCGTAGCAACACCTTAGCACCACCTGGGTGGGATACTGTAGCAGTGGCCTAGCAACACCTTAGCAACCACGTGGGTGGCATACTGTAGCAATGGCCAAGCAACATCTTAGCAACCACCTCAGATACCATAGCAATGGCCTAGCAACACCTTAGCACCACCTGGGTGGGATACTGTAGCAGTGGCCTAGTATTAGTATATTTTTATAGTAGGTATATTTTGTTTACCACAGTATTATGGAAAACTGTTTGATCACTAATATCATAATAGGACATTTCATTATTTACCAACATAATATTTATTGTGTTATTTTAACCTCTAGGTCGCTGGTGCAGGAAAGTCATCCGGATCTCCTGCAGGCCAGCCCAGAGTGGCTAATGTTCTGGACACCATGACCATGTCTAGCAGGAAACCTTCTGCTCTGACTGGTTCTTCAAAGCAGAGCAAAGCTCCAGTGCTGAAGCCTCTGGCACCCAAACCCAGGAGCAAGGTACAGTCTACTGATCAAACACGCACAGCAAGTCACTCCGCCCGGCTGCTTTCATAAAGCTCACTTCTGCCTGTCAGACAGAGGCGATCCTCTTATCTCAAATGCGTTTCAGAACAGAAAGATTGCCACGGCTGCCGTCTTATTTTTTCAGCCTCATGATGGCCTTTCTTACCTACACCAGTGATTTATTGAGGCCTTATACTGACAAATGAAAACTCTGAGGGGAGGAAATAGATATATAAAATAAATAAATAGAAACTAGTATCAAAACTGGGTGCATTCTATTTTGCCATTTTGACATTTGAGTATTTGTAAGAGATGATGAACGGATACCAGTTAAACCCAGGGAGTTTTATAAACAGGCTACATGAAAATGCTACAGTAACAAAACAATAAATACTAAGTATTTTTGAAGCGTCAGATCACTCTTGTTTATCTATAGCTCAACTCTACTGATCTTCTGTGTTGGTGTACAGTTTTGAGCGTGCATCTTTATGAATGAGTGTGCGGTTGGTTGTTTTATAAAGCCGTGCTGTCTGTGTTTTAGGCTCAGGCCACTCTGCTGCAGATGAGTGCGAATAAAGGAGCTGGAAAGAAGCCGGAGGAGAAACAAACAGAGAAAGAGACAGAGAAACAGACTGTAGAGAGAACTCCATCAGCAGCAGGAGATAATGCGGAGAACACGAGGTAGGAGTGGAGCTGACTATCAACAACTACTACTACTACTACTAACAATAACAATAAATAATAATAATAATAATAAAAAGGAAAATGTTTTATGTATACAGCACATTTAATGCATTTAAAATGCAGTGTGGTTTTAAAAAAGCAGTTCAAAATAGTAAAGAAGAATAAAAGTACAATAAGTAATTTATGTGTCAGTAAAAGTAAAAAATAATAGGTAAATGCTAAAGTGAGGAAATACAATATTTATTTAATTTACAGTACATTTCTCAAACCCAAGGATGCTTTGCAACTGTGATGCATACACTGGAGCACAGATCAACAGTAGGCAAAACGTAATATAAAATAATGAATGAAAAACCTTTTCTACTTTGTGTGTGGTGTTTTGTCTTTTTTGTCTTTTTTTCCCTCTCAAGCTTAGTCAGCTTGTTAGAAATGCTCAAATGTCCTACACCAGCCAAGAAGATTGTGTTTTTGCTTGTAAAACCTCTATATAATATCAGATTAACTCCTTATAATCCCAGGCTTGTTGCACACTAAGGCCTATTATTCAGTAACTACATGGACAACAGTGCAGACTGGCTGAGCTATTCTTAGGTCATAGAAGTGTGTATTAAAACCAGTGAGTCTTGGCCATTTAAGGGATTAATGCAAATAAATAATTAAATATTCAGCTAAAATATAAGTATTTTAAAACGGTTTTCGACTGAAAAACACTTCAACACTGAGTGCGTTTACATGCACTTAATAATCTGAGAACAGCAGAAAATCAGATTTTGTCAGTAATCCGATCAGCACGTTTACATGCACCTCAGTAATCAGATAATGGGGAAACTCCAGGTCTACATGAGTCAGACAGTAATCAGATTTCTGCTTTACAACTAGACAGTCAACTCACAGAAGACGTGACGTAACATAAAACTCCTTCTTCATGCATTTTTTTTTTAAATACTTTGTGCCACTTTAGCTGAAATATGAACATACATCATCTAGAAGATGAAGAATATTTAAATCCTTTATTTCATGTATGGTTTCAGTGTTTTGTTGCGTCTCGCGGCGACGCTGGTCGCTTATTTCCAGTACCGCGGTCTGTTTTTACACTGTGCAGACTGAGAAATCTGAAAGAAATCAGAGTACGAGTTCACATGCACTGAGAAATCTGATTACTGAGCTAAAACCCAGCCTTATAATCGGATTTCTAGATCAGAGTATGGTGTTTACATGACCATTTAAGAAAAATCGGATAACTGCAGAAATCTGATTATGATCGGATTACTGAGTGCATGTAAACACACTCATTGGCATAAAAGCTGTGAAGTATTTAATCCAGTAAAAACAAGAACAGATACTTGTTCACAAACCTGATTTAATTTCAATGAAGTATTAAACTGATTTAACTTAATGAAGGGTTGAAACTAGGTGTTGGGTGATGTCTGTGAATACTGGGCTTCCTCAGTTAGAGGTATTTATTGTACGAATGTTTAACCGTATTTACTCCAATCTTAGTGATTTTTCAGTGAATAAACGCTGATCTGATGATCTCGTTTGGTTATTTGGATGAACAAAGGCATATTCTGAATGTAGTATTCTATTCTGCTTTGTTTTATTCTGTTATAAAATTTTCTCAGATGGCCTCGGGGCTTCACGCTGCGTTTTTCTGAAGGCAAAACACGAGGCGCACCACCTGGCTGAGCGTTTTCCTGTTCCTAAGCAACAACAGTATTGCAACCGTCAGTCAGCTCTGCTTACAAGCTGTTGATTCCAAAAGTATAGACACAAAGTTTAACTGCACACTTTAAAAAGATGGTTCTTCAGGGCTGCTTTAGTAAAGAAAATGGTCATATATGGAACCATGAACACTCAAAGAACCCTTTGCATGATTAAGATCGACAGAGAACGTGTTTTACATGGTTCTATATAGAACCTTTTTAAAAGGTTTCTATATAGCACCTAAAAGGGTTCTTCTGTTGTTACAGCCTTGACATTGTAACTATAGAAGAACGCTTTTGGGTGCTATTTAGAACCCTTTTTAAAATAGAACCATCCACAGCACTTTCTCCATCAGTCTGAAGAACCCTTACATGGTGCAGAGGACCCTTTAATCATGCAGAGGGTTCTTTGAGTGTGCATGGTTCTATATAGAACAATTTTCTTTACTAAAGAACCCTTGAAGAACCATCTTTTTAAAGTGTGTACTGTTAACTAGCAGAAATGGTGCTGACAGAAAAAAGAAGCTAAACCAAAAAAAAAACAGAAAATACTTTTTCGTTTGTCAACAATCCATAAATGACCATGAAGGACTGCAGTCACTAATCCCTCCTTCAGTACTGGAGTCACCGAAGGCCCGCCTTACCTTAGATCCGATTGGTCAGTGCAGCAAAAAAGCGTTCTGACGGCTTTGAGTTGAACCCTTTTCGACTCAGGGCCACTAGACACTGCACATGAAAGGGGCCCAACGTGAACAACCCCGCAGGCAGATCTAGGGGACAATGGGGTCAGTAACATGATTTAAAATGCACGAACCAGGAAGGAACAAGACAATTGGTTCCTTTGGTTCTTTTCTTTTACCATTTAATGCACGCTAGGGTATTGTTGCTATCACGTTAGGACCACAGTGAGCCATGACTGGACCATGACGGCACTAAAGGAAAGAAATCGTCAAAACAAACAAAAAGAAACACTACCCTAGCTCTTTAGTTTAAGTTCTCGCCTAATGTCTACACTGATCTTACCTATACCAAAAATATAAATACAAGGATTGGCGCCGCCTCTTACCTAATGTGTCTATACATTAGGCTGCTGGTGTAAAATCTTTGAGCATGAACTTCTAACCCGTCCAGAAACCCCAAGAAAGCACCGCAGCATATGAGAGAGAAATAGAACTAGACGGATGTAAAGCAGCAAGTCTATAAAGCTCGTGTGATAAACAACTCGAGGCATAAAGGCATAAAGCTGACGTGGTCGAGACAAATCACCAAACTGGTGTGACGAAGCTAGACTAGAATCTACTACTAGAATCAGCAGCACAAAAACTACCCGAGTTAAAGAGTACAAAGCGCCTGCGTCCATAAACAACAAAGACCAGTAGCGCACTAAACAGCTATGAGCTCAGAGAGAACGCAGGCTTCTCGACGAGCTTAGCTGGGCTGCTTTTAAAGTTCAGGTCCCTCCTTCAGTGCCAGAAATCTTCATGATAATTGGTCATCGAATGGTAGACGTTGAGCCTCTAATGAGATTAACACCTCGACCAACCTATAACAGAGATAGAAACCAAGCAAGGGACATACAGGACGAACAGAGGAAGAGAGAATGAGCAAGCAGGACAAACATGGGCCAGACACCCCTTTATCCAGCCACATAACACTGAGTGCAAACCGTGTCTCTCGTATTGAAAACAATAGAAAAAACTTGCTCTATAAAAGGAGTCTATAATTAAAATTCATTAAGGTCCAGTTAGGGAAAATATCCTCAAGCAAAGATCCAGAACATCATAATGTCTAACCTGACATCATGATTCAGTGCCATATACTGTTCACTGAAGTGGCCTAGTAGGTATATCAACATTTATACAGTCAACAACTGCATGTCAAATCAAATAAAGTACAATTCAGCCATATTTCAGCAACATTTATGGTCATTTTTCTCTTTTTAGATCACGCCATGTGAAATAACTTCCCTCTGACTCACTTTCTTCTCCGACTGCTGTTTCTCGCCTCCTCCCTCCCGTGTGTGCGTCATTCACTCGAGTTTCAGTGCTCATCATAATGCACAGATCTGATTGGCTGAGTAGCGTCACGTGTGATATTTACAACGCATGCGATTGGTCTGTGAGTCTCCCGGGCCACTAAAGCTACCGTAAAGGCTAGAAAAGTTACGCAGATTAAAATAGGACCACCCTGTCAATCAAATAATTCTCCATAGTTTATCGGTTATAGATCTGGGTCCGGACTCGGACCGCGGTCCGCCTATTAGTGACCTCTGCTCTATAAGAATGTACACAGCAATGGATAAATACAGTTTTGCTCTTCCTTTTGCTGAGACCTGGTCAGATCAGTAGCACGTTTGAATTCCCTCGTGTCCATTATCTGTAGGTCAGAGTTATAGTAACAGTTTTTGCACCATGTAGTGCACTGACCGCTTTGGCTATCAAACTTCTGAAAAGGTCCGTCAGGTGACAGACTAAAATTTTCTGCATTGATTTGTTCTCTTGTTTTCAATGTGAGAGACTTGTTGACTTAAGGACAGGTACGCACATGCTGACTGAAGGTAACTGAACCAGTTGTGTAGCCACAGCAGTTGTTTACCAGCTCCAGTCATTTATGGTCTTATTTAACACTATGTGCGCTTGTTTCCCTCAGACCGAAGACGGGTTTCCAGATGTGGCTGGAGGAGAACCGGAAAAACATCCTCGCCGACAATCCTGACTTAGAAGAGACGGAGATCATTAAAGAGGCCATGGGCCGCTTCCGCACGCTGTCAGCCGAGGACAGACTGGTGAGGCGCTGCGATGAAGGATTGCTAATAACAGTGGTGGTGATGATGGTGATGCTGTGTTTGTGTAGAACCTTTCAAACATGTAAAATGTGGCTGAAAGTGCTGCAGTGTTAAAAAGCAACAGGGGAAACAAAACAGTAAAAGAAGCAAAAGCAATAAATAAATTGCAGCATTTATAAATGTATGCAAATAGAATAAAAATGCAGCAGTTATATATTATATTATAGTAATATAATAAACCGAAGTGCAAAGGAAAGTAAGAAAACATAAATGCTAATTAAATGGTAAAATGAAGAAGGTTTTTAGTTACATTTGTAGTCATGTTTGTAAGGGTTTTGTTTATTCTTTTTCATTTATTTTTTTTAAATGGAGGGAGTCTGTTCAGCTGCAGCTACAATGCTATTTGTTCTGGAGTAGTTTTACTCCAGGAAATCTAATAAGTCATTGCCAACAAGATATGTGATTTTAATCCAGTATGAATCTGCAGTGTGTAGTTTTACAGTCTGACAGTAATAATTGTGGAGTGATTTTAATCCAGTATGAATCTGCAGTGTGTAGTTTTACAGTCTGACGGTAATAATTGTGGAGTGATTTTAATCCAGTATGAATCTGCAGTGTGTGTAGTTTTACAGTCTGACAGTAATAATTGTGGAGTGATTTTAATCCAGTATGAATCTGCAGTGTGTAGTTTTACAGTCTGACAGTAATAATTGTGGAGTGATTTTAATCCAGTATGAATCTGCAGTGTGTGTAGTTTTACAGTCTGACAGTAATAATTGTGGAGCGATTTTAATCCAGTATGAATCTGCAGTGTGTGTAGTTTTACAGTCTGACAGTAATAATTGTGGAGTGATTTTAATCCAGTATGAATCTGCAGTGTGTGTAGTTTTTACAGTCTGACAGTAATAATTGAGTGATTTTAATCCAGTATGAATCTTGAAAGGACCTTTATTATCACCACTGCTGTAAATACACTCTCCACTGTTCTTCTATTAAAATTACACCAAAGGGAGCCGTATACAGCATTGTACAAACAAACAAAAAGTACATTTACAGATGGAAGATTTACTATTTACTTAATTTTGTAGATTTTAAATTTCAAAATTACTTGCACTGAAATTAACAGAGATTTCCTGAAAACAGTGTGTAAAATGTGCGAAATTGATTAAAAAAAAAAAAGGTAAAAAGGAACTGCTTGGTCGCAGGGACAGCACTGTTTTGGGGCATTATTAAATAATATAAACAGTAATAGTAATAAAATAATAAAATAGTAGATTTCAGCAGGCTCTCTCCTGCTCACTGACACAGCTTGTTTAAATTGTGCCGTTTTCAGCGTCGCTGCTTCAGAGAGCCACACAGCATCAATACTGAAGCTCCTCTTCTCTCTGCCGCTGTGTCTCTGCGTAATGCTTTCCTCACAACTTCACCTACTGCGTCTGCAGAAATGTCACGTTTTTCATATCAGAAGATGTTGCCATTTCCTCATGAGTGATGGTGGAAGTCAAAACTCATTTTGCAGAAGCGTTATAAACATGAAGATGGAGCCGGGGGCAAAACATCAGGGAAAGTAAAGCTAAGCTTATTTCGAGCCATGTTTGAATACATTTACTGCTTTCAGACACACTGCAGTCTGACGCTGGTAGAAACCTCATCAAACATCCTATTAATTACACTGGAAAATTTACAAGGGAATTGATTCAGGGGCATCACATCTAATACAATAAAAATTCAAAATCAAATTAGTAAATCAGTGCTCTTAACGTAGTTGCAGCTGTGATGTTAATTATTCACTATACACTGACATTTTACTTTTTTGTGGACTTTGCTCTCTTAGCCTGACCTGGGGGTGTGATTAGGTGGGTGTGTGGGTGGGCTGTAGAAGCCCTTGTGCCAGTGACGTTTGCGACTCTGCACGCTGCAGAATACTCAACACACACTCCAGATGTGAGGTGTGTTTGCGTTTTTCTTACATGTCTGGGTCAAAAATCTTCAAAGTTTGTAGTAAAACCAGAGAAAACATTTCTAACCTTCAAGATCAACCAAATGCTTCTGACTGTAAAGTGCTTTTACAAAAACAGTTTCAGGTTTTTAAAATTAAAAGGGAAAAAACTTTAATTATTTGTTCCTGTGGCTAATTAGGCTTAGGTTTTGCGTTGGGCTTAGAAAATTCTCATTTTATATTGATACTTTCAATATATAATGAGATTATTTTTTTTATATATATATATATATATATATATATATATATATATATATATATATATATATATATATATATGTATGTATGTATGTGTGTGTGTGTGTGTGTGTGTGTGTGTGTGTGTGTGCTTTTTCTGTTTTTGACACAATCTAAAAATTCCTTTTACCCTTTATATTGTGTGTAAATTTCATGATGAATGGACTAAAAGAAATGACCTAAAATGACTTGGAAAAATGTCTGGTTCCATTGACTTACATTAAAAGTAATGTTTGTTTTTTTCCTTCTCCTGTAAAGTTACCAATTTGAAAATATGAGGTTATATATACACAAATATGCAAGTACTGATACGTAATAAGTCCCATATATATATATATATATATATATATATATATATAAATTACTTTTAATGTAAGTCAATGGAACCAAACATTTTTCCAAGTCATTTTAGGTCATTTTTTTTAGTCCATTCATCATGAAATTTACACACAATGTAAAGGGCAAAAGGAATTTTTAGATTATGTCAAAAACAGTATATATATATATATATATATATATATATATATATATACACACACACACACACAAGTCTATATGTAATGATTCATCCTGTGTGTATGACATATATGCGAATACTGATCCACTTCTTTGATCTATTCATCATAAAATGTACACTCGGGCCAACAGGCACTAGTTTTGTTCCAACAGCATGTATACACACTCACACACACACTCACATATCACTGCTGTTGGAACAAAACTGTGACCTCCATTTCTGTCAGTTCTCAGTTTTTTACGTAAGCTGAAGATGCGTGTTGGCCTGAGTGTAAATTTTATGATGAATGGATCAAAGAAGTGGATCAGTACTTGCATATATGTAATACACACAGGATGAATCATTACATATAGACTTGTGTGTGTGTGTGTGTGTGTGTGTGTGTGTGTGTGTGTGTGTGTGTGTTTTTGTGTGTGTAATAATATAGTAAAGTTATATGTGACCTCAGATCCTGAGGTTATATTAAAGCAGGCGTGTATGTTTGTACAGGGGGGTGTTCTGGTTTGGGCGCCTGTTGCTCTGGAAACGTGGCCTGGGGGAGGAGGACGTGGACTGAACTCATTGATCTTATGTTAATGTTGAGGAGGGGGCTGGTTTTGAGTGGGTTTCAGGGCTGAATGAATAGAGACAGAGGGGTGGATGGGTGGATGGATGGATGGTGAACGTGTGGAGTGGGCTCAGGCTCTCATAAGTGAAACGTGTTTGGTGACTCATCTCTCAGCCTCCGTAATGTCCACCGCCTTTGTCTACTCACTGAGGAAACGAATGCGTCTGGACTGGCTGGAGCTGCTCTGTCTGTCAATAATGATTACTCTGACAGCAGCTGTTTGAATTTTCATGGCTTCTGTGCACATTTGACCAAATATAAATGTCACTGTCGTAAGAACGTGTTTGGATACAAAACTTTATAGGAGAAGTGAGAAAAAAATCATCTTTACTCTTAAATAAGGATGTCCTGATCAATTAGACCTCTGATCAAGTAATCAACTGATTATTTTGTCAATCAAGTAATTAGGGTGCTTCAGTGAACAGTGACGAAGCATGCACAGCCTTTGGAAGATTTCAGTATACTTTCCTGGAAAAGATGAACAAGAACCCAGTAAAACCTTAAAATAACTAAAAATAAATTCTTTTTTTTGCCAACTAATCATTTCTGATTAATTGAAAAATTGTAATCAATGTGTTTACATGCACTTAACAATCCGATAACTGCAGAAAATCAAATTTTATCAGTAATCTGATCAACATGTTTACATGCACTTGAGAAATCAGATAATTGGGAAACTCTGGGTTTATATGAGTCAGACAGTAATCAGATTTCTGCTTCACAACCATCCATTAAACTCACAGAAGAAGACGTGACGTAAACATAATGTAAAACTCAAACTTCATACCACAATTTTTTTTAAAACATCGCACCACTTTACCTGAAAGTATGAACATACATCATCTAGAAGATGAAGAATATTTAGATCCTTCATTTCATCAAGCATGTAGTCGGTTTCTGCGTCACCCCAAAAGTGTTTTGTTGTGTCTCGCGGTGACGCTGCTCGCTTATTTCTGGTACTGCGGTCTGTTTTCGCTCATGCTCAGACTGAGAAATCTGAAAGAAATCAGAGTAAGAGTTTACATACACTGAGAAATCTGATCACTGAGCTAAAATCCAGCCTCTTTATCAGATTTCTAGACCTTACTCCGATCTACAAAAATCAGTGTGCTGTTTACATGACCATTTGAATAATCAGATAACTGCAGAAATCAGATTATTGAGTGTGTATACATGCATTTGTCCGATTATACAAATGGTCATGTAAACACCATAGTGCGATCTAGTAATCTGATTAACAAATCTGATAAAGAGAGCTGGGTTTTAGCTCAGTAATCAGATTTCTCAGTGCATGTAAACTCTTACTCTGATTTCTTTCGGATTTCTCAGTCTGTGAATGCGCGAGATCAGACTTTTTGGCTTTTGGAGCGACACTGGAACCAAACACATGCTTGACAAAATGATGGATTTAAATATTCTTCATCTTCTAGATGATGTATGTTCATATTTTCAGTTAAAGTGGCGATGTTTTAAAAAAAAAGTCTGCAGCATTAAGTTTGTTTTACATTACGTTTACATCACGTCTTCTTCTGTGAGTTTATTGGCTGGTTGTAAAGCAGAAATCTGATTACTGTCTGACTCATGTAGACCCGGAGTTTCCCCATTGTCTGATTACTCAAGTGCATGTAAACATGTTGATCAGATTACTGACAAAATCTGATCTTCTGCAGTTATCGGATTATTGAGTGCATGTAAACACACTGTTAAAAAAATCAAGTAACGATATATAATTAAATGAATAGTTTCTGTAATATCGGTGGATGTTCTCCTGGAAAGACTCGGGCGGTTTAACCTGTAATCCATCCTTACACACCCTTTGACCCTTTATTCTGCATCTCCTCTGCAGAAGTGGACAGAGAGAGCGAAAGGTGGGTCGGGAGAGGTAGCGGACCTGAAGAAGAGAAAGCGGGAGGAGGAGGAGGAGAATAAAGAGATGGATGGAGAGATGGAGGTGGATGAGAACAGCGCTAAGAAGAAAAAGCCACTGAACACTTCCGCTAAGCTCTCCGCCTTCGCCTTCAACAAGGACTAAGACCTGAGGCTAACGTTGTAATGTTATTGTTTGTTTTTGTAAGTTGTTGTTTTTAATACTTGGAAAATCCTTCAGATGTTTATTCTGTGTGTTTCTAACCTTTGCAGAGGGTGAGCAGTAACAGTAGAGGCAGGTGGAAGCTGAAGCTGTGTTGAGTGTCTTGTCAGATCAATCCGGAGTGAAACAAAGTCTCTTTAGAAAAAGAAACCAGCGTTTTCTACAGCTGAGAATGATGTTCTTTCCCTTAGACCTTCAAATCTGAGGAGTAAAGCACGTTTTTTTCTTTTCATGTCTTGTTCTTGGATGTTTGTACATATTTGTTGTGATCTGTTCAACTCTGTACTGTATGTAAAGCAAAAAAGCGAATAAAATATTGTCTTTTATAAATGTAGTATTGACAGCACGTTTGTACCGGTGTAAAAGGAGATACCACATCTGTTGACTCAGAATGTACATCAGATAGTCAAATGACATGTTTTGTTGATATTCAAAGTTAAAAAGTTCTTTAAAAAGTTAATAAGTCAACACATCCTCTACGGAGACCACACTTAAATATGGCAATTTCCAGCAGATTTTAGAACTTAATATATTGGGAAAAAAACTAAAACATGAAATAATAAATGACCCTGCTGGGGGAAGAAAACAGAAAAGTACAAACCAGCAGAAACATTAAATGTAAAGTCTTGGCTTGATGGGTTGATGTCGCAATGTAAAAGAAAGGGTTTTCTGAAAGGATCTAAAGGTGTTCTAAAGGAAACTTGTGGTCTCTGATGGTCCATTTAGCCATTTCTCATTAGGAAGCAAAACCACCCCCCGCCAAAAAATTTTAAATTCAAGCCAATTAAAAAAAAGTGCATTAAAGTGCATAAAACGTGTCTCTGTGGAGGACGTGTTCACTTATTTACACTTATAAAATAAGACACAGCATGGTATTTGACACGAGTGCCCACACTTTTGCATATGACTACTCAAATTCTAGGTTGCTGGTTCCCGAAGTCAGTCTTAAGTAGGACTGGCTATCTTGATTTTTTGAATGTTGATACCGATAATGATATATTTTTATTTTGATATCGATTCCTGAGCAATACTTTTTCCAACATCTTTTAAATCACACACTGTAACACACTAATTGAAAAGTGCTGACATTAATAATGTGTATACGGAGCGTTCTTTATACAGTTAATCTGCAGTCAGTTAACCTGTGCTGTGATTGGCTACTAGTTTCCCTCCTGCACTAGAACTGATTCATACTTAAGGTCTCCTTATTGGTTACTCTCAGCTTTTACTTTGGAACTTTAGCATTTGTTTTAGTGCAGTGGCACCAATCACAGCACAGGAGGGCTTGTCTGAATACAGGTGGGGAAAAAAAAAGGTTTCCTCACTCAAGTTTAGCAATCTGAAGGACCTGTTGGGTCAGTTCAGGCAAGCTTCATTTGGCAGACGAGTTGGGCTGCTGACCCATGGTTTACTGACCTTTAGGGACAACCAGGAAAGCAGATGTTCATTATATTCCACTAACACCCTTAACAGAAGGTGGTTCTTCATTTCGTCAAGCATGTATTTGGTTTCAGCGTCGGTCCAAAAGTGTTTTGCTGCGTCTCGCGGTGACGCTGCTCGCTTATTTCTGGTACCGCCGTCTGTTTTCACACATGCGCAGACTGAGAAATCTGATTACTCAGCTAGAATCCAGCCTCTTTATCGGATTTCTTAATCAGATTTCTAGGTCGGAGTGTGGTGTTCACATGACCATTTGAAAACTGCAGAGATCCGATTATGATCAGATTATTGAGTGCGTGTAAACATACTCATTGTTGAAATTGAATCTTATTAAATATTTAGCATATATCTTAACAAAAATGCTACTCAAACCAATCTGTGAACTGTGGGTGGGGCTTAATATTCTAATGAGAATGTGTGATTAACAGCCCTCAGTCCAGCACTTTCAGCCTACTACCCCACTACTGCAGAATTAAACCCAAAAATGTGACTTAATCAAGCAGAACTGAGTGAAGCAGATATTTAGATACTCTAAAAACACTGGGCCTCATTTCCTGACATTCACCAATGTTTATGTGGGATTTATTCTTAGGTAAAAACAGAATCTACACACACTCAAGAGCACAAAGGTGAGAACAGTTCTGCGCTTTGAGAACACTGACGTGGCAAACCGAAGGACAAATGGACGAACAGACTGGCGACAGGCAGAGGAGCTACCTTGACAGCTCAGTTGTGTTTGCTGGGTTAGCTTTCGCTTGGTGGTTAGCTTTCTTTGCGAGTTTGTACGACTCAGAACTCTTAGAGAACAAAGTTTTGTTAGAACAATGAGGGTGGGGCAAGCCGCATCAGCTTTGTGATTGGTGGGGACACTGCTTACGTAAGTGCTACCCAAGATTAGGACCGCCTAACCAAAAGAGGAGAATTGTGGTGAAATATATCAGCCATTTGGTGGAAAGTGCAAAGTTATTGTGTGAACACAAAAGCAAGATTAATTTACTTTGAAAGGAAACATGGATTTAGGTTCTCGTATCGGCAGAGAACAAGGCTTTGGTGTTATTATATATGTAATTGACATGGATATAGAAAACACCTTTTGTTCACACTTCTGAGTGAGTGCACCTCTGAATGTGGTTTGAGGGATCTGATCACAATGAGTCCAGCTTGTGTTTACACACGTTTTTTATGTGGTCAAGTGAGATCCGATCAAATAATGCATCTCAATTTACACGTAAAGAGCCTCTAGTTCCATCCAGCCTCTGCAGAAACTCTTCAGAAGTCTTTGATTGGCTGGATCGGGTGTGTTTGTGGTAGGTAAGAGAAGGCAGCCTGCAGGTTGATGTTGGAAGAAAACTCTCTAGGAAAGTAATAGGGTTGTAATAAGACGGTGTATTATATCATATTGTTGTCTCATGTTTAGCATGGTAGCTTGGGGCTCGAGCTTCAGTTTGAGACCCTATTAAGCACAGCGTTAGTTTCAGACATTGGGCCTCATTCACCATTTCTTAAAATCCACTCACACAGTATTCAAGGTTCTGACATTCAACAGTGTTTTCTTTTTTGAGATTTGTTCTTAGGTAAGAACAGAATCTACACTCACTCAAGAGCACAAAGGTGAGAACAGTTCCGCGCTTTAAGAACAAGACATGAATCTGACGCAGACTTTTTCTTAAATTTCTCAAGAACGCGTTTAAGAACAAACTTAGGAAGGTATTGGTGTTCTTAATTCGTTTTTTGGGGGGTTCAATTTCGTTCTGTTGTGCTGGTTCAGCTCCTGGACTGCTGTGCTGTTGCTCAACTCTCTAACTTTGGAGCTCGAGGGTTTATTTTAGACCTAAAGGATCCAAAATGAGAAAAACGGATCTTAAACTTCAGTGTCTGCTGACACATACTGGATGTACTAAGATGATCCGTTCTGGTTCTGCAGGGTTATCATGCATTCATTTTTCTTTTCTTTTATTTCTTTTTTGCTGGGCTACATTTTCTTTTTCTCGTGTCGTTACAGTGACTCAACGACCCTCTTCTGAGAGGTGTAAGTCATTGTAGTCTGTCTAATATTTTCACGTAATATTTCCAGTCTTTCTAAAAATGCAGATGAAATTGTCATTCTTCATAACTCTCTATACCAAAGGCTGTATATCGCCACTGTCCAAAGAAAAACAAGTATCTGCACAATAGTAACTTTACAGGAGGGCAAAAAAGTTCTTTATTTTTAATGTAAGTTAATGTAGAGATATTTTATTCCAAGTAATTTTAGAGCCTCGCTATTGATCCATTATCACGATCCATTGCCACTGTGTTCAAATGATATAGAGAGCGAAAAATCTTCTGGTTCTGGGCCTTTGCATGACTAAAGGGTTCTTTTCATCTTTAAAGGGTTCTTCAGATTGATGGAGAATGTGTTTTATATGTTTCTAAATAGATCTGGTTTGAAAAGGGTTCTGTATAGCACCAAAATGGGTTCAGCCTTGACATTGTACACAATAGAAGAACCCTTTTCAAAAAGGTTCTATACAGAACCATGAACACTAAAAGAACCCTTTGCGTGGTTAAAGCATTTTTTTTTTTTTTGCATCTTTTAATTGTTCTTCAGATTGATAGAGATTGTGTTTTGTATGGTTCTACATAGAACCATGAACACTTAAGGAACCCTTTGCATGGTTAAAGGTTTTTTGCATCTTTAAAGGGTTCTTCAAATTGATAGAGAATGTGTTTTGTATGGTTCTACATAGAACCTGTTTGCAAAGCGTTCTGCTATTTTTACAAGCTTGACATTGTACACAATAGAAGAACCCTTTCAAAAAGGTTCTACATAGAACCATGAACACTTAAGGAACCCTTTGCATGGTTAAAGGTTTTTTGCATCTTTATAGGGTTCTTCAGATTGTGTTTTATTTTGTTTTATATAGAACCGTTGTCTCTACTAAAGAACCCTCTTTTTTAAGAGGGTACCGCAAACGGGCTGTTAGTGAGGGAGAACTATTAGCCAATCCGAGCGCAGGAGGAGGGACACGGTCAGCCAATCCTATTCGAGTCTAGCGCAAGGGGGCCTGGCTTTCCGGAATACGGGTGGGGAAACTATCAAAACCAAAACCATCATCCTCTTACGAGCCCCACGTCCTCTCCTCCTGGCTGATGACGCGGCTGGCGTCACAGTGGCTCTCGACCAATGGCCGTTCAGGAATTAGGCGAATGTTTATAAAGCCCAACGTGCTCTCGGCGACCGAGCGGAGTTTCTGTCTTCTCTGGAAGACGGAGGAGGAGAGGAAAAGGGAAGAAAGCCACCGCTTCTCTGTCAGAGCAGACCATTATCTTTATTTCTCTCTCTCTGTCCATCTCTCTCTCTCTCTCTCTCACCTCTGGAAATGGAGCGCTCCAAAGTGAAGCAGAGCGAGAAGGAGGCGCCGGTGGGCAGCGACGCGTCTCTGAACGGACACTGTGAAGGAGGGAGGGCGAAGGTGGCCAAGTGGAAGGATGCAACTGGTGAAGCCTGTAGCAGCAGCAAGCAGACCTCTTCGGTCATGGAGAGCTGGAAGGAGGAGCGCACTCGGAGCGTGGAGGACAACGAGATGAGCCTGCCCAGCATAGCTGCTGCCTACACCACCATCCTCAGGGGGCTGGGAGAAGACCCCCAGAGACAGGGCTTGCTGAAAACTCCTTGGAGAGCAGCTACAGCCATGCAGTTCTTCACCAAAGGCTACCAGGAGAAAATTATAGGTGGGTCTGAAACTTCAGGAGGTGGGTAGGAGCCTAGAAGCGTCCTCAGAAATCCTTCACCTGTCAGCACAGGAGGTGAAGAAGCTCTGTTTTTCTGTGTTTTTGGTCTGAAATAAAGTGCTGAAGCTCCAGAGTGAGAGGAGTGATCAACAGTAAAGCAGAGCAGGAGCTGAAGCAGCACAACAGAAGAGAATTAAAGCCCCTAAAAAGGATTTAGGAACTAAATGTTAATGATTAAAGTGGAACATTTGGAGTAGAAGTAAAAGTATGAATTAAAATACTCATCAAAACTGCTTAAAGGACAATTCAGCTAAAAAATCTGCATAATTCAGTGTTTGAGATGGTTTAATGTGAAGTGGTTCATTGTAGAGAGTCAGATCGCTTCCCAGTGGTGCTGATAGGAACCAGGAGTCACAGTGCTCTTCTAAGTTTGAATATATGATAAAATTTTGATAAATCTGAACAAAATATGTTGTTTTTTTATCTTAGAACATATTGCATGTTCCTCACTGTTATGAAGGTATTTTTTAGAAAAGAAAGTTTTAGGCCAAACTATTATAAAACACTGTCTCAGGCGTCTGAGTATCCACAGCATTTTGTCTAGTAACTTTCTGTGAGGGAGCTTTTAGAGGTGGACGTCTGGTTCCTATCACCACCACTGTGAACAGTTCTGACTCTAAGTTTCTCTAGAACAGAGCGTTTCACACCAAACCACTCTGAGCGACTCTGTTTACATCTCACCTATTAAATGATGTAGAATTTTTGAAAAATTGGTGGAATTCCCCTTCTGAGGAAACATTCATGTCTGCTCAGAAGCTGCTGGAATCTGTAAGGAAACTGTTTTACATGCAGTCGAGCTGTGCAGCTTTCCAGGAAAGACACACGTTTGATATAAAAAGGAATAAAGGAAAGTGACTCGAGCCACCTACTTTCATTTCTTTTTCTTTTTTTCCCCCCTTTCTTTTTCCGGGTGGTTTGTCATGCCCTGAACACTGTCATTGCACCATTTTGGCGATTACTGTAATAGGTTTCTAATTTAAGGAAGGAAAAATCATATGATGTTCCTCATTCCATTTGCATGTACTCTTCCTTTTGTTTTTGTTCTTCATCATTTCCTTCACTGTTCCTGTTTGTTTGAGCCTTTCTTGTTAAGAGCTCTGCCTTCATCACTGTGATGACTGCACTTTAGGAAAATTATCCTTCCTTTATCCCTCCAGTGCACCACCACCACCATCATCATATAACCGGCCGTTAGACGGCTTGGCGTCCAGGACATTGCGTACGATTGTTCTGCAGGAGAAGGCCGTATGCAAGCTCCATTCCAGGCTGTGTTGTAAGTGGTTGAGGCAGGGTGCTGCCCTCTTTTCAGTTTTACCCCAGACTCCACTAAAACACCACATCTGGACCTGGTTTGAACAGGATCTGAAAGACTTTGCATATAAAAAAAGGAAAGAATGAGTGTCGAGTCATTGCCCTCGCTGACCTTTACCCCCGATGCTCAGATATGAACATACAGTACACATTATCACGATGACATAATAGTGAAAAAGGAATATTCTGAAGAAATCTCTTCTCTCGTGTGATTGGCTGGCATGTTCACCACCCCTTTACATTGTAGTGTGCTTTAGAGATATTAGCATATTTCCTGAATGCTCAGAATGCATCACTTCACTGTGTCCCATCTGTGTGGATGTGTTTTAGTGGTTTGGTGACTCAGGAGGTGAGTTGGTGCCCAGGAAGTACTTAATTTGTACAGAATTAATGATCTCAGACATTCTGTGTGAAGTATGTGAGGTCAAATTATTTAGAGGCACTAAATAACATCTGGATGACCACCCCCCCCCCATCCCCCCTGCACTGTTAGAAACGCTTTGAACCTGCAGTTAATGACAAATGGGATAATTTCTGCTTTTTCCCCCGACCTTTTCCTTTTGTGTGCAGAAAAACAGGGGAGAGACGACTCATCAGATTTCCTGCTTTCTTTGCTCTGGTCACTTTATGGCCGAGCTCATTATAACCAGCTCTAACATTTTTGAATCTGAAGCCCCATAATCGCCAAGACCCAGCTAATAACAGTAATGGCATACATTTTTTTTTTTTTGTTGAAATGCAGTTGAGGATCTGTAATATATATATATATATATATATATATATATATATATATATATATATATACACACACACACATATATACCAAATATATACCTTAAACTTTACAAACCTCCAAGTCTTAACTTTGTGTAAGTTTATGTACTGCCATTTTGGTCAATTCCTATTGGTTAAAAATAATAACAAAAATAGACATACAAGATTTTGGCAAAATATATTAAATATATAATAAATAAGTGTAATATTCCTTTTTTTTGAGGTTTGAAAAAAGAAAGCGCCCACAGTGCCACATAAAAAATGGCCAAATTTCTCTCACTTTGTGACAAAGTGCCCAGTTGGTCACTGTTTTTTAAGTACTGGAGTTAAACATTATTAAGTGGTCTATTTTAGGGCTTCAGGGTCCAAAATGATTGACTGAATGGTTGTATGACAAAAAGTATATGAACACTTGGTCATCACACCTATATAACTTGTTGGATGTCCCATTCTAAAACCATGGGCATTATTATGGAGCTGCCCCCCCCTTTGCGCCTGTAACAGCCTCCACTCTTCTGGGAAGCTTTCTACAAGATTTTAGACTGTGTCTGGAAATTTGTGCCCATTCAGTCAAAAGAGCACTTTGTGAGGTCAAAAACTGATGTTGGACGAGAGGCTCTGGCTCACAATCTCTGTTCAGGTCACTGGAGTTCCTCCACACCAAACTGGTCACTCCATGTCTTTATGGAGCTGCTTTGTGTACAGGGGCTCAGTCATGCTGGAACAGGAAAGGCTCTTCCCCAAACTGCTGACACAAAGCAGGAAGCAGATAATTGTGTAAAACATCTTTGTGTGTTATAGCATTGACATCACTCCTCACTGGAACTGAGGGGCCCAAACCCTGAAAAACAGTCCCCAGCCCATCATCCCTCCTCCACCAAACTCTACTGTTGGCACTGTGCGTTCCGGTAGGTAACGTTCTCCTGGTTTCAGATTCTCCAGATTCATCTGTCAGACTGCCAGATCAGTGAAGCTGATTCATCACTCCAGAGAACACGTTTCCACTGATCCAGAGTCCAGTGGCGGCGCTTAACACCCCTCCAGCCGACGCTTGGCATTGCACATAGTGATCTTAGGCTTGTGTGCAGCTGCTCAGCCATGGAAACCCATTTCGTGAAGCTCTCGACACACAGTTCTTGTGCTGATGTTGCTTCAAGAGGCCACTTGGGACTCTGTAGTGAGTTATGCAACAGAGGATAGCTGACTTTCACACGCTGTGCTCTTCAGCACTCAGTGGCTTCACTCTGTGAGTTTGAGTGGTCTGCCGCTTCGTGGCTGAGCTGTTGTTGCCCCTAGACGCTTCCATTTCACAATAATAGCACTTACAGTTGACAGGGGCAGATCTAGCGGGGTGGAAATTTCATGAACTGATTTGTGGCAATGTTCATATCTTATGACAGGGCCACAGTAAAGTCACTGAGCTCTTCGGTACGACCCATTCGGCTGCCAGTGTTTGTGCATGGAGACTGCGTGGCTATGTGCTTGATTTTATACACCTGTCAGCAGTGGGTGTGGCCTGAACTCAGTAATTGGGAGGAGTGTTCCCATACTTTTTAGCCATATAGATAGATAATAAAAGTCCTGTTTTATTCTATCAGCTCCTAAACAGTCACATTTTGGAAAAAAATATTATTATTATTATTATTATTATTATTACTATCCCTGCTCCACCAAACTTTACTCTTGGCACTATGCAATCAGGTAGGTAGTGTTCTCCTGGCATTCACCAAACCCAGATTTATGCATTTATTATCTAAGCTAATTAATTAAATAATTTAGTTAAAAACTCTAATTATATACTAGTTTGTGTTAGACTGTATAGGCACACTCCATTATATGCATATTAGACAATGTCCTCTGTTATCAATATTAGTAACACTTTACTAAAACCCTGCTGAATAACACTGACATAACCATGCCATAAACATGTCATGGCACATGTTATGTGCGGTCATGACTGGTTTTGTCCAGTAGTATATAGAGATGTGCAGTATATGCACAATGAAATGTGGACTATCTGAAAGCTACCACCTCAAACGGCTAATCGAGTACTCGAGTACCTGTTCACACCGCTAGTAGCATAATAGTGTCATGTCACAGTAAAGTAAAGTTATTGTAAAGACAGATGACCCTGCGGCTCATTTGCTCAAGGCCTGCTGAGGACAGATGGATGCCGTGTTGTTTTGTGTTTGAGGGGGCAGAGGGCTCACTCGTTGACATCCCCACAATTTGAAGGGTTTCCATGGCGACCCGCATGCGTTTGCTGTGGTGTGTAAGGCGGTTTAGTGCGTGTAATTGAGTGTGTGCCCTGTTTGTGGTGAGAGATGACTTCAGGGAGAAGCTGATTTGATTTCCTGTTCTTTCTGTTGGTAGCTGTGTGCGTGTAGCAGGACCTGCATGGTGACAGCGCTCCCTCCGAACAGCTGCTGCCCTCAGGTCGAGTTCAGCTGAGGCTCCATTGAACTCTTACATTTAACTGGAACTGCTCTTACACAGCATGTGCAGTAATAAAACAATAGTCCACCCTTCATTTGTTTCAGTTCCACTAAAACGGCAGTAAACATATGCTTAACAAAACATTACACAGAGGCCTCGACAGCTAAATATCATAGTTTTTTTTAGTGAGTCACTCTGTACCTTCATTCCAGCTTCCATTCTTTCCAGGAGACTCACTTTCAGTTCCTCAAAGAATCTGCAGACACACCTCCAAAGTTCAGTCTTAGAAGCTGGTTGATCATTTTCTGAAGTAATCAAACCCATTCAGTGGTGTTGAGGTCTGGACTCTGGGGTGGTCGGTCCATCGTTCAGCTTCTTTGTTTGATGTGTCCGTCTCCTTTTCTCAGTGAGGTTCTCCTTGATCAGCTACACATCCTTTCAGACCCACAGCGCTGAGTCGTCTTCTCACAGTGGAAGGATGGACAGAAACACCTGTGGATGTTTTCAGATCTGAAGCAGCTTGATTTTCTCCTCTCTCTCAGAGATGAAAGCTTTAAGTGCTGTTTATCTGATGGGGGCAGTTTTGGTGTCTAACAGGTCTTCCAGGTGGTTGTTAGGAGGCACATTTTCTCTGTAGCTTTTTATATATTTTTTTGATATTATATATCTTTTGATTTGTATATATATATATATTTTTATATTTTTGAATTCCTGTTTTTTCACTTTCATTCATTTGACATTCTCCTTCATTATGCAAGTGGATTATTAATCTCCTGAAAAACAAATAACCTATATTCTGTCCCTTATGTAATATATAACATATGTGTGCTTGTGTGTGTAAGAAGTTTGTAAACCTAACCCCAAACCTAAACCTTAACCTATATTTATATTCCTATATTTCTTCTATTGAAAAAAATCACCTTGAATTGAAATACTTTGAATATGTTCTGATCCATATTTGTAGCTTTTATATGTATTTTAACTACCTGATAAACTGTTTTAGTACATCTCCTCTTTGCTTTATGAGGGTTGTGGTCACACCTTCTTATCAGGTCGTGTTGGTTTAATATTAAGGTTTGTTTTCTGGTCTTTATTGGATGCACTTGATGCCGTATTGATCACAGCGGCGATAATGGGCCTCCAAATCGATATGTTTGTGGCGTCCTCAGCGGTGCCCACAAATGACACCCGCAGACACCGAAACCCTCGAGCAACAAGTCGCACACTCCGCCCGCCGTGTTTCCACGGAAACTTTCCTCGGTCGAGAGATAGGGAGCCAGGAAATTAAAAAGCCGGAGAGAGAAAAGAGGAGCGTCTTGTCACAGACTAGATAAAGCGGGATATATTTGAACAGTGATATGAAGTCAGAGGAAGCAACAGCAGCAGAGTATTGGCCCGTATGTAATTACTTTCCTTTTTTCCCCAGTCAGAGTGTTTCAATACCAGAATTCAGACTTTTACACCGATACCATGCAGTGACATTAATCAACTGTAAAATGATGCTATGGCAAAAATTAAAACTCTTGTCATTGTCTAAACATTTAGTATCTATTGAATAATAGAACCTAATAAATATACTACACTCTCAGAAACAAAGGGTCTGAAACCGTCACTGGGGCTGTGCCCCTCTTGTCACTGGGGTGGTTCCCTCAAGGGTCCATCTCAGTGCCTTTAGTCAGGGAACATAACTGAACCATAATCCACTGAAATGATATGTTCTAAGCTGTACTGACTCCACACACCCCGTCTCGTCTCCAGGCTTTTAGTTTACTGTTCTGTTTAAAACATTCGGTTATGAAAAGGTACAAATACGAACTTTTCACCTGGAAAAACTTATTTAAGGTTCACAATCAGACCTTAAAACCACTGTTGGAGCTTTGAGGGAACATTAACAAAGTCAAAGTTTATTTATAAAGCGCTTTTTACAACAGGTGTTGTCACAAAGCAGCTTTACAGAAAAAAATCCGGGTCTGAGCCCCCATGAGCGTCGCCAATGGCGACAGTGGCAAGGAAAATCTCCCTAAGAGCAGGAGGAAGAAACTGTGAGAGGAACCAAGACTCAGAAAGGGAACCCATCTTCCTCTGGTCAACACCGGATAGCAAACAGCATTAGTATAAAATATTAGACTACAAAATGGGGAAAAACAGCTGGAGCAATGGTTAATTAGATAGTTTGAGTGTATGCAGCAGCAGCAGCATCATCTATATAGAACCATGTACATTTACATAGTTTGTACCTTGATGAATGAGAAATGTACCTGCACAGAACCTTTATTTCTAACAGTGTGCTGCATCTCTGTCATACAGGTACAGTCACCACAGACTCTGCTGAAGCATCTGCCCATTGACTCCTATTATAAATGAACAGGTTTTCAGTTCTTTTCTAAGTATAGAGAAATTATTCACATCTATTATCTGTGATTAGCTTCCATGCAATACAGATCAGGTTAAAAATGTCTGGAGTGCTCCTTTAATCTCTTTTCGTCAGCACAAAAGAAGCTAAATAGTTTGAACACGGCTTCTTTTAAACTTGAAGGGAAGATGATCAGTGAGATGAGGAGAAAGAGGAAAGATTGACATTCAGCACTGGGGTCTAAACTGGGGTTACAGACCATTAAAAATGGATCATGCCTTATGTTAATTGCTCGTAGGAGTCTCGTCACCGGTGTGTTAGATATGCTAATGAGCGTCTCTGCCCATTGAGTCAAATTAGCATGTGCAGTGCAGTAGCATATAGGCAGAATATGACATAAGACAGTGTCGGTGTGTTATAAGTCTGTTTAAATAAGGAATTTAATCAATGAGTGTTAGTGCTGAATCGTTTTCCATGCTGCAGGCTGGGCTTGATTTGAGGGGGGATGCAAGGGTGCCCACCCCCCCCCAGTCAAAAGAAAAATCCAAGGGAGATGGAAAGGTTATGTTATGTGGTACCACATGAAATGTCTATTTGAGTCTAAACCCATTAACATTTGAGATTTATACTCCAAATTGCCTTCGATAGATCAGATTCTTATGAAACCAGCAAGTTTTGATCAGAGAAAAGCATGTATGCATTAAAGAAGTGATTATACACACTTTTCATCGGAAAACCAAGTCTAAACTGTAGATTATGAAGAGTTTGCTCTTTGTTCAGTACAGGGCTGATTTCATGGACACGGTTTAAGCTACACCCTTAAAAAAGATGGTTCTTCAGATTGGACAATGTGTTGTATATGGTTCTATATAGAACCTGAGAGGATGATGTCAAGCTTGTAACAACAGTAGACCCCTTTTTGGTGTTACTTTCAAAAAGGTTCTATATAGAACCGTATACAACACATTCTCCATCAATCTAAAGAACCAGTTGACCATTTAAGCAAGAAATAGGTATATACAGAATTCATGGTTCTAAGTAGAGTCATTGCCTTTACTAAAGAACCCTTGAAGAACCATCTTTTTTCAGCAGGTAGACCTGGACTGAATTACAGTGTTGGTGGTGTTTGACCATTAAAATCCTCTTTAGTCTCGGTTTAGGCTTAAACTGGCTCTGAGAACCTGTCCCATAAACACACTATATAGCGCTGCTCTAAAGGAGTGAAGAAGGTAACCCCCCGCCCCCCTCCCACCTCTTCAAACCCACCATTTTAAAAATGTTTACAGCACCACTGGCTGTTAGTGCTGATAGAGCTGTGAACTCTTCAGGAGAGAGAGGGGGGTTAGAGGTGTTTACCTTCTGTTTGTCTTTCCTAGCTGAGAGTTAAAGCTGTGTCTTTGCTGCTGTTCGTCTTTTCTCTCTGCAGATGTTCTGAACGATGCCATTTTTGACGAGGATCATGACGAGATGGTGATCGTGAAGGACATCGACATGTTCTCCATGTGTGAGCACCACCTAGTTCCCATCTTCGGCAGAGTAAGACTCCTTTTACCCAGTGTACTTTGCTTCTCTTGGCTGGATAGACAGATAAATGCATACGTATTTAAATTATGTGTTGGTAATTTGACCTCCTGCCTTCCAAAAACGGTTTCAATGAACAACACACTTTTTGTGTGAAAGGGCTCATGATCCTACGTATTTCTCGTCCCCGCCCCTTTTCTTTGCTAAGGTCCACTTATACAGACATATGTGAAATTGGCACGCCCCTGGTTAAATGTTGTGCACACATCCTCTATATAGTGCAGTTCTGCACGTTTTGTGTTTATTTGATGAATTTAGCATAGTGGGAAAATTAAACAAAATTAAAATTTGAATTAAAAAAAAAATTAACATGAGATTAGATCTGTGCAAAAGTTATATGTGTGTGTGTGTGTGTACATTTTATATATATATATATATATATATATATACACACACACACACACACACACGTATGTCGCTGTTGTCGGAGGAAAACCTTGCATCTCCAAAATGGTAACTTTACAGGAGAAGGAAAAAACCTACTTTACTTTTAATGTAAGTCAATGGAACCAGAATTTTTTCCATATCATATTAGGTCGTTTCTTTTAGTCCATTCATCATGAAAATTGCACCCAATGTAAAAGGGTAACAGGCATTTTCAAATTATGTCAAAAACTGAAAAAAGTCAAAAATGGAGATACAAGGTTTTCTTCTGACTACTGCAATATATATATATATATATATATATATATATATATATATATATATATATATATATAATATGCCCAGTTTGTTAAACTTAGCAAATAAACACAAACTAAAATGAGCAGAAAAATGCTATATTTGAGTGTGTTCTCTGTAGAGGATGTGCAAAACTCAAAAACAGACGAAAAATGAGCTCTGTTCTGATTGGCTGCCGTGTACTCTGCCTCATTCAACAAAACAGTCCTTATAGCTTCAGCGTGGGTGGGCGGGGCCAAACTGCTGTAAGCTACATAGGTGAATATGTGGATATGTGTAAATGTGTTGGGTTCTGTGACATCATAAACATTTCCTTCAAAATGAGCTGCTTAAAGTTTTGAAACTTTAACCATGTTTACATTAATCCATCACTCTTTTATTCAAGAAGAAGTGAGAGTGTTTGTGTTTTTCATGATATGGGCCCTTTAAACACATCTGTACTCAGATCTTTGTGTTAACGTGTTAAAACAAGCGTCTGTGTGTCTTTTTTTGAAAGTGTATACCTTTTTATATCTCTGTGAGGGACAAATGCTGATTATATGTCTCTAATTCAAGGAAAGTTACTTGTCAAACGTCGTCAGCGATGAAACAATTAAGTGTAATTAACTCTCCCTGAGCGGCGCTGACCGAGACACGGACGCGCTGCTTATCTGGCTCTTAATCCTCAGGTTTGACATTTCGTTCCTCCCTCCAGCTCACAGCGCAGCAGGTGCGCCATTTAAGACAAAAGAGCCGCTCTCAACGCCTTTCATGCTGCAAATGGCTGGTGATGATAGAACACACCATTGATCAGGAACACAGAGGGTGTTTGTTTTTTTTTTTCTGCTCGCAATTTAGTTTGTCAGATGCTGTCCGAGGGCGTCCGCTCTTCCTCCTCGCCGCCCGCTGACAGCTCGCTCGTCCTGTCCTTCTGTCGTCAGCAGCACGCCCCTTATCCCCTCTGTCATCTCTCCGCTTCCGCGACCACATAATGACTCACCAATTTCTCTCCCAGGAGGCCGTTTTTTCACCCCATTTACAATCATCACTCACGTCCATCGTTTGGTTTTATTGTTTGTTTTGTTGTTTGTTTATTTGGATGTTCTTTGTGTCTTTTTTGTTGTTTTTTTGTCTTTTTTTGTTTTTTTGTTTCCCCTTTCCAGTTTCAGTGATAACTCCCATCCTGCTTATTTGTTTGCTTATATGTTTGTTTGTTTGTTTATCTAATCACTATAGTTTTTTCCAAATTGTAAATTATCCATCTTTACTTCTTTTTTTTTGCTTGTTAGATTTTCTTTTTCTCTTGCTTGTTTTTTTTCTCTTTTTGTTTATTGATGTTAGCTTTCCCTCCATTTTCAATGTCAACGCACGTCCTTCTTTTTCATTCGTTCATTCATTCATTCATTCATTTTGCCCCCCCAATTTTGTTTGTTTTTTTTCTTGTTTTTTTGTTTCCCCCAGTTATCAGTAATAACTCCAATTCTTTATTTTGTATTTACTTTTTTATTTGTTTGTTTGTTTTCATTGTTTCCCTCCATTTTAAATGATCGCTTACATCCAACTTTTCTTCTTCTGCTTGTTGGATTTTCTTTTTCTCTTGCTTGTTTTTTTCTCTTTTTGTTTGTTGATGTTAGCTTGCCCCCCATTTTCAGTGCCAATGCCCATCCTTCTTTTTCATTCATTCATTCATTCATTCATTTGTTCCCCCCTTTTGTTTGTTTTTTTTTGTTTCCCCAGTTATCAGTAATAACTCCCATCCTTTTTTGTATATACTTTTTTATTTGTTTGTTTTTCATTTTTTCCCTCCATTTTAAATGATCACTTACATCCATTTTTTTTTTCTTCTTGTTTTTGTTTGTTGGTTTAATTTTTTGTGCTTATTTTATTTCCTTGGTCTCTTTTTTGTTCTTGTTTATGCCCCATTTTTAATTGATCACACCATCCATCCTTTTTGTGTTACTTATATATTTATTTATTTATTTATTTGTCTTTTTGATTGTTCCCCTTTTTTTCTACTTCTTTTTGTTTGTTTGTTTGTTTTTTCCCTGATCCTCAATGATCTGTCTCGTCCATCTCCAGCGTCCGCCGGTCTAATAGCCGCACAGAGCCTCTTAGCGTCCATCATCCGCTCTGAGCCAGTCAGGTGTGATCTCTCAGCTCCTCACGCTTCATATCACTCCATCACACTCTCACCGGCTGATGACGCCTAAAGAACAAACCCTGTTCCTCCAGTGTTTTAAAGAATATTGATGAAAAATTAGATTTACAGATTCTTCCTCTTACCTCAGATATACTCGATCAGCCACGACATGTTTGGTGTCTGTAGTTTGCTTCCATAGTTTAACACTATAGTGCGGCTAACTAGCAGGCCTGCTGGTAGCTAGATGTGCCAGGTTAATTAGCATGGTGCTAACTGCAGGCCTAAATCATCGCACACTCAGACAGTGTGTAGTTGTTCACGTGATTATGTGGTTTCTGACACTGTATGACTCACTGTTATCCATAAATAGAGACTAAAGTACAAACAAAACTGTGGCGTTTCATAGTTAACCATATTTCAACTTTATACAAATGAGTGCAGCCACTGCATTGAGCTCAGCCAATCAGATGAGAGTACACCAGACTTCATCGTGAACAACAAACATAACTTTCTCAGAGGCTTTGTCGCGTAGTGTTCTCGTCTGCGGAGTTCGCCCAGCTGCCATGTGCGACTCTGCGACTCTGCGTTTGTCCGTTTTCTTCGCAATTACGTCATATTGTCCGCTGAAGCCAGGCGAACGTCGTCTCCGCAAGAAATGCGCTGAGGCCTTCAGACACCAAACATGTCTTGGCCGATCTACCACATTTGAGGTAAGGGGGAAAATTGTGGGCATTTGATTTATCACCAAAATATTCCTTTAAAGTTGTGGAAACAATTTTGGTCGGCCTCCCTTTGCAGTTTACTATACTTTACAAGTGCATATTGTAGGACGTTGAGCAGGATTGGCAGGGCCTGGTGGGGGTCAGGAGAGATCACTGCCCATCCCTTCATGTGGCTTTATCACGTCCGAACAGAGAGAGAGAGAGAGAGAGAGAGGAGGAGGAGAAGAGGAATCTTTGCATGCGTACTGAAGCTGCCCTTTCTCTTGGTCGGCTTCATCAAATTGTTGCTGACATTTGAGTGCGGCGGCGGAGTGGAGCTCTGGCTCCGGGGGGTTTAGGGGCAGACGGATACTTATAAAGCACAAACTCACTCTCTCCATCTGTCTGTCCACTTTCTGTGTTTTTCTTCTTTCTGTCTGTCCAACCATGCTGATCTGAAATAGCTTAAAATCAAATCTACAGTTTTTCCCCCTTACCCTACGTGTAGTCGGTCAGCCGAGTCATATTAGGTGTCTAAAGTTTGCTTCATTAGTTCTAAGCTGAGGCTAAAGCTAATGGAAGCTAATACTGCACCAATTAGCAGGGTGCTAGCTGTGTACCTAACTCAGGCGTCGGCAGCATGTGGCTCCGGAGACGCATGCGGCTCCTTTGCTCCCCTGTTGTGGCTCCACAGCTGAATCAGATTAGTAGGTAAAAATAAAATAATCCTCCTTTACAGTAAAATAAAGCTCTGCTGATCGTTCAACACAGTTTAACAGTAAATGGTCTTAAACTCTGGCATTAATGTAGAACTGCTGATTTACCCTTTAACCCTGAAGGTTGGTGCGCAGACTGCAGTCTCAAACATCAATAATTTGGAGACGAATGGACTTATTTGCATTTATAATCACTCCAGCTGGTTTCCTGATACGTTTAATCTGCAACGAGAAACTGATAAACACTAAAAAGTTGCGAAGCTGAAGTCAGATTCTCGTTCGCCAGCTTCTTAACCAAATTTTCCCGTTCCATCTTAAATGGTGCAACAGTTACATTCTGGCACGTCAGGCTCCTTTTAGGTTGCATCAGGAAAATTTGAACAAGCAGCTGGTGAATGAGAAGCGACTTCAGCCTCGTAAAAAGTCAAACGTTGAGAGACATTTTACAAGAAACTGTTCCACTTTTGAGGAAAAGTTTCCTGCCGGAGATGCAAGAAAAGCAGCTAAAGCTGAGCTTAAAGCTTAAAGCTGAGCAAAGTAAGTCTGTGTTTTCATTTATATTATATTTTTAGCCTATACTAGTTCATCAGCACATACTGAGACATATTTACAGCCAAGATGGTAAAACAGACATAAAATGTTGTGGCTGCCAAAGTGGTTTGATTTTTGCTGAAAGGACAAAATGGCTCTTCTTAATATTTGGGTTGCGACGCCAGACCTAAACTCATCACACTCATCTCAAAGCGTGTGGAGTTGTTCAGCATCTCTAATAGACATTGTGTGGTTTCAGACACTGTATGATACTTTATTATCTATAAACATGGACAAAAATACATCAGCATAGCTAAAACAGTAGCAGCAGGCACTTTGATGTCTTTTGTCATACTTTAGTCCAGTTTATAGATAACAGTGAGTCATTCAGTGTCAGAAACCACTCAATCAAGTCTATTAGAGATACTGAACAGCTCCACATGGTTTGAGGTGAATGTGTGATGATTTAGATTAGCACCGTGCTAATTGGTGATGCTAACATGCGCTTCCGTTAGCTACTTTAGTCTCGCAGCTTAATCACATAACTAAAGAAGCCAAATTCAGGCACCAGCACTTCCCTTATTCATCGGAATCGCCTAAAAGATTTAATCGACTTTAAAGACATTCAAACTGCTCTGCATCCGATTTCCGAAACTTTCGTACGACGTGGAAACGAGCGGAGATTTGAGCGCAAAAGATGAATCTGCTTCGAGGGATGAATGAGCTTTAGTGTGTGAAATCAAGCACCAGCCGACAAGCGCCTCATTTGCATATCATTTACATAAGGCACGCCCTAATCCATGCAGATATTGTAGTAGGGAGCAAATAAAATGACACTGTTCAGCACCTCGTGAGCCAACGACTGAGCTCGTAGGTGGAGTTTGAGGTGGAGCAGTGAGTGTAGTGCTCCCCCTACTGACCAAACTTTATAGTGTTAAAATTACGATGACTGAAGAGAATAAAATGTGAAATAAACAAAATGATGTAGTGTTTTAAAGGCAGAAGAATGTTGTGATTGTGTAGTGTGATGTACACTCTCAGAAATAAAGGTACTAAACTGTCACTGGGGCAGTCCCCCTCTTGTCACCGGGGTGGGACCCTCAAAGGGAACATCTCAGTACCTTTAGTCAGGGAACATAACTGAACCATAATCCACTGAAATGATATGTTCTAAGCTGTACTGACTCCACACACCCCGTCTCGTCTCCAGGACTTTATTTTACTGTTCTGTTTTAAAACATTCGGTTATGAAAAGGTACAAATACAAACTTTTCACCTGGAAAAACTTATTTAAGGTTCACAATCAGACCTTAAAACCACTGTTGAACCTTTGAGGTAACATTTACACTGTTTGTACCTTGATGAAAAATGTACCTGAACAGAACCTTTATTTCTAACAGTGTATAATCACATATTTGAACACTGCATTAGTGCACTGTATGAGATGCATCTGCTCTAGCTGTGCTTTTTATTATTTATTCTGTGGATGGAGACAGAATTATAAAAGAAAGGCACAGTGTAATTAATATGTTTTTGAATAGAATGTGGCATAATTGTTTATTGATGTGCATGTAAAATAAGTACATCCACTTTTGGACTAGAGTGCACAGATTATTAGTATAGTTATGTCCTATTTTTATTTTTATTATATGGGTTATAGATGATATTGATAGTATTTTTGGGTAGTTAACAAATTAAGCATTTTTTAGGTTGTTAAACTATTATGCTCAAATTTACACACTCCTAAAAGACGTTTGAAAGAGTTTGATTGTCCAGACATGCCAAAGATGAAACTAATGAATAAAACTCTGAAATTCATGCACTCATTAAATCTGCGTGTTCACCTGCAGTCTGATCCGATTTCTGTTTAGGCTTTTAAGTCTGGAATGAAGTGAAAACAATGTGGCAGAATTATTGGCTAGAGTTTATAGGGACCCTCTATTGGAATAGATTTCTTGTATCCCAGCCCTGTTTTGCCGTTTACCTCCAAAACTGCGACAAAACTGGATATTTTATATGGGGGAACTGTATGGGTTGACCCCTGTGTGATTCAGTCCAGTTTCACTTCAGTCACGTCACTAAAGTTGGCAAGGCTGCTTAAGTATTCGTGGGCTGGAGGTTAGGGAACCAGCCTTGCGACCGGAAGGACGCAGGATCCCCTGAACCGACAGTACGTGGTTGAAGTGCCCTTGAGCAAGACACCTAACCCCCAACTGCTCCCTGGGCGCCGTGGATAGGGCTGCCCACCGCTTACTGCCCCCTAGTGTGTGCGTTCACTAGTGTGTATGTGGTATTTCACTGCACAGATGGGTTAAATACGGAGGTGAAATTTCCTCATTATGGGACTAAAAAGGGTCACTTAAAAGTACTTAAAAAGTCCATTTATGACAGAAATGGACTACATAACCTGATGGACGTGCTATGCTATGCCTTGTTTTTTTGCATGCTATGCCAGTTTTGGTCACATGAATGCTTTTTCTCCCTACTGTCCGTTTAATTATCTAATCAATAAGCCTTGTGTTTCATCCACTTAGGTCCATATAGGCTATCTCCCAAACAAGAGGGTGCTTGGTCTCAGCAAACTGGCCAGGTGAGTTAGCACAATACGTCATCAGGACACACACAGGTATTGCTAACTTTGTACAGTGCTGTTAGCTGTAACATTTCTCTGGTCTTAACATTCAGGCAAAATCATGTGTTCTTTTTCAAATAGAGATTATTCCACTAAATAAGTTTGAAGTCAGAGCTGAAAACACATTTCAGACTTTTAATTGATTTGATCTTTAGAATAAAATTCTTTTGCTTTAAGTGACCCTGTACCTTAATTATGATTATTTTATTAAAATAAATGATAGAATATTCCATTTCGTCACTACTAAAACAATCATAACGCTACCCAGACTTAACCAAATGTTTCAGTAGTGACACTTTTAGCTCATTTTGAGCTCAAAAACGCAGCCAGTACATGACTAACAAACACAGCTTTGAACAGCTGTTCACACATAAAATCATCATATTTTCATTAAAACAATTTAGTGAAACTGTGTTACGGTAGTGACAATTCTTAATGTTCCATGTTTTCCACTGATTTTCACACTTTGGGACACATTTACCTCAAAACAATGGGATCTAACTGCTCACCATGTGGCCATGAGGGACAGGGATGCAGCCTCACTTCCTGCTCTAAAATACAGGGGTGTGGCTAAAATACATACAAAAACTTTTGGTAGTGGCATTAAAACATAAGCTGAACTCAACTTTACTTCAAAAGAAATGAAAAACATAAAAAAAAAAATGCAACAAAAATCCAAGTATTATTTTCATAAGTGTAATTTAGGGGTTAGGGTTTGGGACAGACTGCTCCCAGTAGAGTATAAGTACCCTTGTACTGACCAAAATTTAAAACCAGTTTAGACGCTGTTTCAGTTGTTACATGCTTTCTTGTTATACACACTGTGTTTGGCTGTGAGTCATACCTGTGTTCAATAGTGGTGGGAGAGAGGTGAGCAGGCAGGCAAACAAAGGAGTAGGCAGGTAGGTATGTGGACAGTGCAGGTAGGTATGTAGACAGGCAGGAAAGTAGGCAAACAAAGGAGTAGGCAGGCAGGTATGCAGTGATTTTATCAAATTGTTTGAAAGTTCAAAATAACCAAAAAGGTGGGTTTCTAAAGTGCAGCTTCCAAATGTACGAAGTTTTCAAAATGACAAATGAAGAGGTTAAGCAGTAAGCTTTAAACAATAAGCATAAGCGGTAAAAACTGTTTGTTCCCAACATCTTCCATGTCTAAGCTATGAGGCTGTGTCTGTACCTAAGGAAGACGCCATCTTAACTGGTGGTGTGTCATGTGGCAAGTGTCAAAATAAGAGTGTCAAGTGAAAAGCCATTAAATCTAAATCAAAATAAACGTCTCTCAAGGAAAATAAATGTAAACTCAAATGTGGCTCCTACATCTCCGGCCCCTTATAGCAACCGCATGGAGCGTGCTATAACAAAAAAGTATCCATAACAAAGGGGCCAATTAAATTCCAATTGAAAATATTTTATTCTAATTCTAATTTTAAGGTCAAGTCAAGTATGCAAATATCAGTGTATATGTATGTGATGCAATGAATGCACATGCAAGAGCTTTATTTAGTCTCTTGGCTGCTAGCCTCTACTAAGAGACATATCTTGTTGACTGGCCTTTGTAGTTGGTTTGTCTTGGTCTGGAGTTGTACACTACGGACCAGACCTTTGGAATCATGGATGGCTTCAATGACTCTTGCCATTATCCATGAGCCTCGAGGTGCTACAGCATCAGCTACCAAAACAATGTCCCCTGGACAAAAATTATGCTTGACACGGGACCACTTTTGTCGTTCCTGTATGAGCGGAAGAAACTCTCGTATCCAGTGTGTCCAAAAAAGGTCAGCAATGTATTGTATTTGTCGCCATCATCTTCTGACATATAAATCCTGTTTTCCAAATAATCCTGGTGGTAATACAGGTTGGACCTTGAGCTGGAGTAAATGAGTGGGAGTTAGTGGTTCCAGGTCATTGGGATCACCTGAAACAGTTGTCAAAGGACGGCTGTTCAAAATAGATTCAACCTCACACATCACTGTGGTGAGACCCTCATCATCCAAAGTTTGCTGGTTTGTGACAGACAAGAAAATCTTTTTGACCATTCGGATCAGTCGTTCCCAAACACCTCCATGATAGGCACCAGCAGGAGGATTGAACGTCCACTTCACACCTTTCTGGAGGAGACTCCTTTCGATCTGTTTTACATTCCAAGACTCTATTGCTTCCCTTAACTCCCTTTCAGTAGAGATTAAATTAGTTCCATTGTCTGATTTTATTTCTTTTACTTGGCCTCTTCTGGAAATGAAATGCCTGAATGCATTCACACAGGAGTCTGTATCCAGAGAGTGTGCCACTTCCAGATGAACTGCCCTACTGGTGAGACAGGTGAAAATCACACCATATCGCTTTGCCATGCCACGCCCTCTTTTAACCTCTATAGGTCCAAAATAATCAACTCCTACATATGTAAAAGGGGGAAGGTCAGGAGTCAAACGGTTTACTGGCAGGTCAGCCATCTTTTGTTCACCTGCATGTGCATGATGCCGCCTGCAGGAAACACACTCATTCATGACCTTCCTTGCCAAAGAATTTGCGCAAGGGATCCAGTACTTCTTCCGTAGGGTTGACAGTATGTGGTTTCTTCCACCGTGTCCAACTTGCTGATGAATATGTCGAAGCACAAGCCTTGACACATGATGATCTTTGGGCAAAATGGCAGGATGTTTCTGCTCCTCTGGCATTGCCATCTTGCTTAGACGACCACCAACTCTTAGGATACCTTGGCTGAGTACTGGATCCAGCCTGAAGATAGAGCTCTTCCTGTCTACATTCTTTCCATTGCATAAGCGTGCCATTTCCTGTGGGAATCCTTGATGTTGGCAAAACTTCACAATGGCTACTTCTGCATCATCAATGTCCTAGACTGACAGTGACATAAAACCAAGCGTCCTCGGAAGCTTTAATGCTGTTGATGCAGTCGACATTTCCAACCTGTCCTTTTCCTTACAGCTCAGTATCTTCATAGCATCTTTCCTTTTTTGGGCAAGTTGTATCAGCAAGTTCTTGAATTTGAGCATCCATGCTACAGCATTCCTGAGTTTACCCCAATTTGAAAAGTAATTTAGGAATTTGCTGGTGGCATCACAATTGCTTGTGATAGTGGTGTTGACTATAACCATTTCTCTTCTCAACCCTGGGTCATCTGGGGAGATTGCAAGCTCACATGGAGAATTAGGCCAGTGTTGTGGTAAGTCTTTCAAGAATGTCGGTCCATTGATCCAGGCCTTGTTTTTCAGAAACATGTAGTCCACGGGTATCATAATCTGCTGGGTTCATCTTGCCAAGAATGTGTTACCACTGGAGGACATCTGATGCGCCCCTGATAATGTTGACACGGTATGCGACGAAGGTGTGAAAACGTCTACTTTCATTTCTGATGTACTTTAGAACAGTTGTACTGTCTGTCCAAAATACGGACTGTTCCAGCTGCAGCTGCTATTCAGTGAATAACATGCGGTCAATACGAACTGCCAAAACAGCAGCAGTAAGCTCAAGACGTGGGGTAGTCATCTACTTCAATGGTGCCACTCTAGATTTCCCCATAACAAAGGCCACATGTGCTTGATTACAGCTGTTAGTCAATCTTAAATATGTCACTGCACCTTATCCAGATTCACTTGCATCACAGAAGTGATGCAACTGTGCACCTTTGTTGTTTCCAAAGTTCTTTGGCTTGAAGCAGCGAGTAATATTGAAGTCTCCAAGACTCTGAAGTCCATTCAGCCACCGTTTCCATGCTTGAGAATATGTGTGTGGAATTTATTCATCCCAGCCAAGGTTAAGTCTACATAATTCTTGCAAAATATGCTTTGCTGGAAAGGTCAAGGGTGCAAGAAATCCAAGAGGGTCATATATAGAACTGACCATGGACAGAATTCCTCGCCTGGTGCATGGCTGATCTCGGAGAGACACATGGAATTTGAATACATCCTTTTCAGCACACCATCGCACACCAAGAGCTCGCTCCACTGGCAGGTCTTCAATGTCCAGGTCAAGATCCTTCACTTCCTTTGCCCTCTCAGCTTCAGGGATGGAAGCTAGAACTACTCGACTACTGGTCCACTTTGTCAAGTTGAAACCTCCAGCTGCACAAAGTGCTTTCAATTCCTGGTACAGATGAATGGCATGGTCTTCTGTGTCCACTGACTTCAGCAGGTCATCCACGTAAAAGTTGCTCAGAACAGTACTGACTGCCTCTGCTGAGAAACTGCTTTTATTGTCCTCAGCTGTTCTTCTCAGGGCATAACTAGCACAACTGGATGATGATGTGGCCCCAAACAGATGAACAACCATTCTGTGTTCCATGAGGGGTTGCATGATGTCCTCATCCTTCCACCACAAGAAACGAAGAAAATCAACATGCTTTGGTGGGATCTTGACTTGATGAAACATCTTCTCCACATCAGCCAAGATGACCACACTCTCAAGACAGAAGCGCACTAAGACTCCAGTCAAAGAGTTTGTAAGGTCTGGGCCTTGTATAAGCTCACTGTTGAGAGATGTTCCTTGATAGGATGCAGAACAATCAAACACTACCCGCAAAGTTCCTTTTTTGGGATGATAGACCCCATGGTGAGGTATGTACCACCCTTTCCCATTTTTCAATACAAGTTCTTCTTTAGGTACAAGCTCAGCATGTCCACACTTCAAAATAGTATCCATGAATACCCTGTATTCCTCTTGGAAAGTCTTGTTTTCCCTAAACTTTCTTTTTAGTGACACTGCTCTTTGCTCGGCCATCTGGCGGTTGTTTGGCATTTGAGGATCACTCCTCTTGAATGGCAAAATATACTTTGCTGGAAATGCTTTGCTGTGTTTGTCTGTGAGTCATACCTGTGTTCAATAGTGGTGGGAGAGAATTGAGCAGGCAGGCAAGCAGGCAGGCAAACAAAGGAGTAGGCAGGCAGGTATGTGGACAGGCAGGTATGTGGACAGTCAGGTAGGTATGTAGACAGGCAGGAAAGTAGGCAAACAAAGGAGTAGGCAGGCAGGTATGCAGTGATTTTATCAAATTGCTTGAAAGTTCAAAATAACCAAAAAGGTGGGTTTCTAAAGTGCAGCTTCCAAATGTACGAAGTTTTCAAAATGACAAATGAAGAGGTTAAGCAGTAAGCTTTAAACAGTAAGCATAAGCGGTAAAAAACTGTTTGTTCCCAACATCTTCCATGTCTAAGCTATGAGGCTGTGTCTGTACCTAAGGAAGACGCCATCTTAACTGGTGGTGTGTCGTGGTAAGTGTCAAAATAAGAGTCTCAAGTGAAAAGCCATTAAATCTAAATCAAAATAAACGTCTCTCAAGGAAAATAAATGTAAACTCAAATCTGGCTCCTGCATCCCTATAAATGATGATTTTGTATCTGTTTAGCTTATTACTCTCTCTATTAATGCCTTGGGTTTAAATGGATCAGAACATAATCTTTATAAACATTTAAGGTCTGAATACATCATTATTTTTTAAATGGAATCACTTCTATTAATAATTTGAAAACTAAAAACCAGACAGTTTTATTTATTTATAAGTAGATAAATGTATCTTAGATGTTTTATTGAGTATCACAAGTAAGGATGGGCAGCATTATAGTATTTTATTGTATTGTGGAAAATTGCATTATAAGTCAACAATATCGCTGCTGTCAGAAAAAAACCTATGCTGTGTCTGATCCACTCAGACCAGCGCAACACACACTAACACACCACCACCACGTCAGTGTTACTGCAGTGCTGAGATTGACCACCCAAATAGTAGCTGCTCTGTGAGGGTCCATGGGGGTCCTGACCACTGAAGAACAGGGTAAAAGGGGGCTAACAAAGTATGCAGAGAAACAGATGGACTACAGTCTGTAACTGTAGAACTACAAAGTGCACCTATATAGTAAGTGGAGCTGATAAAATGGACAATGAGCGTAGAAACAAGGACATAAGGTCATAATGTGTTATGCCTGATCGGTGTATAGCCACAGTTTGTTATTGATTCCAGGAGATGTCAGGGATGAGGAGGTACCACTAAGTACAAGACATAGGGCAAGACATTGTTGTTGAGACAGTGCAGGATGAGGAAGGATCAGGGCAGGAAAATGAGAAGAAATTCTCTTATTTGGTGAAGATGATCTTTATGCTAACCTGACAAAGACAAAAGATATCCAGTGGCATCGTACTCCTTATACTCCTGTGCTGTCTGCTAGGGAAGGTCCTATCACAAACATCACTGACGCATTAACTTAAACCCAGACCGTCCACTGCAATGGACATTTGAAAAAATAACAATAAAATATTAGATTTGATTTTCTGTTAGTCTTATTTTTGAGATCATTACAGACAGAAAACAGCATTATTATATATTTTTCCATCACTAAAACATAATTCAGGTCTGAAAGGGTTTGAAGAAGGTTAGAAGAAACAGTGATTCCAAGCTTAACAGTAGCGTATACAGTATAAATCTTACTGCTTTTTAAATATCTCAGTGCTTTAGCCTTCTTAACTCCTTGGAACCACCGGTGGTTCCAAAACGCACTTCGTCATGTTTTTTACTTCATAACTTTCATATTTCATAAGCTACATTCAAAAGGTGGGTGTCGTATGAGAGCTGTAACTAAGTCAAATAGATGGGTAATGTAATTTTTAAAACTTTATAATAAAAGAAGCTGAACACTCATTTTTTTGTCTACTGAAAGTCAGATGGCGTCTCTTCAGTAATCTGCTCTGTAAAAAATATTTTTATAAAAAAATACAAAGAGCGTCTCAGATTTTTGGCTTTCAGCAGTAAATTGTAAGTATATAGCAATATGTGTGATCATAAAACACATGTTCTATTAATCTGAGGGGAACTTTTACAAAAAAAGCTAAACAAAAATGTACATTTTTTTTATGCAGTAACTGAATAATTTGCCCTATGATTTGGGCATTTAAATTCAGATGGAAAAACTGAAATATACCTACGAGCGTAAGAGGTTAGAGTGTGGAGCAGTGCCCCACTGTAATTAACCCCCATTAATCACACTGCAATCACTAATGAAGCTGCTAAATCTCAGGCTGCCACTCCAGCACATATTCTCTTCTTTTTTAATCAGGATGCTCCCTTTGAGTGAGTGAGTAACAGTAAGAAGATTATGTGCGGTGTGTAAGTGACAAAGAAGAGACTGATCCTCTCTGACCTCAATACCCAGGATTACACTTTCTCTAACAGTGCACACACAGTACTGCACTATTCACAGTGCAGCCTACACTCTGCACGAGGGACACTACAGATTCACACTCAAACACTGCTGTACACATGTAGTCGTATGCAAAGGTTTGAACACCCCGGATCAACTGACATGCTTTGTAGATTTTTTAAGTGATAATAAGTTCACACATCCTCTACTGTAATGTGGCAGTTTTCTGCAAATTGTAATGCTAAATTTCCATTTATGTGCTGAATTTAATAGATTAGAAAACATGACATGTCCCATAACTTTTGCACAGATCACGTTTTCTGTTTTATTTTTTTTTTAAATATGTTAAATTTAGCAAGTCAACTGTAATTGTGAGTTCTCCGTGGAGGATGTGTTCACTTATTCTCACTTAGAAAATCAACAACATTGCAACATTGCATTCGACTGTACATACATACACTCATTAATATCCAGGCAAAGTGTCACATCAGTCCAGGTTATTTGTTTTTTGGCAGAAAATTGGAGAATAACAGAAATAGAGAACTAATATGTGTGTGTGTGTGTGTGTATATATATAGTATATATATATATATATATATATATATATATATATGTTGTTGGAAGAAAACCTCGTATCTCCATTTTTTACATTTTTTAGTTTTTGTTATGATTTGAAAGTACCTGATGCCCTTTACATTGTATTTAAATTTCATGACTAATGGACTAAAAGAAATGACCTAAAATGACTTATAAAAATGTCTGGTTCCATTGACTTACATTAAAAGTAAAATATGTTTTTTCCTTCTTCTGTAAAGTTACCATTTTGGAGATACAAGGTTTTCTTCAGACAGCAGCTATATATATATATTCTCCTCTCTCTCAAAGATGAAAGCTTTAAGTGCTGTTTATTTGATGAGGCAATTTTGGGCACTGATGTTGATCGAAGTCATTTTGCATCGTTTCTGTGGATGCATTCATCATGCAATATTCACATGATGTAAAGAGCAGCTGGCGATGTTATACGGTGGAATAATTTGTGTTACAAGCTTTTGATATGTCAGTCATGATATACACACACACACACACACACACACACACACACACACACACACACACATACATCACTTTTTCCGTAAACACAGCATTGTTTTAATAGCCGGCCCTGTGAACTCATTCCTCAAACAATTACACAGATGTTTTTATTAAAACGCCTGAAGTGTTTCTTCTTCTCTGATGTTGCCTTTGTTACAGGATTGTGGAGATCTACAGCAGGAGATTACAAGGTAAATCTTTCTCTTTTTTAAGCTGAGGTCAGACCAGGACAGAGCTGTCTTGTCCTCAGTCATGCTGGTCTGCTGTCACTCAGATGCTCTTTTGGTCAGATACTGCCCACAGATCTGCGCTGTTTCTGTATTTGATTTGGTTTGCTCTTAATTGTTTTCAGTCCAGGAGCGGCTGACCAAACAGATCGCCGTGGCCATCACTGAAGCTTTACAGCCTGCCGGAGTCGGAGTCGTCATTGAGGCAACGTATGAACTCTTTTTCTTAAACTGTTGATCAGATAGAGGCGCTGGAGTGTATTTAAGCAGGAACACAGGAGCGAGTGTGTTATGGAGAACAACATCACAGCTGCGTCACTGTAGCAACACCATCACCGTCCATCCAGGGTCCTCCTGCTGCTTAATAAGCAAAGAAAACAGTAAAACAGGGAAGCGTTGTTTTTTTATTTTATTTTTTCATTTGGTCAATTTCTTCCACCAAGAAGCTTCAAATATATTATTATTATTATTATTATTATTATTATTATTATTATTATACCATACTTTTCAGCCTGTCAGATTGAGTGGGTTGTCCTGTTACAAAAATTAACAGCAGTAGATACTGAACACTTTATTATCTTTACTGAATAATTCATAGTAGTTATACAATAATTTGTAGTAGTTACTGAATAATTCATAGTAGATACTGAATAATTCATAGAAGATAGTGAATAATTTGTAGTAGATAATAAGTATTAAGTAATAAGAATAATAAGTATTAAGATTAATAACAAAACAAAAAAAGATAAATAATAAAAAAAATAACGTTATGATCATGTTTTAAAGATTCTCATATATTAAAAACATTTTGAAAAGCGAAATGTCCCCATACTTTTGATGAGCAGTGAAAAACAACAACGACAATAACAATTAAAATGTAAAATTATATATAAAGTTCTTTAAAAGAGTTAAATTGGACATTTCATCACATTTTGTGAGCGTTTGTTCCTGTGCCTTTGTCCCGCAGTCACATGTGCATGGTGATGAGAGGCGTGCAGAAAATGAACAGTAAGACGGTGACCAGCACCATGCTGGGGGTCTTCAGGGAGGACCCCAAAACCCGGGACGAGTTCCTCACGCTCATCCGGAGCTGAGGAGAGCCGCACCAGCAGAAACATCGCTCAGACCAGCCGTCCCCCTTCGACACTCACTGAACCCACCGAGTCATCTCTGAATAATCAGCCTTCACGCTGGCGCCGTCGCTGCGGGGCCCCCCGCCCTCAGCCCGGCCCAGCGTGATACGCAAGTCTCAGCTACACAGTCTCTTTACCTTCCTGCGTGTGTGTGTGTGTGCGCATTTGTGTTTATATATGTGTGTATGTGTGTGTGTGTGTGTGTGTGTGTGTGTGCATCAGAAGGTGCTGTGTGGTTTGTCAGGTGATGGACTTCACGGGATGTGGATCAGTCTGCAGTCAAGCAGTCAGCTATAATTTTATTTGTGTAACCTGAAACCGTGTTTTACTAATTTGACGAATATTCCATTTTAACTGTTTTCATGAGAGCATGAATAATCTGATCTGTAGCCAGAGCTTAATTGCATTACAGTGCAGTCAAGCCAAAGGAAACCCAACCAAGAGTGGTTCGGTACAGCACTGAGTGTAGGACATGCACATACAGTATATGGATGCTGTACAGTTGTTGCATTCTACTGTACAGCATATTCAACTATACACTGTATCCAGTGCTGTAAATGCCACATTTAGTTGTGCAGTATATCATGACTGTCCAAAGAAAACCACGTATCTCCATTTTTATTGATTTTTATTTGTCTACATCATTTTAACACACTACCCGTCCTTTGTGTTGTGTGAAAACATGATGAATGGATCAACAGAAATGCTCTAAAATCACTTGGAATATAATCTCTTTACATTAACTTACATTGGAAGGTAAGAATGTTTTTGCCTTCTCCTGTAAAGTTACTATTTTGGAGCTGTTTTTCTTTGGACAGCGACGATATTCAGCTATATAGAATTTTCAAAGCTATACAGTTGGTGCATTCAGTTATACAGTCTATTTGACTGTACTCTATGTTCAGTGCTATTCAGTTGTACAGTATATTCAAATATACAGTATATTTAATGCTGTGCAGTTAATTATTTTCAGCTATACTGTATATTCAGTGCTCTGCAGTTGGGCAGTATATTCAACTATACTGTATATTCAGTGTTGTACAGTTGGTGCATTCAGCTGTACTATGCGTTCAGCTATACAGTATATTTTCAGTGCTATTCAGTTGGTGAATTCTGTTGTGTAGTATTTCGCTGTTGTCGGAAGAAAACATCATATCTCCAAAATGATAACTTTACAGGAGAAGGAAAAAACCTACTTTACTTTTAATGTAAGTCAATGGAACCAGACTGATTTTGGGCCGTTTCTTTTGGTCCATTCATCATGATATTTACACACAATGTAAAGGGTAACAGGCATTTTCAAATTATGTCAAAAACTGAAAAATGGAGATACGTTAAGTTTTTTTTTCCCGACAGCAGCGATATCTAACTGTATCGTATATTCAGTGCTGTACAGTTGATGCATTCCACTGTAATGGATATTCAGCTGTACAGTATGTTCAAGGCAGTAAGGTTTGAATATACAACGCTGTACAGTTTGTATATTCATTTAACAGTATATAAAAACTGTACAGTTTTGAATATATTGTAACGCATTGAATATAATTAATTCTCAAAAAACATCCAAATTTGAACCTAATTTTAGGCACCAATTGAAGCAGAAAGTTAATATTAGAACTTTGACAACAGTCATGACTCATTTTACCACCATAGGAATGTAGTGAATATCTCTGACAGATGGATTCGGGCAGTGTTGTCGTGTTGTGTCCTGAACTCTACTGTTCACAAGCTTTGATTCAGCAACCATATTTATCTTTTTTATCGTTTTTATTATTTTATGTACTATACAAAAATGTGTAAAATCATTATAAACAAGATGGCAGAAAGTATTTTAGATGTCTTTGTATAATATACTGTAATATCTCACTTTATATTTTATCTATTAATATTTTTTACATGACCACTGCTTTTTAAATATATGGGGCATTCTAGATCAGATAGAATTTCATTCTGTATATTAATTATATTAGAACTTCATTCTTGAGTTCAGTTTTATTTGAACTCCATTCTTGATGCTCTACAGTTTCTCCATTATTTTAGGTTCATCTGCAGCTGTTGTTTATTATTCTGGATTAATCTGTACAAAATGTCTAAAATTTCTACTGCACAAAACTGCCAAATTAGAATTATTTAATACTTTTATCTGCAAATAAATGAGATTTTTCTCCTTACAGATGGTGATTTGAAACTTTTGAACAGTAGTGTGTGTTGAGTGAAGTGTGCAGTTTTGTCTGACGTCAGCAAATGTACTGTCATGTCTGTGTGCGACTGAACCACTTCGCTGATGAACCACTCAGCACTGCGCTGCATGTCGTGTGTTGTAGTGACACTCTGGGCCTTTCTCTCTGTGCTGTGTTGCTGACCGTAGACGTTGTTTGTGCTCTGATAGGAGAATCTTTCTTTTTTTGTCCTCTCTCTGTGGAAAAAGGACCAAAGTTCAGCTGTGCAGTTGAGATTGAAAAAAAAAAAGTCTCAACTTTGATAAAAAAAACAGATAATAACTACGATAACTGTTGATAAATGTGATCTTTGATATTGCAGCATCTGTGAAGTGATGCAAACCCACATATTGACACACTAATCTTTTCTATTTAGTGAATTTTATTTATCCGTGTTCTCTTTGAGCTGGAAAGCTTTGGTCTTGGTTCATGAGCCAATATCAGACAGAAGGAAAACATGATTTATTACTCAAATATTTATACACATAAAGTTAATTGAGAAATGCAGAGGAAACATACCGGCTCCTCGCTACACATTTTAATTAACATCACGTTTTTTTATCGTCTTTTGTTTGTTTTGTTTGGCTTTGAATTCGCCTGTTTGTTTTTAATTTGTGTCTGAATTACTGTCATATTATCTGAAGGGCAGATACAGTATATATATGTGTGTGTTTGATGGACGTGTAACTAGAGACAGGCTGGAAAAAAAAAACGAGCACTTATGGTTAGAGCTCTGATGTCCGTGTGGCCTTCACCGGGACTGCAGATCGTAGTCCTGCAGATACAATATTAATTTACAGCAACTGATGTTCTGTCATTTTAAGTTAATATGACAATAAATTATGTTTTAAAGAAGTGCCTCCAAAAATGCTTATTATTTATTTATAAAATAGCTTGGCCTTCCATATTCAGTGCTATATTCTGTGATTTGGTGGGTTCAGGTGGGCCAAAATAAGAAACAACACCCATATCTGTGGTTACACTGCACCCATATCTATGGTTACACTACACCCATATCTATGGTTACACTACACCCATATCTATGGTTACACTACACCCATATATATGGTTACACTACAGCCATATCTATGGTTACACTACACCCATATATATGGTTACACTACACCCATATCTATAATTACACTACACCCATATCTATGGTTACACTACACCCATATCTATGGTTACACTACACCCATATATATGGTTACACTACAGCCATATCTATGGTTACACTACAGCCATATATATGGTTACACTACAGCCATATCTATGGTTACACTACAGCCATATCTATGATTACAGTACACCCATATCTATGGTTACACTACACCCATATCTATGGTTACACTACAGCCATATCTATGGTTACACTACACCCATATCTATGGCTACACTACACCCATATCTATGATTACACTACACCCATATCTATGGCTACACTACACCCATATCTATGGTTACACTACAGCCATATCTATGGTTACACTACACCCATATCTATGGTTACACTACAGCCATATCTATGGTTACACTACAGCCATATCTATGGCTACACTACACCCATATCTATGGTTACACTACACCCATATCTATGATTACACTGCACCCATATCTATGGCTACACTACACCCACATGGTTATACTCTACCAGACAATTTTTTAGGAGAGTAATGTTAAAATAAAAAAGATGTGTAGCCAAATGGACGGACAAAGCCCTTGGCTATTCAAGGGGAAACCCATCGATTTATCCAAATCTCTGCATCATCAAATGGTTCAGATGTAAACATTCAGAGTGGTTTGGTGTGAAATGCTCTGTTCTAGAGAAACTTACCGAGTCAGAACTGTTCAGAGTTTTAGTGATAGGAACCAGATGTCCACCTCTAAAAGCTCCCTCACAGAAAGTTACTACATGAAATGGTTATGAATATGTCTTGAATTGTTTCCTGATAGTGAACTGGTAAAGATTTTGGCCTGAAACGTTTTTTTAAAATTAAAACTTTTGCCATCAACAGTGCCTAAATCACTTTGCTTACATCTCAATTTGAATTTTGAAATGTTGAAAAATTACTTGTATCCCCTTTTAAATGCTGACAGTTTTATCACATTCTAAGGATTATTATTCAGCACTGTTAACATCTTGACTTACTATCTTGAATGAATCTCAAAATTTTGACTGACTTTTTTTTTATTATGACTTTTCTCAAAAGATTAACTATATGGAAATAATGACAACTTTCTCAAAATATTGATTATGCCAAAATAATTTTCTTAAAATATGAACTTACTATGTCAAATAATTACTTTTGTCCTCAAAATACTGACATTGTTACTTATTATGCTACTTATTGACTTACTGTATTACTTATTACGTAACCCTCTGCTGCGTGCACTATGAGAGCAATTTAAAAAAATACTCAATTCACTTTTCTTGCATAAAATGGTCATTATTTTTTTTGGACCCGATTATTAAATTCAAAAACATAACAAAAATAATGTGTGCAGGGGTCATTTTGGAGTATGTTGCCTTGAGGCAACAAGTGCGACAATGAGAAGAAATGATGTAGAGCCGTGTTCCCTGAAGTAGTGAGGCCTGGCTTGTGACTGGCTAAATCCAATCCACTGTCGCTTCTAGGCAACAAACATATTCCTGCATTCTCATAACAAAAAAAAATTATACTGAATGGTATAAAAATGAGGTTTAAACGTGCTCACTAAGAGATAGTATGACCAACTACATGTTCTTTATTGTCTTACTCAAACTCTTCCCTTTATTTTTAACCCTATTGTTGTCTTTAAATATGTATAATCTTATTGTAAACTGTAGGAAAATGAGTTTGAGGCAACATCATGCAACAGAGGGTTAAGTACTTGCTATATGGAAACTGAATACATTTATTAAATACATTTAATAACCAAAATCTATAAAAATGTCCATAATTGGAGAAAATCAAAAATATTAAGACATTTTAAGACACAATATTTCAGGAAAATAGTAATTATTTGGAGATACTACATCAATATTTGGACACACTGCTGCCCGAAACGGAGGAGGAGAAAAACAGAGGTGATCTTCCTCTCTGTCTGTCCAGAACAGGTTACTGTACATTCAGGACTGCAACTCATTCTGGCACTACACAACTCGAGAGGACCTTCGCTTCTTCCTTCTTGAACTCGTCTCTTTCGTCCCACGTGTTTATTATTAGTGCAGTTTCCTGGTTGTGAAGTTTCTGAGTGTTTAAAGCTACAAACCGCAGTGACTCAGCACTTTCTACACTCTGGCAGTGTGAGTGTTTCAGCTCCTCTGATTGGTTTAAACTAAGAGGAGGCTTCACTCTCAAAAACAAAATGTGGGCAAGACACTGCGCTGTTAGAAATGAAGGTTCTGTTCAGGAACATTTCTCATTCATCAATGTACAAACAGTGTAAATGTTCCCTCAAAGGTACAACAGTGGTTTTAAGGTCTGATTGTGAACCTTAAATAGGTTTTTCCAGGTGAAAAGTTTGTATTTGTACCTTTTCATAACCGAATGTTTTAAACAGAACAGTAAAATAAAAGCCTGGAGACGAGACGGGGTGTGTGGAGTCAGTACAGCTTAGAACATATCATTTCAGTGGATTATGGTTCGGTTATGTTCCCTGACTAAAGGTACTGAGATGGAGCCTTGAGGGTTCCACCCCAGTGACAAGAGGGGCACTGACCCAGTGACAGTTTCACACCTTCTTTTCTGAGAATGAACAGATTATAAGGGTCAGTTTATTTATCACAATTAATCTTCGCCTGTTTATTTCCAGTTTTCTGATATTTTTTTTCTGCATTTGCACCCCAAAAAATAGATATGCAAATGTCCCACGACCACTTCATATCATATCTCACTGAAAAGCTTGTCTATTTAGGTTCTATGGGAAACAAGCTTTTCAGTGATATATGCCATGACGTGGTTGTTGTAGTGTGGGCAGAGCTAAGCCTTCAATAATGTTGGCAACTTTTGGAAAATCCAGTTAGATGCTAGTGGACGTGAATTGACTAAACACGCTGAAAACTGCGCTCTGTAAGACTTTTTAGCATTTTTGTAAGATTTAAGTATCATTACTAAGTCGGGAGAATAAAAGCAGGCTGATATATGCTGAGTGCGCCCTGCTGTGAGTCGCTCTGTAAAGCCTACAATAATCATTTTAAAGTCAGAGGCGTCGGGTCGAGAGTTTTTCACACCACATCTTACGTCTTTACGTCTTAACGTCACACACAGACTCAAAAAGAAGGGCCGGCTCGATGTTTTGGCCTCAAACGATCTCAAAATCAACATCATACTGATGAAGATGTGATGGCAATAGTAGATAATTCACTCACATCTTCAGAAGATGCTCCTTCACCAGGTTTAGACTGAGTTCTCTTTGGCTATGTTCACATTACATGCCTCATTTCTTGAATCCGATTTTTTGCTCAAATCCGATCTCTCTTACAGGATGGTTCATGCTGGTTTAGGTAAGTGATTCAAATCTGTCATTAATGTGACAAACCGGCGTCCTGAAATGACCCTCATGAGCTCATCCTACTCAGTAACGTCATGTGAATGAATCACGTTCATCATCAGCACAAACTAACGAGCAGAACGAGCTTCGCTGAGAAGATAATTAACTCTGATCAGCTCTCAGCTTCATTATTAGAGCGAGACGAAGGAGAAAAAGGTGAGATGAGCTGCTTTTCCACCGTTTACAGGCTTTAACTTCTGTTTGGCGCTGCTGCCATGGTAACGCTGAATGATGGTCATGCGCAGAGGAAAAAAAGCACATGAATTCCGATCTGAGCGTCACATTAAGGTCACATGGCCAAGTGTCCAATCTAGGACCACATATGAAAGTGGCTCAGGTCGTATTTGTGTGTCCACACAGCTCTGAAAGTCACATTAGGGCAAAAAATCAGATTTGTGCCACTTCAACCTGGTAATGTGAACGTAGCCTTTGAATTCACTTTCACTCATCAGATTCATCCACTTGGGGAAGGGCGGCGATGCACAACACACATTACAAAGTGTTCTACACTTTGCATGCAATTACACATTTCCAACAGAGAGGTCCCCAAACCCCCAAAACTTACACAGTGTAGCTTTAACATTATTCTGTTGAGTTTTGATGTTTTTATGATTATTTTATTAAACACAATTCGACCGAGAATCACTATTCATTGGCCTAGGCTAAATTAAGATTAATCCTGGTCTGGGGAAAGTGGCCCCTGTACTGTTTTTAACATGATGTGAAAGTCTGTAGATTCTGATTGGTTTAAACTGAAGTTAGATTGCTGATTATTATAAACTGAGAAAAGGTTGCTTTCTGACTGGCCTAAACTGAGAGGAGGTTAATGATTTTTGATTGGTTGAGGCTGAGCGGTGATTGTAGATTCTGATTGGTTTAAACTTGGAGGAGGCTTCTGGTTGGTTTAAAGGGAAAGTAGGCGTCTGATCGGTTTAAGGGGAGAAGAGGCTTCTGATTGGTTTAAACTTGACAGGAGGCTCCTGATTGGATTAACCTGAGAGGAGGCTTTTGATTGGTTTAAACTTGAGAGGAGGCTCCTGATTGGTTTAAACTTGGAGGAGGCTCCTGATTGGTTTAAACTTGGAGGAGGCTCCTGATTGGTTTAAACTTGAGAGGAGGCTTCTGATTGATTTAACCTGAGAGGAGGCTTTTGATTGGTTTAAACTTGAAAGGAGGCTCCTGATTGGTTTAAACTTGGAGGAGGCTCCTGATTGGTTTAAACTTGATAGGAGGCTTCTGATTGGTTTAAACCCAGAGAAAGCTTCTGATTGGTTTAAACTTGAGAGGCGGCTTCTGATTGGTTTAAACTTGAGAGGCGGCTTCTTATTGGTTTAAATAGAGAGGAGGCTCCTGACTGGTTTAAACTCAGAGGAGGCTTCTGATTGGTTTAATCTGGGCTTTATTCCTGAGATTGAAACTGAGAGCTAAACTGTAGACTCTGATTGCCAATAAGGTTTTAACGACTTCAACAGATAACTTGATAAGTATTCAGTATGTGTGCATATCGGGTATTACACAGAATGGCTCAGAACGCAGCTCAGCTTTAGAAACGGAACTGATCTGAACTATAAGCAGCGACTTAATACTGCTCAGAAAAGCATATCATGAACATTCATCATGAAAATGATAACAGCATCATATCAGCTCCACACAGCTGCTTTTTCAAAAGTTACTCTTTAATACTTTGTCTCTGGTTATTACAAAGATGTCAAGCATTGAACGCAGACTAAAAATGTATGGACGCACTCTCACAAACAAACAAACAAACAAAACACAATGGTTTATGCATACAAACACATACAGCACTCACACAGAGAAATACAAACATCAGAGGCCCGACTGAAATCATTAGCCAGCCGCAGCGGTCAGGCTTCGGCTGGATTCAAACAGAAAAACTCAGTATTTGTACCTCCCTTATTTCACCTACACCATATCTGAACATCTGGACGCACATGGACGTCCACAGATGCAGAATGCAGCAAATCTCAGAATCCTTCTTTAACTTCAAAGGGCATATCCATCAATTTTTTACAAATTCTGCATAATTCAGTGGTTGAGATGTAAACAGAGTGATTCAGAGCGGTTTGGTGTGAAATTGTTCAGATGTCTTTACAGTGGTGGTGATAGGAACCAAGGGGTCACCATGACTACAACACCAATATAGACGTTTTATTTACTATAAAAACCACCAAAAAACCATCTTACATGGAATGTTGATGGTAAAATAGTGATAAATCTGAAAAATTAAGTTTTCTTTAGGGACTATTTTACCTTATTCCTGCATGTATCCCTCCACCATGAACGGATTTAAAAAAAACTGATGAAAAAAATGATTTTAGAGGTGGACGTCTGGTTCCTATCACCACCACTGTGAACAATTCTGACTGCGTACGTTTCTCTAGAACAGAGCGTTTCACACCAAACCACTCTGAACGACTGTATACATTTTAACAAATTAATTAGGCAGGAATAAAAAAATGGGTGGACTTCCCCTTCATAACTGTAGAGTCAAATGAAATGGAAGGAAACAGGGAGGGGAAAAAAAGGCAGTTCATGTCAAAATGCAGCGTTTTTTTCTTTTTTCCTGAAAACATATGTACAAAATTACACTACATTTCACGTCCCCCTTGCAAACAACACGCAGACATACAAATATATATATATTTATATACACACACACATACATCTTTGTTGAACAGACCGGTATAGTTCATAACTTCATATCAGCATTGAAAGTACCTAAAGTGTACTGAAGTATAATCAACCAAAGGACATGCTCAACCTGCACAACTGTTGCTGTCATACGGAGCTTGTGTGATTCATCGTTTCTGACCATCAATGCGTCCAGCTTTGCTAATAACCACTAAACATTTTAAATCCATATAAAATCCTTTACATTTCGAGTAAATATCAGAGTCCGAAAGAAAAAAAAAAAAGGCACTGCCATTTGTTATTCTAAATACGACTTCCCAGCCTGACATGCATTTCTAAAATATAAATTACTTTTTTTTTGTTCTATTTTCTTTTTTTTTTCAATAAACATAATGATATTCTTTTTAAAATATATATGTATGTAATAATATATATGTAAGCCTGCAGTCAATACAGGACATCGGCTCTTGAGAATAAAACAAAAGAACTAATTGAAGGACACAGTAAAGCGGTATAGGATACAGTATAGATGCAGGAGGTTTAAAAAAAAAAAGAAGAAAGGATAATTATGAAATATGACTAATGCACTAATACACAGAGCTGCTTTCTCAAAGGCTGGAATATGAAGATAGCGCTTCAATGCTAAACCTGCTACAGCATCTTTCTCACTGACGGTTTATATCAGGCATGTCAAACTGGGGACCTTCCTGGCCAAAGTGCTGCGGAGATCAGCGTTTACCCTCATCTGACGCTCTGAATTCAGTTCACAAAGTCTTTGCTAATTAGCTGATGAGCTGAATCAGGTGTGTTTAATGAGGCAGTGAGCTGAAGTCTGCGGTGTTTTGGCCTGAGAGGACTCGAGCCTGACACACATGGTTTATGGGAGGAATCACACTACAGGCCAGAAGTTTGGAAGCACCAGCGTTTCTTCTGAAATCAAGGGTGTTAATAGTGAGTTTGTTCTCCTGTCCTGCAGTAACAGCCTCTGCTCTTCTGGGAAGGCTTTACACTAGACATTGGAACATTGCTGTGAGGATTTGATTGAGCATTAGTGAGGTCAGGTACTGATGTTGGATGGTCAGTTCTGGATCACTCCAACTCATCCCAAAGGTATTAGACGGAGCTCCATCACTCCAGAGAACACAGTTCAACTGATTCCCTGTGCTGGGGGGCTTTTTACCCCTCTAGCCCATGCTTGGCATTGGGCATAGTGACCTTGGGCTTGTGTATGGCTCCTCCAGAGCGTCCCATTCTATTCCTAGCTTTTCTATGGATATTATATAAGCAATTGGGGCAGCTTAAACGGACCATGTCCCACATTTTTCCTATATTTCATTATTTCTTTTCTTCCCTGAGGTCATTTGTGACATTTCTGTGTGGTTTAATGTATCAAAAAGAGTCATAATTCATTTTTACATCCCTTAGAATTAAGCAGGCTGTGCCTTTAAGACCGATATATGCAAATGAGCTATGTTCCGATCGGCTGCTCTGTGTTGTTCCTCATTCAAAAAGCAGTCCAGCCTGAAACACCCCACAGCATTACTGTGCAGGGCTGAACTGCTGTAGGCTGAACAGGACGATATATGTAAATGAATTTGTGACATCACAAATACAATGGATTCGAATCACGTCACTTTCCATATTGACTGTATGAACCGTCGACTTAGAAAGTGTAATGTTTACATACTAGACCAAACGTTTATTTGGCAATAAAGCTAAGAAAATGTGGTTTTCCATGATACAGACCCTTTAAAGCAGCTGAAGGGCTGTCTCGGATACTTTTGGATGTTATATCCTTTAAAAAAATCACTTTTCTTCCACGCTGTTCTGGCCTGTGGTGTGAGCCGAAGCGTTCCTCGCTCCTGCTCTGCTCCCACATTTCATTTCCGAGCGCAACCAGCAGGTGGAAAAACGCACAGCATCATCTAACGTCATCTGCTGAGGTGATCGGGCGTGAAGAACAACGTGACGTGAACTGAAGCAGCACTAAAAACAGTCCACAATAAAGGGGAACAATGTGTTCAACGTCGAGGCATAAAGTGATACCACACTGCACTGTACAACATGCTTTCTGGACGTACGGATCCCAGAGCGAGCGTTAACACAAGGAGAAAATAACGAGAATCAACTGATGCCTATAAAATACAGTTTTGAGATAAAGAGAAAACAAAACAAACAAAAAAAAATAATAACTTGATATTTGAGATGTACTTATGGTTACCAGCCATAGCGAGTTAATACATATGGTATCTTAAATAATACATCTAATGAATACAATAACCTCTGCGACAATAATAGAAAAACAAAACGAATAAATAATCATTTGAATCTGCTAATAGTTTTCTTTAAATGGCAGTGTCGAGTGGCTCTGCTTTACACTGTACGTATACGAACACGCCACTCCGATCAGACGTGAGTGTCGCTCACGTGCTTCTACACATTTCCCACCGTCCCACTGAAGGCTAATCATATGTAGGAAAGCAGTAGACCGGTTCAGATCTCCTTAAAGGGGAATTCCACCCTATTTTTTCAAAATTTCATCAGTTTGCTTGACGAGTACACAAAATCATTCCAACTGTTTTGATAAAGTAGAGAGATTTACCAAGACAAAACTGTAACAGGTGCCCTCTTAAAACTCATCAGCAATAACAAAACATGCATTTCTCACTTGTAGCTCAGTGAAACAACTGGAGAAATTGAGAGGAAAGTGCATATTCTGAATGTTCAATCTATTCCACGTTAGTGTTTGTGTTTAATTAGGACTTGAATTTAATAAAAACGCTAATATACATTCATTTTTGTGACTTTCACACTGAAACAAATGAATAAAAACTGTCCATATAGAATGTAAATGTATTTCATTATGGAACTAACTGTGTAATTGAATATATAACTACATATTTACACATCGCTGCTCTCAGAACAAAACCTCATATCTCCAAAGGTAACTTTACAAGAGAAGGAAAAATGTTCTTGAGTTTTAATGGAAGGTAATGGAAAAATGATTTTGGACCATTTCTGTTGGTCCAATCATCACAAAATCTTGACCCAACACAAAGAGCAAGTAGCTTTTTCAATGAAAAACGACAAAAATGGAGATACAAGGTTTGTCTCGACAGCGACGATATAAACAGGATAGCAAACGACAGTAACAACTCACAACAAAAGCTACCTCACAGAAATCATTACAGAAAAAGACTGAGTGCTGCATGCCACTTAAATCTTAAGCTAAATGCTTAAAAGGCCCATATTATACGAATTCGTTTGTATTTTATTTTTTCCCTTAATTCCACTTATAACGTTTGTGTGGATTTATTTAACAAAAACAGTCATAATTTTTCTTTGCACAACTGTTCTTTATCTCTTAGAATTAAACAGACTGTTTTTGTTACTGTGCCTTTAAGACATATATATGCAAATGAGCTCTGTTCTGATTGGCTGCATTATTTTGTGCCTTGTTCAAAAAAAGCCCAGGCTGAAACACTCCTTAGAACTTCAGTGTGAGTGGGCGGGGCTAAACTGCTGGCTGGATAGTGGTATATATGTGAATGTTGCTGTGACAACACAGAAACAATGAATTCAAAAAAGGCCACGTTGCCATATATGGACTGTATGGGCTGAGTTTTCCATAATATGGGCCCTTTAAAGCTGTACATTACATTTATAATGTAAACTATTATGCTAAAGTTACTTCCATAAGATGCACGCAGGGTGGAGAGATATATGTATGGTAAAAGAACAAAACTGATTTTTAGGGATGATCATTTTTAGCACTATCAGCATTACATATAAATATATATATATATAAACTTAAGACGGGTAGTTGTTTTTGCTTTGTTCCTGGTTCCTCTCACCATTATTGTAACAAAATCCCATTAAAATACGATCAATCCCTCTCAAATTGCCCCAAAAAGGCCCACTCTGGATAACTTGGGTCTCTTCTCACTGACCAAATCATGCTGAAATTTTGTAAAACGGGTGGAATTCCCCTTCAAGTCAAAAAGCGAAAACAACACACTGCATAGCCAACACATTAAATGCTTTCTCACTTTCAGAATGGCCATTATATGGCATGCATGAGACAGAGGCGTTCTCTTAGGCAGCTTTTTGAGTGTCTGTGTAAGGCAGATGTCGTCCATGCCTCCCCTTTCTGACCATCATTTAGACCAATCACAACACAGTATCATAGGGAGAGTATCAAAGTGCCTCTTTAACCTGGACTTCGGACTCCATCGATTCTCTCTCTGTCGCTCTCAGTACGTCCGTACTGGATCTTTGGACGATTTATAGCTTGAGGTGGGGCTGTGAGTGAAGTCCACAGCCCGTGAGTGATTACACAGAGGGGACGCCGGACACATGCGGGGACTTAACAGGTGCTTTTCCTCACGCTTCTTCTTCTACGAAGTGCGCTTCATCTCCAGCAGCGCGTTTCTGCTGCACGTCTTCGCCCCATCACGCTGCTAACGAGAGGCTATTGCACATCTTAGTGTTCACTTTTGATGTTTCAGCAAAAATTTCACAGCACCAAGTGCAGGACAAACAAGAACTCGTATAAAAAAACGAATCAAAATAAGAAAAACACTATAAACCCTCACTGAAGGACTTTGAATAGATTAAAAAAAAACGCAATCCTGTTAGATTTTTAATCAAAGCCCCTTTTCCATGCAGAAAACAAGATGTGTCACAAAGTGGCCAAGAATAATGTCAATCTAATGAGCTTATTCTGCATCGTAAAACCTACGACGTTAACAACCTGGCGCTAACTAACAGCCCATATTAAGACAACACTGAAAAAACACAATAAAGACTCGTTGATTATTTAATTAATCCTAATTGTCTTGGACTAAATGACTCTGTGTAGGCATTCTGCACTGAAAAGCCTTGGTAGAAAACATGCGGATGCACTCTGCAGCATATGGCCACCAGATGGTGCTAAAGACTCACATTACAGTTTTCCAGGTTGGCACTCTTTTAAAGGGATGACTCACCTAAAAATCAGATTTGCACAGTTTTCCCTCCTTGCTCTGTATGTAGTGAATCAGCCAAGACATGTTTGGTGTCTACAGGCATTTTAGGGGGCAGAGGCTCGAGGAAAAACATCAATGTGCATATTAATTCATTTAAGTGTCAGCATTTGGCATGCATATTTGTCCACAGAGATGGTCTAACCATGTTCCAGAGCAAGGAAAAAGGGTACCACTTTAGAATAAGACCACCCTTATGAAGGCAAATTAGTTTATTAATGCTTAATGGTCATAAACACCTTATAACAGTTAAATAAGAAGGCCAACAGTGACCTGTTGCTTGCCAAATAGTGAGCCCACTTTCAAGTACACTCAAACCTCAGACGCTGCTGGTTGCAGATCTTACTCTGTCTTCTCCAACAGTCAGCTTCCTCACTTACTCATATCACTACTCCCTATTTATTTACGTGTTATACAAGCTCATTATTGTATTTATGATGTAATAACCATTAATAAACTAATTTTAAACCCTTTATAAGGACAGTCTTATTGTGAAGAGGCACTGGATAAAGTATTAGGACTCTCATCTAAGGACGCAGCCTAATGACGCAGCTAAATGCTCAGGTGAGATTTTCGAGCCAATAATCTTCCGTTTACAAGCCAACCACAAATCACTACTTAAAACTGGGTTATAGCTCCCTTCAAGCATCTCTTCTCAGAGCATCACATTAAAAAATCACATAAAAATAACAATAACAAAGAACCTGGTCTGTCAGGTTACTGGGGCCCCTTGATGCTCTTCAAAATAACAGACCAGATTCTAAACAACGGCAGAGATCATATAAAATACAATTACCGTACATCCTGTCTAGGAGGCCACTGTTTTTGGGTGACACAGACTTTTATTATATCAGGCTGAGAGCGTAAAACTAAAGACACACCAGACACGTCGAAGCTGATCGACTACATCTGTGGTCAGAGGAAGAGGATCTGATGTTTTGGTGAACCATCCCTTGAACAGAACATCACATTTTCTGCTCCAGCACTGAACAATCCAGTTATATTACAACTCACAAATCAAAAGCGACTATTAACCCTTTTACTCTACAGGAAAGCCCTCCGCAGCACCACACACAGTCAAATAGTAAGGGTGTAACAATTACAGCACTTAAAAAGTGCAGGAAAACAAATGAAATAGTCTATGATGAACTGATACTGATAACTGTGTTGATGATGCATCTTTTGTCGAAACCACAAAATGTGTAAAAATGTTAACTAGTGATTTGATCGTGGCTGAACTTCACACTGTAAAAAGTAGAAGAATCGCTCATTCAATCTCATTCAGAGTATTTATTTGAGATGAACTTGAATAAAAGCAGTTAAAGGGCCCACATTGACTTTTTTCTCATATTTTATCTTTTAGTCTACTTGTAATATCTGTGTGGTTTTATGTGCAAAAAAACTATTTCCAACCCATTTTACTTAATTAAACAGGCTATATTTGTTACTGTGCCTTTAAGACTGATATATGTAAATGAGCTCTGTTCTGACTGGCTGCTCTGTGTTGTGCTTTTTAATTAGAAAGCCGTCCGGGCTGAAACACTCTTTATAACCCCAGTGTACGTGGATGCATGGTTTTTGTGACATCACAAAAGCACTAAATACCAATAAGGCAGCTTAGTATCCATATATGGACGGTATGGTCTTTACTTATAACTCTTTTGATTAAAAAAGTGGATTTTTACATCATATGAGCCCTTTAAATTGCTTGTTATTGAACATTATATGAGCCCTTTAAATTGCTTGTTATTAAACATTATATGAGCCCTTTAAACTGCTTGTTATTAAACATTATATGAGCCCTATAAACTGCTTGTTAGTCATTTTTTAGGCTGAACTGGAAAACCATTTTTACAGTGTACAGCAATCTTATTTTTTTGTATTTTTATCAACACAAAATATTAAAAATCAAATCAAATATTGACCTCGGACTCAAAAATCGCATCAAATCTGAAAATGCGCATTTGTTACACCCCTATTAACGATACACAATGACCACTACCAGCAATTACGTATATATAAGAATTCAGCCTCGTCTTTGCCGAGCATTTCTACCCACTGACCGCTTCACGTTTTCAAATTATAGCTCTTATATTCACTTGCCTTTGCTGGCATTTCTCCCAGAACGCCCGTTCCGAACACCGTCCCACATCCGCCGACGCCACAGCAAAAATCCCGACCTGCCGTCTGCCTTCAGTTCGCCGCCTCTCACGTCAGAACCCATTTGTGACATTCCTTTCCCTTCTATCTCTCTCATTCTCTCTCTACCTCTCTCTACCTCACGTCTCACGGACCCTCCACGCTTACGTCACTTTCCTTTTCCCCTTCCTGCTCTATCTCTCTCCCCCTCTCTCCTGACCTCCGTCCTCCACTTTCATCTTCTCAACTTCTTAAACAGCAAACCACATCTGGAACAAGATGAGCAAAATCCAAAAAAATTAAAAATAAAAAACACAAAAAAAACCCAAACATGCTGGCATGTAAACTGTGCTGGTAGCTGCTGCTGCACACCTCAGACGCTCTGGTACCCTTGAGAGTAGCACTTGTATGTAAACAATGGTGTTTAGTGACTCTACAGAAGCTCTTTTAGACTCCGAAGCTCCAGCCGGACCGAGCGGATTGGCCGGGATTTCGCAGGACATACGTCGGCTGGCTGCTTTTGTTTTTTTCTTGTTTTTTTGGTGTGAAGCAAAAGACCCTCGCAGCAGCTCTGCTGAAGATACCTCCCAAATTCTCTCCCTTCCGTAGTGGAGTGGAACTTTTCCCCACTCCATACCTTCCATAGTCTTTCTATATGGAAGTGCCGCGTCGGGATAGTCCTCCTTTTGGCAATTTGTATTTTTTTTCTAAAAAAGGTGATTATCTCCCAAAAAATAGCCCAATCCCCCATGCCTAATGTAAAAAAGCTGAAGTCGTCATGGTGACGGAAGCCTTTCTGAATGTGGTGAACGGCGCTGTGCGGATCATCACGCGCATGCCAGCCGCTCACACCGCTCCCATTGGCTGTGTGTTGGTAGATGGGCAGGTGGGGGTGGAGTTTAAGGATAGATGGGGGGGGTTCCTGACCTCAAGATGTCCCCCCTGACCCCCTCACTGCATGGCTAACTCTGCCTTCTCCTCCTTGTGCTCAGATAGTGGACGTCCGATCAACACCATCTACAAACACAGAAGAACGCGCAGCTGTTAGGAACAGATCACAAGCTTTATTTTATGGTGGAAAAAGATATAAAGGACTTTCATTTTTGACATCATTTAAAATTGTGTCAAAATTTCATGATGAATGGACCGACAGACCTGGTCTAAAATTATTTACAATACAATGAACTTCTATTAAAAGTAAAAAACATTTTAGCTTCTACGGTAAAGTTTGGAGATACAATGTTTTGTTCTGACAGCAGTAATATACAAATAAGATGTAGTATATCGTGAGGACAAAACCGTTTATCTCTAGAAATGGTAACTTTACAGAACGTAAACATTCATAACTTTTTTTAAGGGAATTTTCCCCCAATTTTTCTCCCCCATTTTGTCATATCCAATTCCACCCACTAGTTACGACTCCCCCAGTCACACAATGCCACCAGTGCTAGGAGGGTGAAGGCAAAGACAGGCTTCCTCCGAGACCTGTGAAGAGCCACTGTGTGAGTGAGGATCGTGCTGAGTGATGAGGAAGACGTGGGGGGCCATCCTACCCACCCAGAGAGAGCGAGGCCAATTATGCTCTTTTGGACTGCCGGCCACAGATGGCTGTAGTATCACCAGGGATCGAACTTGCGATCTCCTGATGATGCGGCCAATGTCTAGATTGGCTGCGCCACTCGGGAGCCCCTCAACACTCAACGTCTTGAGATTGAGTCCATTCACTATATATGTATGTATATATTCTAGATTTGGAGACCCCTCTGGTGAAAATGTGTAATGCACACAGCATGCAGAAGATTTTGTAACTGTAGTTGTTGTGCTTCGCCGCCCCTTCCCTGAGGGGATAAATCTGATGAAAATCAAGAGAGAATCCAAAGGGAACTCAGTCAAAACTCACTGAAGGACTTTGTCTTCTGAGGATGTGAGTGAATGATCTACTACTGTTATCATATCTTCATCAGTATAATGTTGATTTTGAAAATATTCGAGGCCTAAACATTGAGCCGGACCTTCTTTTTGAGCCCGTGTGTGTGATGTTAATATGTAAAGACGTACAACGTGATGTGAAAAAGTCCTGACTTGAAACATCTGATTTATAAATGATTATTTGAGGCTTTACAGGGCGACTCACCATATTTTAGTGTAAGTAAAAATCTCCTGAGAATTAGTAATCCTACTTCTTTTAATTATAACATAGCTTTCATATTATTTAGCAAGTTGTTTAAATAAAAAGCATGAATATATATATATATATATATATATATATATATATATATATATATTGTGTCCTGAATTTCAAGAAATTTCATTTCGGCGCATCATCACTTTTGAACAATGTGGCAAAAAATTCCGGAAAAAAATTGTGTTGGGTCCAGATATTTGGTGTAAAAAGCATTTTTAGATGTGCATCAGAGCAACAGACAGCAGTGAGGCAGGCAGGCAGGTCCACTGCTGTCCCTCAGAGGCCCAGCTGGAGGGGGGGGAAGAGGGGGCAGTGAGGGGTTAGAGTGGGGTTGGTGTGGTACAGGGTAGTTTTGGGGCGAGCGTGTTACAGGAACACTGCCGTCTCTGTGGGCAGCGGCGGCCCGGGCGTTCCTCAGCTCACCGCAGAAAGGAGCTGACCAGTGCTCCTGGCTCGGTCTCTGCGCTCAGCTCACACAAAGCTGTGCTTGTCCGGCCCACTGAGGCCCACTGTCTGAGCTCTGCGCTGACGGGAACACACACACCCTCTTTATGCAAAGAAAAACTCTGCTCCACATGGGAACCGTTACAGCGCAGAGATCCTTCAACTTTCTCTCCAGCCCGGAGTCACACCCAGGCCAGGGCTGACGCTCACAGCAGTCGTTTGGCCTCTGAGCAAGCAGGGTGGACGTATTCTGTGCATTTTGTTGTGGCTGGTGCTTTTGGTCAGGGTTTACATCAGCAAAAAGCATCCGGGAAAGGATCGCGAGACGGAAAAGTACGATTTCACTCTTGCAGTGTAATTTTCCTCTGCAGTGTAATTTTCCTCTGGACTGTCCCGCGCGGCCGTACTGTTTGACCCGATTATGGAACTCTCTTCAGTTTAAAAAGAGCAACTCCATCAAATTTTGAAAGTTTCTGCATAATTCAGTGTTAGAGATTTAAACAGAGTCATTCAGAGTGGTTTGGTGTGAAATGGTTCAGATGTCTTTACAGTGGTGGTGATAGGAACCAGGGGTCGCCATGACTACAACACAAATATAGCCATTTTATTTACTATCCAAAACCACCAGTGAACCTACATGTCTTCTCTTCGTTTTTATATGTAATGCTGATGGTAAAATTCTGAAAAAAATCTGAAAAAATAAGTTTTCCTTGGGGACTATTTTGCCTTCCTGCATGTATCCCTCCACCCTAAATGTGCTTATAAAAAATACGTTTTAGACCAAAAATCTTCTCAAAACTATCATAAAACAACGCGTCAGACTTCAGGCAGTGAATTCATAACTATTTCATGTTATAACTTTCTGTGAGGGAGCTTTGAGAGGTTTTAGAGGTGGTTCTGGATAGTAAATAAAGCTATATTTGTGTTGTAGTCATGACGACCCCTGGTTCCTATCACCACCACTGTGACCAGTTCTGACTCAGTAAGTTTCTCTAGAACAGAGCGTTTCACACTAAACCACTCTGAATGACTCTGTTTATATCTTAATGATTTAATTAGGATAAATTCTGAAGAATTAGTGGAATTCCCCTTTAAGACTTTTCTCCAGTACAAAAAACTTTCCTCATGTGCTTCTCAGCATAATGACCCATATTCAGTCCTACCTCAAACTGTGTTTGTTCACATTCCAAACTCTTTAGATTCGAGGCCAAAGCTGAAGATGTGCCCATTCCAGCGTTTCCACTGCCTTACAGGAGCACAGCCTTAAAGGCACACGGACTGGAAATAAAAGCTCCTCAAAAAGACCAGTATTTTACATCTTTTAGGACCAGTTTACTAGAACCAGATTAGGCCTAAGCCTGGACTAAAAAAGGATCATCACTGGCACTGCTATTTAGTTAGATTCAATCCTTCTATGTGAAACCGGCTTTTAAAGCTCCCAACAATTTTAGTGTGACAAACCTACAGTGCTGAGCAAAAGTCAGAGACCACCCTTCATTTATTTAAACTCCAGTCAAAACTTATATCAGTCGAAGTTATTCATCATTCAGAAGATGTTTCTGAGGAGATGAGACATAAGACAACCCACTTGCATAAAGAAGGAGAAAGTCAAAGCAAAATAAGTTGGAAAAAAACAGGAGCTTCCAAAACTGGAGCTCAAAAACTGATTAAAAGCTACAGAGAAAATGTGGCTCCTAACAACCACCTGGAAGACCTGGTAGACACCAAAACTGCCCCCATCAGATAAACAGCACTTAAAGCTTTCATCTTTGAGAGAGAGGAGAAAATCAAGCTGCTTCAGATCTGAAAACATCCACAGGTGTTTCTGTCCATCCTTCCACTGTGAGAAGACGACTCAGCGCTGTGGGTCTGAAAGGATGTGTAGCTGTCAAGAAAAACCTCGCTGAGAAAAGGAGACGGACACATCAAACAAAGAAGCTGAACGATGGACTGACCACCCCAGAGTCCAGACCTCAACACCACTGAATGTGTCTGATTACTTCAGAAAATGATCAACCAGCTTCTAAGACTGAACTTTGGAGGTGTGTCTGCAGATTCTTTGAGGAACTGCTTCTTTTTCCTGACAGTGAAAAATGAATAACTTGTACTTAATGGCTGTTTTGACTGGAAATTAAATAAATAAAAAGGTGGTCTCTGACTTTTTCACAGCACTAAACACATTTATAATGAATGTTCTTGCAATTTGTTCTTGAAGTCAACCAAAATTGACCTTTAGTACCATGTTTGTTCATGCCCGTGGCCAGTATCGACAAAGCTGGATTGTATATTGGAAACTGGAAAAAGTGAAGAACGTCCATTAAAAACAGCTCATTTTAAAGATTAGTAGTTTTAAAGAAGAAACATCAAATCAGTTTTGTCTATTTTCTTCTACTGTATAAACAGTTCCTCCATTTGTTTTTGTGTTAAGTATATTTTTAAAATGACTTCTGAATTGTACTTAGATCACTGAACTGAACCCAAATGTGGTGAAAATGCCCCATACTGTGTCACACATGTTGTGAACGTGGCCTCGAGTTACTTGTGATCAGCGTAATGAGAAAGTGCAGTTTACCTCCTAGAGCGTGTTCAGTCATACTGAGACAGAGAGACTCCAAACGGTTATTAATGTCCGGCTCGGTCACTGGCACCTGCAAATCTGCACACAGACAACACAGACAACATTAAACACACATCATATTAACAACATCTGGGACACATTTCCTCCAGAAATGAGAAATTAAAGGGGAAATCCACTGATTTTTCAAAATTTCTGAATAAGTACTTAAGATTTGGAAATGCTCTGTTCTAGAGAAACAGCTGTGGTCTGTTTAATGTCTCTAAAAGCTCCCTCACAGGACGTTATTACATGAAATGGTTGTGAATACCTAAAAGATTTGGCCTAAAAACTGTACATGCAGGGCACTGTAAGGATTTATCACTATTTTACCATCATCAACATTCCATATAGAACTCAGAAGACGTGTAGGTTCACTGGTGGTTCTGGATAGTAAATAAAATGGCTATATTTGTGTTGTAGTCATGGCGACCCCTGGTTCCTATCACCACCACTGTAAAGACATCTGAGTCTCTACAATCAACCATTTCACACCAAACCACTCTGGATAACTACCTACATCTTAATGACTGAATTATGTAGAAATGTTTAAAAATGGGTGGAATTCCCCTTTAAAAGTTCTTTTCCATATACGTCAAAATGATGTGGTGACTGACTGTACGATACAGATGTGGCAGACTGAGATTAGGCTTAAACTGGTGAAGTACTCCTTTAATCCCTCAGACTGTCAGCTGCGCTTTAAGAGAGTTTCCCCTGTGGGGTTTAAAGGTCCAGGCCGCTGTGGGGCGAGCTGCACTAAGAGAGTGGGCTTTCTCTCTTTCAGAGGGACGACTGGCAGGCTGGACGATCCTCAAGTTCTCTGGCCTTTCGCTGAGTCAACAGCACAGGGCCTTCAGAAATCCCTCACTGGGCCGAAGAGCTGAGTTAGCCACATGCTGGACGGACTGCACGCTCCAGAGGCTATTTTTGGGTACCAAATCCTCTCAGGCCCCTCCACACAGCCCCCGGCTTTCCCCTGCGTCTGTGCCCATGTATTCCTCACTTTATTCAATCTGTTAATCTGACCGGGCTCAAAAGGAGAGGGAGAAAGGGGGAGGCCAGACCGAGACGCTGGCTTTTAGCTCTATACGCTGGACACAGGCTTGTCCAACAAATTATACAGCGTATACAGCACAGGCACCTCTTAACCCTTTAAGATCTAAAGGAAAAAGCAGCTCTTTCTGCTATTCAGTCTTCTCTTCTCTTTTAAAGGGATAGTTCAGTGACAAAATCAAATGTACTCAGTCTTCCACATACTCCAGATATAGTTGGTCAGTCATTATATTTGCTGCCCAAATTTTGCTTCTGTAGCTTGTCGCCGGAGCTACAGGGCTAACGTTGCTAACAAACACTACAAGTCAACAGTCACCCAAATCTTTTTTATGTAAACACATCCACAACACTTCTCTCAACCTGCTCTAACTGCATCCGGCTCTTCATGAAGGTCGTGCACATGCGGTTTCTGCTATTTCTATTTATTAATAACTGTTACATTTTGAATTTTTTAAACTGAATATATAGTTGTGTGCAAAAGTTTGTGCGCTCCTGGTCAAATGAATGTTTTGTCCAGTAAGTTAATACATCCTCTACAGAGACACACTTCAGCGTGTTTCAATGAAACACAAAATCTAGCCAGGGCAAAGGTTACGCCACATTTTACAGATTGCTTTTCCTAACATTTGCATTAAAATGCCATGTTTGAGGCCCAATCCCATTTATGTTTACCCCTACCCCTTGTTTTCGAGTGTCTCCTTGCCCCCTGGAACTGAGTTAGAAGGGGTAGTGGTTGAAATCTTGCCCTACGAAATAAAAAGAGCATCACTTCATTAACAGCTACCGGCGCTGCTCTGTAGGCGACCCTGCCAGTCTGCAGTGACAGCAGAGGAGGGTAAAGTTCAGCTCCTCACTGCTGGGCTTTAGTTACATTCAGGGCATCATATGCTTTCGAAGAGGGGGGGGGCAATTATTTATTATCACCCACCCCTAATTCTTCAGTGATATGAAGCTGAAGTCAGTTTTTTTTTTTCGCCAGCTTCTTGTTAGAATTTTCCCGTTCCACCTTAAATGAAGCAGCAGTTACATTCTGGTGCTTCAGGCGTCAGAACTGCTGGACTATTTAAGGTGGAATGGGAAAGTTAGCTAACTAGCTACCGAGACATCAGCATACTATTAGTGATTTTTTATGCTTGTTATGAAAAAAACGACCATAATAGACTGAAACAACATTAATCTTAACAACTAAGATAATACAATAGTTATCGTGATTTTTTAACAGAGAAAATTCTCACATTTGTGGGTTTCTTTGGCCTCTAGTTCAGCCATCTCGCCGGTTTTTCTTTTCTTCTCATATCTCTCTGTTTGGAGTCTGAAAAACCTCCGTTTGGAGGGCCGTGTCGCCCAAACACTTCGCCCTACCCCTCTATCTCAACAAGAATCGGGACACCCTAGCCCTAGACATGAATGCACAAAACAGAGGGCTAAGGGATAGGAGTGAGCGGTGAAATGGGATTGGGCCTGTCTGTTCCCTGTAGATGTTGTTTTCTCTCAGAAATTCAGCAAAGATCACTGTATATGTGTATAAACAGAAACAACTGGAATCACTGCCTGCTGTGTTCGGCTACTCTGTGATTATCTGTTCATTTTTATAGCTCACAGCATGTCAGGCTGAGTCCTAAATAACATCTACAATTCTGTGCAACCTTAACAAAGACCTGGATGCGGTTTGAGCGGGTTAAGAGAAGTTTAAGGCAGGCATTTACAGAACAGATTTGGGTGACTATTGACTTGCAGTGTTTGTTAGCTGACATAGCTCCAGTTTGTTAGTCTCATAGCTGCAGTTTTACAGTTAGACTCCATACAAGTCTTGGCTGATCGGCTACATGTAGGTAAGTGGGTTACTGAAAAAAATGTTTTGCCTTTCTTTTAATAATCTCATGACTCAGTACTGTTGCCTTGTTGCATTTATTTTTCTGCATAGAGAGCATAAATTTTATTCTGTTTGCTTCAGAAGCTACAATTCTAAACAAGCAAACACAGGAACGGGAATGCACTTCGCACTTCAGCGGCCTTTTATGTGTTCAGTGCTTCTCTGACAAAGCAGATCAATAACAGATAATGTGTTTCCATATGAATGTAATTGTGTTCAGAATATGGAATAAGAGCTCACTAACGCAGCGCAGGCAGCAATAAAAGCAGCATGGAGCTTCTTTTATACAGAGATAGGAAACACAGTAGCTCACAGAAAACTCCACATGCTGAGAGAGAGAGAGACAGAGAGAAGTGAGACAGAGAGCGAGACAGAGAGGGCATGGAAACTGTGCCAGGACTCCAAAGCTGTGCTATACAAAGACACTCATTGTAACAGCTGCACTTTTCCTTCACACACACACACGAGCATGTTTGTTTTTATACACTTTCAGGACATGAGCTACATATACACATACATACATCTGGGTCATTCTACAGAAACGTCCACTTTCCTATCTGTCCATAGGAGTCAGTGGTGTTACTGATCCTCATTGGTGTTACACATAATAAAGGAACACCAGAGACATTTTAAATGAACAATGTATTCTAAAAAAACGGCTGCTACAGAGCATCAAACCACATGTGGTCAGTCATGGAATATCCACTAAAATATGGAATTTAATCTATTTGTATTCTATTTTTTTCACAATTACCTCAGAATAAAGTGACGTCAACTAAAAGCTTCATATGAAATCATGAGCTAAATGAGAAAATCTCTGATAACTGAAAGACACAGTGGACTCACCATGTGCTTTTCTTCATAGAATCTCAGAAAACAGGTAAAAGGAAGTCGAGTGATGTCATCAGTGTGATTTTCATTTCAAACTAAGAGATTAAGAGACCAGTGACACGACTCCTGGGGAACTTTCATTATATATTTTATAATATTTATTTGGCATTTGTTTTCTTTATGTCATTTAATTCATATATTTCATAGTCATGTATAGATTATTGTAGTTAAAACTGCACAAAAACATGTTTTTACCTCAAAATATGGCCTCACCCTTCACACATGACTGTGAGGACGAGCTCTTCTGTGGTGCTTGGAATTCTAAATAATTGATTTAAAAGCCAATATTGATAAATTGACATATCAAGATGGTGTAATTGTTAAAATAAGTTTTTAAAATTGAAATAAATTGTAACCCTAACATGTTTTTTAAGTTTAATATATCTGTAAATGCTAGGGACACAAAAATGGACGTTTCTGTAAAATGACCCAAATATATACATACATATATACATATATGTCAGAACAAAACCTCATATCTCCAAAATAATAAGAAGCAAAAAAACATACTTTACTTTTAATGTAAGTCAATGGAACCAGACTTTTTTCCAAATAATTCTGGGCCGTTTCTTTTGGTCCATTCATTGTGAAATTTACACACAGTGTAAAGGGCAACAGGCATTTTCAAACTATGTCAAAAACTGAGAAACGACAAATGGAGATACAAGGTTTTGTTTATATATACACAATGATACACATATATGTATTATACATATTATACATCTGTAAATATCTATATTTATTAAGAATTTTCTAGCCCTGACCTTAACCTCAGCAACCTAAAACAAATGGTTTTCCTCCTAAAAAATAAAAAGTAAACTTTACAAAGTCAGGTTCACTTTGCTGGTACTAAAATTATAAGTTAACCCTGTTTTTTTTCTGGATTTCCTACAAAGTTTTCATCCTGGAAATACACAAAAACGAACACACACAGTTCGACTCTCCCCCTCATTCCACACTGCTGAAGCACAACATCACTTCACCTCTAATAAAGACGACAAGCTAAAGCTAGTCAGCGCTAACACGCTGATGTCAGCTTGCACAGTGGCAGCTGCTGAGCGGAGCGACGGCGCTGGAGAGATCGTCCCTGAGGAATGTGTGTCAGTGGAACACTCAGCTGACGAACGCAGCAGGGAGAGAGATTCGCTTTAAAAACATGCCCGAGAGTCCGTCTAAAGCCAGTCACCAGGCAAATGACCACAACACTAATGATCTCATTTCAATAAACACAGTCAGAAACCTCCAACCTGACAAGACAGACTCTGAGATTTAAACAGCAAAGTCACCTCTAAACCTCAAATCTCACTTTAAAAGAGAATTTCACCACTTTTTAAAAAAAATACTCCATAATTCACTGGAGGTAAACAGGGCCGACGTGTCCACACAGGCATATATCTCCTAAAGTGGCACTTCCTATCCTGGAACCTATGAAGAACCTGATCACTGAGTACATCATCTGACAAAGTTTTCTAACCGGCTAAAAAATATCTTAGGCTATCTCTAAGCCTTCATCTAATCGTAGCTTAGCAACCAGTAACTACGCACACACAGCCAAACTCTGCACATATATTTAATGTATGACGTATGTACACATCGGAAGAAAACCTCGTATCTCTAAAATGATAACTTTACAGGAGAAGGAAAAAACATACTCTACTTTTAATGTAAGTCAATGGAAACAGACTTTTTGTCCAAGTAATTTTGGGCCACTTTTTTGGTTCATTCATTATGTAATTTACACACAGTGTAAAGGCTAACAGGTATTTTCAAAATATGTCAAAAACTGAAAAACGACAAAAATGGAGATACGAGGTTTTTCTCCAACAGCAGCGATATACTAGCATATGTTTAAATATTTAGAACAGCACAGTAAAATTTTATCTAGAAGATATGGTTTAAAACATCACTCATATTGCACATACAGTAATATGCGAAAGTTTGCATACAGCTGTACAAATTGCAGAAATATGCTATACTTAAAATGCCATATTTAAGGCTGCTAAGTTTGGGGGACCTGGAGACCTCTCTGGTGGAAATGTGTAATTCTACTGGAATATTACTATTAATTTTATTTTTTTTTAGAAATATTTTTATTGCATTTTTTCTTTTTTTTTACACTTTTATCTTGTGCTTTTTAATTTTAATTATTAATGTATCCCCTTTTCTGCTATTTATTATTTGTTTATTTTATTTTTGATTATCTTTTTTCTCTTCTTCCTCTGTTGTTTTTACTTTGCATTGTGAGGCACTTTGAGCTGCATTTTTAACATATGAAAGGTATAAATAAACATTATTATTATTATTATTATTATTATTATCAGTATAATGTTGATTCTGAGATAGTTCTTCTTTTTGAGTCTGTGTGATGTTGATGCGTAAAGACGTATGATGTGGTGTGAAAAACTCCCAAACCGACGCCTCTGACTTTTAAGTGATTATTACAGGCTTTACAGGGCGACTCACAGCAGCACACGCTCAGCATATATCAGCCTGTTTTTATTCTGCTCACTCAGTAATGACACTTCTCTCAATTTTAAACACAAAAAATCTTACATAGTGCAGCTTTAAGTGTGTCCCTTGTGTTAGAATGCAGAAAACCAACAAAACGTAATTTGACTAAGGGTGTTCAAGCTTCTGCATACGGCTGCATATTTTTAATTTGTGCTATTTTATGTACATATATTTTCCTTCCACATACGTTTAGCCATTTCCTAATCTGAAGACGCATGTGGTGAGGTGTAGGATGTAAATTAAACAGTGGGAAACACCGCTGGAACACCAATTAAACGTGAGAAAAAGCAAAGGGTCAGTTCGGATCGACAGTGAGAGAACAGCTTTGCTGTAAAGTTATAGCTGTGACTTGTTCGGAGTGTCTTCATGTCTTATTTTTCTAAATATGTCCATATTTTAAAAAGATGAGATCAGGGATTTTGAATAATAAACATGGTCTGATGGTGCTGTGACATGGAGAGGACAGTCACTCCTACCTGACTGCTGGAACATGGCCATGGTGTGTGGGTTGGTGTGGACGGGGAGAGAGCGAGTCCGCTGGACTGAGCTGTGGGTGCGACTGGGCATGCTGTTACTGCCCCCGGGGTTGGCAAACCACAGACCCTACACAAACACAAACACAACAACATCAGCATCATACATAACATCCTTCAACAGGCTGATGCAACATGTTTCATCCATTTCACACACTTGAAGTGACAGTCCACCCAAAAATCTAATTTCACAACAGGACGCTAACCGCCGCGTTGACTGGCATCACGCTGAGTGACTGGGGAGACGTGGGGGGCCATCCTACCCACCCAGAGAGTGAGGCCAATTGTGCTCTCCTGGACTCCCGGCCACAGACAGCTGTAGCATCACCAGGGATCTCCTGATGAAACGGCCAACGCCTAGACGGTTGTGCCACTCGGGAGCCCAAATGGACGTACATACACAGACCGTCCACTTCATTGTATCTACAATCTTTTATAAGGAGACGAGACGGGGTGTGTGGAGTCAGTACAGCTTAGAACATATCATTTCAGTGGATTATGGTTCAGTTATGTTCCCTGACTAAAGGTACTGAGATGGACCCTTGAGGGTTCCACCCCAGTGACGAGAGGGGCACTGACCCAGTGACCGTTTAGTACCTTTGTTTCTGAGAGTGTATATCAGATTTCCATATGGGTGCCTGTCTGTTTTGTGAGGAACAAATGACTCTTTTTTGTTTAGCGAAATTCCAGAAGATACAAAAAATCTGCATCCAAATATTTCAGATTTTGTTTGTTCAGTTTTCATTTTGCATTAAATCTGATTTATTATTAAACAATCGTTTGAAATCAGATGATCTTTAGACAAACACCCCCCCAGAGCTGTGTCACCAACAACAGGCACAAAAATAGTTTTTCAACTTGCTAAAAAGAAAGTCAGTAAAACAGTCATTCATCCACTGTCTGTCTGTCTGTCTTTCTCTTTCTCTTTCTGTCTCTCTCCCTCCCTCCTTCATGTGCTTCACTCTGTCCCCTTCTCGGCCCTCCTGTACAGAGAGGCAGGGAAAAACAGGAAATGCCTGTGCACTGTTCTCACTGCCTCTCTCTCTCTCTCTCTCTCTCTCTGTCTCTCTCTTTCTCTCCCTCTCACCTATTTCTCTCTCTCTTCCTCTCTCCTTTCTTTCTCTCTCCCTTTTATGTCTCTCACTCTTTCTCTCTTCTCCCTCTCTTTCTATTTTCTCTGTGTTTTCTCTTTCTCCCTGTCTTTCTCTCGGTCCCCTATTTCTCTCTTCCTCTCCTTGCTTTCTCTCTTGCATGTTCTTTCTCTCTTCTCCTCTCTGCCCTTCTTTCTCTCTCTCATTCTCTATTTTCTCTCTCCATTCTCTTTCTCCGTCTTTGTCTCTCTCTCACCTTTGTCTAACTTTGTCTTTCTCTCCTTTTTTCTCTCGTTTTCTTTCCCTTTTTCTCTGTCCTTTCTTTCTCACTATCTCTGTCTGTGCCTCTTTTCTTTCCCTTTCTCTCTCTCTCTCTGTCACTCTCTCCTCTCTCTCCTTTCTTTTCCTTTCTCTTCCTGTTCTTTCTTGAGATTTCTTCCCCACCTTCCTCTCCTGTCTCTCTGTTGCTTTCTCTCTATTTATCTACCCCCTCTGTCTTTCTCCCCGTCTCTCTTCTCTTTTCATCTCTTATTTCTCTCTCTCTCTCTCTTTCCCCCTCCCGTTTCTTCTCCATTCCTCCTCGCTGTGCTGCCCCCCTTCAGTCGTTCCTCTCTCTCAGTATGACTCATCCCGACACTCGTGCTCCCCTCACCCCTCCGTCCACAGCGTGCTGGAGTTTCCTGCTATTGTAGTGATGATGCAGGGAAACGTTAGAGCAGACGGGCCGCGGTGGGCGGAGTTACCACTGCTGCTCCAAATCCTGCACTCCTCCATTCAGCGCTGATGATGGAACAGCTCAGGAATGCTGTGAACTGGCTGGATTTGACCTCACGTCCTACCCTCAAATGCGTTCTTTCGTAGCAACTGTTGATAGGCTGGATAGGTTTTACAGAACCAGCATAAATCTCATTCACTCTAATGAGTTTATGCCAGACTTTAGAGTCTCTACATCACAACGAGAGTCTTAAAGGAACGATATAATTTACACAGTGGTCTATTTACCCCATCGCCCAAGACATGTTTGGCGTTCAAGTTCTGTTTCTTTACTTTAGCGCTGGAGCTAACATTGCTAACAAACAGCAGAAGTCAATAGTCACCCAAACTTCTTTCAACCAACTCAACCTGACCTTTCATGTGCAAAATAAATATTCTGAAGTCTCATATTTTGACAAAAACATTGAATTGTGTGCTACACAATTCTATTTATGAATGTAGTCATTTTTAGGCTTTTTGAGAGCAGCACTTTTGCATGTATGTGTTTTTTTCTTTATGCCTGCACAAACAGTCTACCAACTCTATTGATGGAAAGGAACCTTTTCGAAGGAACTTCAAGGGAAACATCCCTGATCTGGATTGAACACGGACATTTAAAGCTTGTAAAGACATTCCATATGTTTTATTTGAAATCTGTAACAGAACATATTTAACTATACATCCCTTACAACTCTTACAAAATGCAGCAGCATCCTAACAAAAACAACACAGAGAGATCAGATCAGTCCTGTTTTAAAAGAGCTGCACTGGCTGTCTGTATCATTCAGGATAGATTTTAAAGTTCTGCTCCTAGTTTTTAAAGCTCTAAATGACCTTAAAGCACCGCTTACATCACAGAGTGTCTGTCTGTTTATGTTCCAGCATGTAATCTAAGATCTGCAGATACTGGCCTTCTACAAACACCCTCTGTAAAATACAGAAAACATGGAGAGACTCGTTCAGTTATTCTGCTTCTAAACTGTGGAGCTCAGTTCACCTTTTATTAGACAGTCAAGCTCAGTGTTCACTTTTAAGAAGCATCTAAAAACGTCTCTCTTTAACTTAGTATTTAATTAAAACTGTACGTCTTGTGGTGTTTATTGTTAATTTGATCTATTTTATTTTATTCTGATTCGAAATAAATACTAATGATTTCTTGTATAACTGTGTTTTATCACCTGTCTGTAAAGCACTTTGAGCTGCCACCGGCATGAAAAGTGCTATATAAATAAAAAAAATCTGATTATTATTATTATTATTATTATATCTGAGATGTATGTATCAGTTTTCCAGTGACTCTTTCGGTAAAGAGTCCTAACACAGAGCTGCAGCCGCTGTTTTCCATTCCTAACAACCAAACAGAAACTGTTTAGACTGCGACTCGTAATTACAGTCAGTGATGTATCTAGAACTTCCAGGGAGGACTAGAGTGATCTTATTTCTCACAAAGTTGGTCCCATTGTAAATCAAAGCATGATTGGTTAAGTCCTCTGTCATGTCCTAATTAAGTTGGTAGGTCTTCAGTTCAGGTCCTGAAGTCCTAGCCAATAGTAGAGCTTGCTTGGCCGTATCTACATACCACAGAGTTTCTCTTGCATGTTTTAAGATTTTGTTTCCGACCAAAACATAATAACAAAATACATACTGTACTACAATATATGCAGAGTTAAATTAAAGCATGATGATCTGCTTTAACAGAAACAAACTAAAAATTACAAACAAACTTGTTTTAGTCACTAGTAGGGTTTGTGGTGTTGGAGCTCACCGATAGGTGGCGCTGATAGCAAAAGGGGAAAAATCAGCACCACAAAACATGTTCGGCTCTCACTCTATCGCTGTCTGCCCTGTTTGAGGTGGTCAGTGTTTGTGACACTCACCTGTCTGCCCTGTTTGAGGTGGTCAGTGTTTGTGACTCTCACCTGTCTGCCCTGTTTGAGGTGGTCAGTGTTTGTGACACTCACCTGGCTGCCCTGTTTGAAGTGGTTAGTGTTTGTGACGCTCACCCGTCTGCTCTGTTTGAGGTGGTCAGTGTTTGTGACACTCAACTGTCTGCCCTGTTTGAGATGGTCAGTGTTTGTGACACTCACCCTGTCTGCCCTGTGTTTGTGACACTCACCTGACTGCCCTGTTTGAGGTGGACAGTGTTTGTGACACTCACCTGACTGCCCTGTTTGAGATGGTCAGTGTTTGTGACACTCACTTGTCTACCCTGTTTGAGGCGATCAGTGTTCGTGACACTCACCTGTCTGCCCTGTTTGAGATGGTCAGTGTTCGTGACACTCACCTGACTGCCCTGTTTGAGATGGTCAGTGTTTGTGACACTCACCTGTCTGCCCTGTTTGAGGCTGGTCGGCGTGCTGCTGGAGCTGCGGGGGGTGTGCGTGTGCCCCAGCAGGCCGGCGGTGCCCAGCAGGCCGAGACGCTGCACAGGGAGACTGCGGGAAGGGACGGGGAACTGCCTCAGGTTTCTCCTGCCGGACACACCACTGCCCACACAACCCGCACTGGGGAGGGAGTTAGACTGACCGAACCCACGGCCACTGCAACACAAACACAGAGAAAGCACGGTCACATAGCAGCAACGTGACATCATCACATCATCATCAGAGAGGGAAACCTTAAGGGACGGGTCAGGCTGAGACTCGTCACGGCGAAGAGAGGAAGAGTGAGATTAAGATTTTACACTTTCTTTTCTTTACAGCCCAGAAATTTTCAACTCATCTATCTCTAAATCGCGCCCCTGAATTCCGACTGTCCGATTGTTGCTTAGCAACCGTGGACGCAGCGATATGGGCCAATGCCAATATCTGAAATTTTAATGTACCTTTCTACAGACACTGATGCCGTTACATCCCATGTGTCAAACATATGGTCTATGCAAGGTCTACACAAAAGTAGTTTAGTTTTCTATTAATATTATCCTGTTTTACAATGCGCTGCACTACAGTCCCCAGCATGCACTGCAACGTAATGTGAGCTCTGACTCTCCTCCCTACACAACAATCTTTGGGACAGCAGTTACACCTCAATTCTTATTCATATAATATTTCAAGGTCTACTATAAGTGCCTATATTTTACTGTTGATGTTTTTATGTGTTTTGAATAAACAATGGTCAGTTCGGGTTACAGCACAACATTAATCAAAAATGAAATAAAAACATTTTTTCTCTGGCCCACGGGTTTGTTGAGATTTTTTTATATGGCCCCTTTAGTGGTCGAGTTTGACACCCCTGGGTTCCATCAACATTTATTAAATGTAAAACCGTGACCATATTTTCAGTATGGTCGCAAAAATAGCATGTATTTTAGTGCAGTAATCGAGCCTCATTCAGCTCTTCCAGAGCACAATCAGCAGTTTTCACACTTTTTAAGGCCCACTGTACCTCCCTCAGATAATGCTCAACATCTACCACTTTGAAACAAGTAGGACATTTTTGCCACAGCAGATTTAATAAACTGGCAAAATTAAAACTTACTAAATAAAGATACAATTTCTGAGACTTCTCTGTGGCCCTCTTAGCACCCCACTGCGGCCCCTCAGAGGGCCACAGCCCACAGTTTGAGAGGTGCTGCAATAAATACACCGATATGATTCCGATTTCGTTGTGCATTAGCAACTGAAACTAGTAAGGGTGTAACATTTTCAGTGCAGTATAAAAAAATCTTCGTGTATGCAAAAAACTGTACGGTCAATCCCCTCATCCCCTGCTCCAATCATTTCCTGTTTACTGTCCTATGTGTCATGAAAACCACCCTGAGTGAATAACAGTGGTATCTTTGTGCAGATGATCAAAGCAAAGTAGGTGGGAAGAGGAGGGGCTTATGCTATGACCACACCCACATTCAAATGACCAGGATTTTTTTCAGAAGTTGCCTAAATTCTAAAGGTTGTGATTTTTGTTTAGTTTATTTCGCTTGGTTGATTTTCTTAGGGGGCGGCGCAGAAGGAACACGAACAATTCTGCCCTTTTTTCCGTCTTCTTTTGTCCCCCATATGTTGAATTCAGCAAATCAACTGTACACACTTGTAAATGTGTGTGTGCTCTGAGTCCGTGAACTCTACCTCCTCTGCTGACGGTATCCTGCCATGTCCACGAGGGTTTTACGAGGGAACGAGCGAAAGAGCTTCTGCACCTGCTGTTTCCATGACAACAATCTCTTCTTCTGCGTCTCTGTGAAAGCCTGAGAGAACGAGAGGGAGGGATAGAAGAATAAGTTAGAATATTATCATGACTCACAGCCCGTCCGAAAAACCCACCACAACCCCTTATTACCTTATACGTCAGGTTATTAGACTGTTTACAGACTCTACTAATACAGGCTAATACTCCTTATCAGATTTCTGAATATTTATACAGCAGACGCTCAATAATTTATGGTTACTATTAGTTAATCAGTAACAGTTATTAAATGATAACCTTGCAGTTTGAAGAGCTAAACAATACAGAATGTACAATCAGAAAAATAGACTAAACATTTAAATATGAGACATCATTAAAAACACATTTAATCCTAAAATAAACAAAAGTAAAATCTAAATTTAAAAACATTAAAAAGTCTGATGTCCCACTGAATGGTGGAGGTCCTCAGTCCACAACTTTTTTAGAGTCAGTGTACCACACACTGGATCTGAAACACTGAATTAAAACAGAGTGAGACTCTTCTGCACTCACCTCATGGATTAGGCACTTATCAATGAGCTGCAGGTATGAGCTGATGTTCTCTTCATCCGGCCGTGAGACGAGGAGCTGTGTGCAAACTGAAAATAAAAAAAGACAAGCAGAGATTCAGAAACCCAAACACTCAAAAATAACCGGTTTCAGCAAGGCACGGTATGTGGTAATGACACGCTCCCTGCTCCGCCTGCTTAAACAGAAGAAAATAAAAATGCTTTCTGGTCTAAAACTTCTAAGTTAACTTTTTCCTTGGTATAGTGTGGTCAGAAATCTAGCCCTGTGGTAGACCTGAGCCTAAAAAACTATACCAAGAACTACCAAACCACACCACGAACAGCCAAACCACACCAAGAACAGCCAAACCACACCAAACGTTTCATTTCATTTCATTTATGGCATTTGGCAGACACTCTTATCCAGAGCAACTTACAATTTGATCATTTTTACCCAGGTAGGCGAAGGTAGTGTTAGGAGTCTTGCCCAAGGATTGAACCCTACTCTACAGCCAAACCACACCAAACCACACTAAGAACAGCCAAACCACACCAAACCACACCAAGAACAGCCAAACCACACCAAACCACACTAAGAACAGCCAAACCACACCAAGAACAGCCAAACCACACCAAGAACAGCCAAACCACACTAAGAACAGCCAAACCACACCAAGATCAGCCAAACCACACCAGACCACACTAAGAACAGCCAAACTACATCAAACCACACCAAGAACAGCCAAACCACACCAAGAACAGCCAAACCACACCAAACCACACTAAGAACAGCCAAACTACATCGAACCACACCAAGAACAGCCAAACCACACCAAGAACAGCCAAACTACACCAAACCACACCAAGAACTGCCAAATC